CTGTTTATGTTGCTTGCATTTTCTGCGACGTCGTGGTGCTAGCAGCAGTAATCTGTAGTCAGTATGGAGTGCCACTGTTACTGCGACCACCAGCAGCAAATACAACGTACCGCACCGTATCTCGTACAGCGAGCATATTGCGATCCACCGCAAAATTCGATTCTATTTTCTGCAGTTCGTGCCATGGCCAGCCAGGGCCAAGCTGGCGCACTAGCAGCCTCGAGGAGCTTTTTGGTGGACACAATAAACCGTAAACCGGCGAGCGATCGACAAGGCAGTTGGGCGCATTGTTGCTCGTGACAGGACGCCGCGAATTACCCGGCGCGGCGGGACAGTGCCGCTACTGTGCCGCCGCATGTACTCCGTGTCAGCCATTGATGAATATTGAAATGGCTGGATGGCGGGCTGCTCTCATGGCCTGAATAGGGGAGAGCGAGGATAAGACTGAGCTGCCCTCGAGTTGATTGTTTCTCCTGCCTGATTATCGTTTCCGCCGAGAGCACGGCGTGTAGATCATCCTTTTGCTTAATTACGCGTAGCAGCGCCGCGACCTGAATTCCGTCTTCTGGAGAATTGCCAATACCACTCTGAACCGCGAGGCGACATTTGATCCCTAGGCCGCTATCAAGGGATAATGAAAGCAAGTCAATGCGTGCTGGGTCGTAATATTGCAAGCAAAACCAAGTATAGTTTCAGCCTCGGGGCGAAGGCGTCAGAAAAGGGGGGCATTGTTCAGACGGCCGCTTTTTGGACTACAGTACACACAGCTTTATATGGCTGTCCTATTGTTGGTGATGCAATGCTAGTTCGAAGTAGTCCAAGTAGTATGTAATAGCATTGCATCTTCGCCGTGCCACCGCTGCTAGGCCATCGCATGGACTCAAACTTCGTATCTATCTATAGTATGGAATACGCCGTGCTGCTTCTACCGCTATGCGGACTGGTGGCAGATGCGCAGCTGCACGCAGGCGAAAAGATGGATCGTGGGGCAAGGCAAGATAATCTTAGATGGTTCACCGTGATCCATGTCGAGCAAGCTTCGAGTCTTCTACGCGCATTCTCGAGTCAGCCGCCATTCGCCCAAGCAGCTCGCTCGTGTCTGTTCTCGCCAGCTTATCAGCAGCCATGGCCCGGACGGCACAAAGGAGAAGGGCTGTTTAAAATGAGAAGTGGAGGCTGGGAGTCACTGAATGGAGGACCAGAGTGACATATCAGACGGTGCGGGTGCTCCGTGAGTCACACTGTCCGCAGGTACCGGGCCAGGCCAAGGCCGCCGCTGCTAGCCTTGGTGGCTGCCGAACATTTGTGTCCGCCACTAGCGCAGGCCGGTGGACGGGTCTGCAATTTCAGGCCCACTCGCTTAAAGCCTGCACAGACCAGACGCCGGGCCCACAGCGCCCCCCGGCAACCCAAACGAGCGCCAGAGCTCCAGGTCTCAGGGCATTCACTGCTGCTTCGAGCGCTAGCGGGCTGTCGAACAGTGGGCTGGCAGCGAGCTCTCCCGCCGTGGCGTCACTGGCCACGATATCTGCTGTCCCTGCGCTGCGCTGCACTGTACTGTATACCTTGGCCCGTCAATGCCTGTTCCAAGCGCTGCTCTGCTATCGCTTCAGGTTTCCTTCGCCGGCTGGCCACCCAGACGCAGGGTTGCTCTGCTGTCACACAATTCTGGGCGATTCCCCCTAGCCTTCCTCGCGCTCACCAGGCAAATAAGTAGTCCTGCCACCCCCTTCCTGCTGCTGCTTCCCTCCTCCTCCTACTTTCTTCACACACGCTTGACCAGCGCCCATTTTCATACACATCCGAAAGGCTTTTTTCTGGATCCTTCTTTTTTAATACCCTTTGTTTGTTTCGCGCTTTAAGATACCCAAAACTCTCTTTTTTCTAATCCAGAATGGCTGAGGAACACAAGCCCGTTGACGTCGCCGCCCCGGTGGCTGAGGAGGTCGCTGCTCCCGCTCCCGTCGTTGTCGCCGAGGAGGCCCCCGTTGTCGAGACCGCTATCCCTGTTGTCGAGGACAAGCCCGCTGAGGAGACGAAGCCCGCCGAGACTGAGGAGGCCGCTGAGGCTGCCAAGGAGGAGGACAAGAAGGAGGAGGAGCCCGCCAAGCCCATTGAGGAGGGCTTCCTGGGACACAAGGCTCAGGGCGCCAGCTTCCCCAAGTGAGTACAGCGCATTATATCGCAACTTGCGGGATTCGCGAGCAACAGACGCTAACCACCATCGTCACAGGAACCTGATTGCCAGCAAGGCCTTCTTCTTCTTCGGCGCCGAGTCCGTCGAGGCTGATGTCCTCGCCGCCTACAAGAGGGCTGAGAAGCACGCCGAGGTTGCCCAGCACAACATTGCCTGGGCTGCTCACACCGGCAAGGGTCTTCTTTTCATTGGTGACAAGAAGGCTCCCCACGGCGTCATCAACCTGGTAAGCAATCATCGCGAGATTGTCGAATACATGTGTCGATACGCGAGAGGCTAACTCGAGAAATTGTAGGCTGATGCCACTGAGCCCGAGACCGATGGCTCCCACAAGTTCCACCTCACCGCCAAGGGCAACAAGCACAGCTTCAAGGCTGCCTCTGCCGCTGAGCGCGACAACTGGGTCGCCCAACTGAAGGAGAAGATTGCTGAGGCCAAGGAGCTCGCCACTGCTGTTACCGAGTCTGAGGTTTACAAGCAGACCATTGAGAGCTTCAAGCCTGCCCCCAAGGAGGAGAAGACTGAGGCCCCCAAGGAGGAGGCTGCCCCTGTCGAGGAGGCTGCTGTCCCTGCTGAGGAGACCGCTGCCAAGACTGAGGAGGCTGCCAAGGAGGAGCCCGTCAAGGATGAGCTCAAGGTCAAGGACAACGAGCGCCGCTCTGCTAGCCGCAAGCGCACTTCTTTCTTCGGCTTCGGCAAGAAGGAGGAGAAGAAGGAGGAAGCCAAGACTGAGGAGACCCCCGCCACTGAGACTCCCGCCGTCGTTGAGCCCGTCCCCGAGGTTGAGGCCCCTGCCACCGAAGAGGTCCCCGTTGCTGAGCCCGCCGTTGAGGGTGAGACCAAGGCCAGCGAGGAGCTCCAGCCTGAGTCCCCCAAGGAGAAGCCTACCGTCAACAAGCGCACCAGCTTCTTCGGCAACGTCTTCTCTAAGAAGGAGAAGAAGGCTGCTGAGGCCAAGCCCGAGATTGAGTCTCCCAAGGAGGAAGAGGTCCCCGCCGCTGAGACTGCTCCCGTCATCCCCCCCGTTGAGGCCACCACCCCCTTGGCCGTCGACGTTGCCAGCCCCGCCACCGTCCCTACTGAGACCACCGAGGTTGCTGCCACCAACGGCGATGCCAAGAAGGAGAAGGAGAAGCGCAAGTCTTCTCTACCCTTCAACTTTGGCAAGCGCGACAAGTCTCCCGGCCCCGCTGCCGAGGGCGACGAGAAGAAGGGCGCGTTCTCCAAGCTCCGTGCTACCATCAAGGGCAAGGGAGCCGCCAAGTCTGACGAGAAGGCCATTGAGGAGGCCAAGGAGGAGGATGCCATCAAGGAGGAGGAGACCCCCGCCACCGAGGAGGCTGCCAAGACTGAGGAGGCTGTCAAGGAGGAGGCTGCCGCCACCGAGGAAGCCCCCAAGCCTGTCGAGGCCGAGGCTGAGAACAAGCCCGAGGACATCACCACCGCTACTCCCGCCGTCATTGCGGCCGCTTAGAGAACTCGCTGACAGCGAGTGTTTTTTTAACGGCTTTAAACACTTTGCAAAACTTTCCTTGATATAATTGTTGCGAAAAGAAAACACGCATGAGAGGACTGGGAATGGAAGGATCTGCATTTCTTCAAGATACCAAGATACCCTGTCGAGACTGCTTTCACTGATACCACTTTTCATTTTGTTTTTGCACGTCAAATGGACGAGAATTCACTATTAAAAAACTTGAAAAAACTCATGTTGCTAGTATACAGCATTCGCGTTCTGCTTTGTTCGATACCCGAGAGGAGGAGATAATTAATAACTAATATACAAATGATGTTTGTTGAGATATATTTCAATTTGTCATGTGAAGTCAATTGATGTTGGATGATGCAATACAGCTTTTTCCACAATATTTCTTTCTTTCTTTTCTTTCCTTTTCTCTCCTCGCTTTTCTTTCCAAACTAACCATTTCAGCCTTGTGGATACTAAAACGAAAATTTTATACCATGTTACAGCCTTCTCTTTGCTTTTCCAAAGACATGTGAAGTTTCTGAGAGAGATGTGATGCTAAGCTCACCAATGACTCATTACTGTTTCAACTAAAAAAAAAAAAAAAAAGGCCGGGCTCTTTTTAATCCACCACTCAATGTTCTTTTTAGGTCCAAGCTGTGCAAGGCTTTTTGGCTCTAGTTGAAACGGAGAATCACGGTATTCGGAGATTTTGGCGTGACGTTACTTGAGCTGCCGTGGCGAAACAACGGCATGTCCGAGAAGGAGAAACATGTTTTCTACTTATTTTTTCTTCTTCCTTTTCTTCTTCTTCTTTTTTTTTTAAACCTTTGCCTCTAAAAAAGAAAAAGGACTGTTGAACAGGTGGAGGCCTAACTGAAAGAGGAGGTAGCTTGGGGTGTTGATGATATTGCTACTAGCTACTTGATTCCATTGTGTTATACAAATAAACAATATATAGAATGAAAGATTTCATCTCATTCAACCATATGTACAAAGTATCAGTTTAGTTAAATGTATCTATGAGTAGTGCCGTACAGACTTTGAGATTCTACTGCTATTAATACTAGTAACTGTCTGATTCCCTTGTGTTATGCAAATGGACAATACCTAACGTGACTAACTTTTTCCATTCAATTCAATAGAAATAAGTATCAATTCAGTTAATTGTTGAATTCTTCTGCATCATCAGCATTACAGGTGCCTCAGATAATGTATATCCTCTCATTCTTGATGACATCGAGGTCTCTTGGCGAGATAGATCCCATCCTCTTCCACACTGGAGACTGATCGCTTCTGCACTTGAACCATTTCGCGAGTCTGCATATCCAAGTTGGGTATTCGGAGCAGAAAGAATTTGGTATATGCAGCAGCAGTGGCAGCTGCATACTTGTGCCACTCGTCATTCTTGTGCGAGTCGGCATAGTCGCATATTCCCCGAATCACCAAACATTTTCCAGTCACCATCACACCAGCGCCTTCCATTTCAAAGCATAAAACATTCATTTCAGCACCAATGCGGTCCCGAGTCACCGCATCTTTTATAACCTGGTTCCCAGAGGCAATAAAGCCGTAATGAATATGCGGTCCAGGAGGCCGGGGCTTCTTGGGGACATGGGGACCCTTGCAGTTTTCGCACGTCTTTTGTCCATATTCGTGTTCGGCTATAGCGTAGAATAGTGTATCCCGATCTTCTCCAGGGCTTTGGTATTCAGGCTCCAGATTGACTATATCTTGTATGTGTGCCTCTAGGATATTGTGGGTGACGCTTTTATCAGATTGCACCGAACTAATTGCAGTCAGCATCGAGGGAGCGGGACGTTGCGGTAATCCTGTGCTCGTAATCCTGGAGTCCTTTTGCATCACTTTGCCCATATCGTGTTGAATGACGCCAGTGCTGACCACGACATCACCCAGTCGGATATCATGGTTCTCTGAGGGTATTCCTCCACCAATCCCGACAACGAAATACCATTTCACCGCAGGAAAACTTTTCTCGATGTCTGAGGCGACTCTCGAAGCGGCATTCGTGCCATACTCTTGGACTGGTAGACAAGCCGCAACCACGTAATGGGTTCCCAAACGGCCAAGATTGTAGGTATTAGCATCACTCTCCTGCTTTGGTAAATCTTGATGGATTTCGTCGAATAGAGTGCGGACGGCCTTTAACTCTTCTGGCAGAGCACAAATGATAGCAACCTTATATTGTTTGTGTTCAAAGAAATGGTCATTCTGCCTGGCATACTGTGACTCATGGACGGTGGATGAACGAAGACTCAAGCCAATCCCGCTGTCAGGAGGGGAGTCATCGTCCGATTCTTCATCCATCAACGGAAGTTCTCCCTTTTCGGGGTCTCCAAAGTCGTTCCATATCCATTTTATGCCCGGACTGTGACCAAATACCACGGCTCCACTGTCTTTTAGCAACAGGGAAGTGCTTGGAAGCAAACTTCGGCTTATTTCCTCCGGCGATATAACTTTTGCCCATATATCTCTTGGCCACATAACCTGAGCTCGTTCGCAATGCGTCTCTTCAAGAATGCTGCAGTCACATCTTGTATTCAACGCCATGTTATAAGGATTCCAGACAAGTGAATCTGTTAACCGTGGGGGATTCGCTCTTGGATTTCCCATGCGCTTCATAATCGTGTTCAGATCCTCTGCACTAGCAGCGAGATAATATTTGTTTTCCGGTAGTCTCTCCCAGTGACTGCAAGTGTAATCCTCTGATATTGGGCCCATTAAATTGCCAAAGTCTCTGCCGAATAAGAAGACGGCTCCGATAGCCCGTGTAAAATCAACCCATCCTTTACCAGCTGTTTTCACTTTTGCGAGACGCGGTTCGGTACCATCTTCATTCGTTGCAATGTCATAAAAATCCCAACCTCCAAGGTTTTTTCGTGGAACAAATTCCAACCCTTCTCCTATTTTGCGAATTATTTCAGGTTGGTAGTCAATGGCCTTTTCAAGAGCCTCAAATAAGTCATCGATGCGGTCACAGACTCGGTATTTGATATTTTCGCCTGATTCATCCTGTTCATATTCCTCATAAAGCTCCATACCAAGGTTTGCAAAATTGAAGAGAACTTCCATCGCTGCCGAGGCAGTATAAGGTTTCCTTGTTGCTTCTTCAAACATATCTGACTTGAAGAGAAACTTAAATGAAAGTTTGTCGGTCTTGTTGAACTCGAGAGATGCGCGGAGGAGATGAAGTAATGCATTCACTCCATCAACCAACCACCCACGTTTGCATTGAACGTCCCAAAGTACCATGTATTTCTGGGACAGAAATTCTAATTTCCGTCTGTAAGAGTCTTTGAGGATCTGTGGCGATGAATCTTTCTTTCCCTTAGCTGCTTCGTGATTAAATTGAATTGCTAGGCCCTTCGATATCAAAATGTCATTCGATTCGCAATCCTCCCGAAGTTTCCTTAAGCACGACCCATCAACGTTATAGTTTGCGTCGGCAGATCCTGAAGATGTTACTACTATCCAAGCATACGTAATCAAGTGAGGTTTCCTTACCAACAAGGTATCTTATTTGAGAAGACCAGCCAAGGATATGGCGACTATTTTTCAAGTCAGCCACGCTGACATCATTGGCGTGGATATCCATCCCGTCAAGATATGAGACGCGACCTCCATCCTTCCTCCACAGCAAGTGCCATAGCAGGATATTGTCGGAATACCGCGTTGGTACCAGCATTATCGAAAATCCCTTGATAAATATCTTGTTTTTAAAGGTATTTATGTAACGCGTCCCTGCCAGGAGCGCCATAGTGTCTAGACTTAGCTCAAGTCCTATGTTGGAAATTGGTCTCCGCAGGATGGGATAGCCTTTGACGATCACTGGATTTTGGAATAGCTGGTGCCAGCATTGGCCATTTGATATCTCGCCAGTGTCCTCAATCGCGTCGACGCCAAACCCGATGTTGCAGAAAAATGTTGTCGGAAGTCCTTCAGCCATATCTCTGGTTGAACTCGTTCCTATGTCACTCACAAAAGCACTAACGATAGCGACGCTGGTTTTATATGGAGATGAGCGAAGTGCTGAGCCAAGCCAAGCGAGCTGTTCTCCGATGTCTGCTATAGAGTCTGCTGTCCCAGTGACTTGAAGGTTAAACTCTGGTCCTCGAGACCATACAACCAGCTGGGTTTTATCAGGAAGACTGTCTGAAATTATATTAGCATCCATAGTCACAATGCCAAGATAATCACATACAGAAAAATGGCATATTATTAGTATCACGCACTACACTCTTCATAACATGTAGAAGATGAATGCCAGATGACGGCCATGTCTGGCTAAGATATTGTGTAGTCGTCGCCGCTTGGGCATCAACTTTGGATCCGGTAATTGTAATAGCTCGCTCCACTGCTCTCTCGGGGCTTTCTGTGTATTCTTGTTCTTGCAAAAAAGAGCCTGGGTCCCAATCAGCAGTAAATGTCAAAGTAAATCTTTTGGCGGCTTCACTTCTGCTGACCCTCTGGGATTTGGGCAGATAATCTATAATGGTTTTTCTGATATCGGTCTGTACATTTCCGGGCTCATCCATATACAGCTCTTTCTGTATATACTGTAATAGCCATTCATACGCTGGGTGCTGCGATATGAAGTCTCTATAGACGGAAAATTCTGGCAAAGAGTCGGTGGCCCGGTCTGCCTCGTCAAGATCGTCATCAGAATTACCATCCATAGCATCGTCCGGTTTCTTATTAAGAGCAGTATTGGGATCTTCCAAATTATCTGTATCCGGGTGCCAGTTGCTGATGGAATCAAAATCGACTCTGTCAGAACGAACACCAGTCTCTGTGATATAGCTCTGTATCATGGTATTGGAAATCTCGCTATATTTTATATAATTAGCATCCCAGACACATTAAATACAATAATAAGGCCACTAACCGTCTGTATCTGCGCACAAAAACCATAACATCGCGACAGATCAATGCCGAACCACTCGACCCCACCTTCATAGCGAACGTCTGAAGATATAGAGGGAGAGCTTTGCGGACCCTTTCTAGGCTTTCTTCATCTGGTGTAACTTTAAAAGCCTTATTCAGTAGATCATCCGCAAGCAGAGAGATATATGCATCCCTTTTCGATGGTTGAATATTGGGGCCTGCTGTGTATACTGAGGAAGCGTCATCCATGGATGGGTCCTCATTCTCCATGAAGCTTATATGGCCGGTATTAGATTCGTCAGAGTGAAGCTGTTGATCTTCATTCGTTTCGGTGTTTTGAACAGGCCTTTTGTAATCATGAGTTGGCAATGATGCATAGCCAGAGTCTGTGGCGGATGTGAGAGCCTCTGATTGTTCAGCATCTGCAGTGTAGTTAGAAATCAGCTTCTGCATTGATAACGAGAGGGCGATAAGACTGGCTGGGGTGATGTACCTCGATAGCTGCCCGCTCGGGAACGAGAGCGTGGCAAGGGAGTAGCGTTACCATCTGCGTCTCGAGGGACGTTGTACGTATGCCGAATTTCTAGCAGGTTTGGGTTTTTCCAAATCTCCCCAGGAAGCTCCGGGAAATCAAGGGCCTTGCCTGATTTATCATAATCATCAACCCAATTATGCGCCTTGTTACCGAGTGCGTTGCCTATAGAAATAACATTGCCCGAGTCGTCTGCGGAAGTCCGATGTACTGTGCTACCTGAAGATATATGCCGGCCAATGGTGGATGCGTCATTCGAAATGCCAGTTTGCATGGTCGACATACGGTCAAGGGCATGGTGTGATACAGTAGAGAATCCTGTATCGGCATGCCTCATTATGGCTTGATGGTCAGTATGGCTTCTATCGGAGTAAAACTGCTGAAATTCATCCATAACGACGTCCTGAGTATTCTCTTTATCGTCATGAGCTGTTGCGTGAATAGGGCGAAGATCTGTTTCAATAATTCCTTGAATTTGCTGTATTTGTGTGCGAGCATCTAAAAGTGGACTTTTGCGAATGCGTTCCACTTCTTCAGCCCAATGTTGCAATTGTTTCGTCTCTTCTATATCGTAAGATTGTTCATCTCGAACTGCAGCTCCCGTTAGTGAACCGCGAACCGGTGCCAGTAAGGTAACACACACATGGGCTAGGGATGTGGATATCTTCAGGAAATAATATGCGGTACATGTTTTTCCATTTTTCAGACTCCTCAATCCCTCGTTTCATCGGTATTTTTAGCTGAGGTATAACATTTTCCGTCGTATATAGATTTTCTTTCTGTTCGCATTGTAATTGGCTACGATGCTGCAGCAAAGATTGAGCATCTTTGAGATCTTCGAAGCATCTGTCGCAATGATTCATTGGAAGTGTGTGCTTGCGATATACGTGTTCTCTAAGAAAGAAAACAGATCATCAATGTCACTTTCTCGGCTTTGCTTCTTGCAGAAGGTATGCACTAACCTATCTCTGTGGTACTCCTTCCATGAGTTATGTGCACATGTTTCCCATCCGCCTCGCTCAAAACTTGCATTTTGTTGGTCCCTCTGACAAAATGGACAGGCGAAATGCTTGTATGAGTCTTCATTGGATGAAAATATTGCAAAATCAGGAGAATTGCCTCTGCCATCCCGGGACTCATCTTCGTTTTTCTCGGCTCGTTTAATAGCTTCAGGATCCATTGTACATAAGGGCCACGAACACAATCCGGGCGCCTTCAATAATCGTGGCTCACTTTATATGTTAGCAAATGGGATTTCTTAGCAGTGAAGACCTAAGGCGAACAGTACGCGGGGAAGAGGATTCGGGCTATTGTCACAGCCTGATTCTTACAGCCCAACTCTTATAGTTGTATTCAAGGGGCCTTTGGGGATTAACATAAGACCGAAGAACCAATAAGAGAATTGACCGCAGATTGCTGAATACAAGGTACGTATTATACATCAAATATACGCAGGCTTTACGCAAATAAATATAGCGTGAATAAAATTCACTTATACAACGCACAGCTCGCAATCCATAACATATTAGACACGTACGAACGAATAAGATTCTTTTTTCTTTTAATCCTTATATCTGATTTAGTCCAAACACAGTTTTTCAGGCAAACAAATTGAGAAGCACCTACTCTTCTTAGTACAAAGAAGAGAGATTGGGCCTCTCGACTATTTACGGTTATTTATGGCAGTACGCCGCAATCTTACGCGTATGTATAAAGTAGTTCAATATCATCGAGAAACACAGCTGTCGCTTACCAAAAAGTCTATTCCATAGGCATCTCAGATGATCAAATAACAGAAGAAAAAACCTGCAAGAGTGGACAATGTAGCTTGATGGAAATTTCCGTGTATGTATTTCCTTTCTAACGTTATACTTATTAACATCCTTCTCCTGGATCACCTCTTTATATATATAATCCGTCAATACCGGTCTCTCTTTCTTTTCTCACTCTCTCTCAGGACACGCTCTAGTATATCTATGTCCCGTCTCTCTTCCCATATTTTCGCAATCGTGTGCAAATAAGACAGACTTTGTCTAAAAGAAAAAAAGGAAAAAAAAAACTTGGTATCTGAGGAGGCTACTTCGCGTATGCCAATAACATTGAAAAACACAAATAAAACAAAATCCCTGGCTTGCTGTTTCCTTTTCTGACTCCGCCAATTGTATCCGAATTTGACATCAAATTGAAAAAGGAAAAAAAAAAAAAAAAGGGGGGGGGGGGGGGGGGGGGGGGGGAAGAAGAAGAAGATCCCAAAGCAATATTAACAAAGGGGAGGGGGGGAGGAAAAAACGAATACCAAAAACTCCCAGGCTTAAAACGATTCGCTTAGCAACCGTATATATATGCAAATCTTAAAAACGCGACGGGTATGAGAATGATCAAACTTGTCACATATGCCATGTCATGATAGACAGATGTGTATTATAAAGCGGAACAAGGGAAAGAAAAATCGCTGCATGATTGATAGCATTTTTCTGAGCAGGTAGTGCCGTTCATCGCCTTCACGTGTCGCTCGACACAGAAAGATTCTGATACTTGCTCACCAGCTCCTCAATTTTAGGAATGAGCTCAGGGATGCGGAATGGCTTGGAAATAACATCGTCCTAGACGAAGCAAGTGGTTAGCGACATGGTCAGAAAGACAAGGATATAATCACGAGAGAGATGATGAAACTTACAATTCCTGCAGCCTTTGCATTCTCAATTTGTTCCGGCCGTGCATAAGCCGTAACCGCAATGATAGGAATGTGTTTGGTAATTGTCCCTTCCTTTTCGAGTTCACGTATCTTCCTTGCGCAAGTCATGCCGTCCATGACAGGCATCTCCAAGTCCATAAGAATGACAGATATATCAACACCTTCGGCCTCTTGACCTGCCCAAAATCTTGATTTCTGCAGTGTCTGAAGTGCCTCTTTACCGTGGTTGGCCACAAACGTGTTATTACCGTAGTTACGGAGCTGTCGCTGCAACACCTTCTGATTGACAATATTATCTTCAACAATGAGAACGTCAAAAAGAGGGTTGCGGCCTGTATCCGACTGGCTGCGCGACGCAGAACCGCCCGCGGGTTGGCTGTTGGTAGAAGGCGTCTGAATCTTTCGTTCGAGCTTGAATGGCGTGATGTGTTCATATTCAGAAGGAGGATTCAGGCATTTGCGACTCTGTATGTAAAAGCTGAACTTGCTTCCAGCATCCCGCTGCGAAGAGACGCCGATCTGACCACCTTGCATTTCAGTCAAGATCCTGGAGATGAATAGTCCCAGCCCAGAGCCACCATATTGCACATGCGTCCGAGGGGTGGCTTGCTGGAAGCGTTGGAAGAGGACCTTCAGTTCCTCATCACCAAGGCCGGTGCCGGTGTCCTCCACTGAGCAGTGGATATTGAAACGTTCACCAGAGCCCCACTCCTCTTCATTGTCAATATTCATGCCGGCCGTCCGCTGTATATCGTTTCGCTCAAAGTAAAACGTTCCTTGGCTTGTAACCTCAGACATGTCTTTCGTCGCGCACATACTCACGATAATGGTACGCTTCTCTCGGCCCTGTGTGAACTTGATAGCGTTGGTCATGAGATTAATCAGTACTTGTCTCAGTCGTGACGGATCCAGCTTTGCCCAGTTAACTCCATAGGTTTCGAAACTATTGTCGACGATGAATTCGAAAGCTATATCATGCGCAATCAACTCTGCTTCAAACATCTTGAGCGTACGATGGACAACCTTTATTGGCTGCTCATCAACGGGAGTGACAGCTAATAAGCTAGAATCGAGTTTCGACAGCGTTAAAATATCGTCGACAATGCGCTTTTGGTGGCTGGCGCAGAGATTGATGGTATTGGCAGCATCAAGACAGGATTCCAAAAGAGAGTCTACTTCTGCCTTGTCTGAGTGGGCTGTGAACGAGGCAATGCTATTGGCGATTTGATCGACACACTGGAGGATCGCCGACAAGGGGTTCCTCATTTCGTGGCTCGTAATGTCAATGAAATTTTCTTGCTGGCGCTTTAGCTCCACAGCTTCTTCGCGTCTTTCGCTCTGGACCCTTTCAGCCCACTTCTGAGAAGATATATCTGTAATGCAGCCAAAGATGGATGCCAGGCTACCGTCGGGGCCCTTCTCTGGAAAGGCGCTCATCAGGACCCAGGTGTCGACTGTGTGATCTCCGCTAAGTTGGCTGTAGTTGAATCGAAATTCCAATGAAATGGTCACTTTTTGCTCCAGAAGGCGTGTCCAAGCTTCCTCTAGTCTAGGCCTATCTTCAACTCGCACGCTATCCATCCAAACAGTACCTATTTGCTCGGATCGAGCGTTGCGAGAGATCTGCCACCACATGTCGTTGCAGTAGTCGATATGGCCAAGGTTATCGGCAATGAACATTCCAACAGGGGCAAACTCAGCCATACGCGTGAACTTCAGTTCCAACTCGCTGGCTTCTTGTGTACGTTGCTCGAGCTTTTCTGAGAGCTCTTGGCGATCCATCAGGGCGAGATGTGCTGCTCGCTGGCCACGTCGAATCTCTTCCTCAAACAGCAGAACCGAAGCCATGGAGGTTGCTAGCTGCCGCGATAGGAGGTGGATGAATAACTTGTAGTCATCGTTATACGGCCGCCGTGGGTTTACCCCAAGCACAATAAAACCTGTTACAGCTTCGCCGGTGTTTGTAGGAATGACCGGAAAGACGACAATGGTTCTACACGGTTCCCCGAAGCCTCGCCACTCAAATCCTTCTATGAGATGCTTGGGCAGGGTACCGTCATCTTCTGATAACACCACAGGCTCACCACCCCTCGCCAAGGATTGTCGCACATACGGCGCAAACCCTTCGTCTGATGTACGCAGATCTATGGTTTGAGGGGCCGCGACATGGCCTTCTGGGACACCAGGAGATCCCTCGAGAATGAGCTGGGGCGAATGGATAAAGCTACCAGAGTGCAGCGACGACACTTCGCTTTCGGGTTCGTCCCTGACAGAGTAGACCATGCTAAACGGAATGTCATATTCGTTAAACGCCAGGCCTTTCCTCAACTGCGGCCAAAATTCGTTGATGGAAGCCGCTGAAGCCGTCCGCTCTCCTATCTCTCGCAACGTAAGCATTCGGCGCTCGTTCATTCTTCGTCGAGTGTTTTCGAAACAAGGGTTGTATAGACCGACCACCTCGCCCTCTTCGCCAAGGATTGGAATGATGGACCACGAGAAGAAAGTTTCTTCTAAAAATCCATGTCTGTTGATGAAGATCTGGTTATCGTGCTTCATTATTGCTTGACCAGAATCCCAAGCCGTTTTAAAGATGGGCAGGAACTCATCCTTGATTTCGTGCCAGCCATCCGCATACCGTTGGCCCATGAGGTTTGGATGTTTACTGCCGGCCAGGGCTACATATGCAGCGTTATAGAAACTGACAAACTCAGGGCCCCAGTACATGGCGGTTGGATTTGGGCTGGCCATGATTAAATTTGTCATGCCTCTCAGATTGTAGCTCCATTCGCTCATAGGTCCCAATGGTGTAGAGCCCCAGTCAATCGACTTGGCCAATTTGATATGCTCTGGGAGATTATCGTTGTACGGAATCCTGGTCCAGTCAAAGGTCGATCTTACGGGTTGTGATTGCAGTACTTGGTTGGTGAAATCGTCCGGATGGCGTCGGTTTATATCATAGATGGACTCTACGGTGCCAGTTCCGGGAGTTGTGAGGGTAGTGTCTATAGACTCGAGAGGAGGCTTCACAGTGGCGTTACCGAAGTAGTCGGGCGGCTCAAGGATATCAACAGCGGGGGTAACCGGCGTCGACAAAGGTTGGGCACTGATATCTTGCCCGAGCATGATGGTTTCTTCTTCCACTGTTTCTTCCACCATTGGCGGCGTCGGGCGCGTTGCATGATACGCAGCACTTGCGCCAATGAACCGAAACCGCCGTCTTAAAGTTGTGCAATTCCATGTGATCCCGCCGTACTCATAAGTTGATGAAGGCACGTCCAAGGCATCAGTCCCACTAGCCATAGCCCAAGATCTAAACTCATTAAAGTTTTCCGGGAGATCGGGAGACGCAGGGTCTTCTTGCTCGGGGTTCAAAAGGCTGTGGATCGGCTCGGCAGCCCGCAGAGATCCATTATAGTATACGATCGGCAAGCCAGGGCGGTTAGTGTTTGCTGAGTTGGCGAGATCAACCAGGAACGTCGGCCTATCGTCGTGCTCGAGAAGCTCAAGAACGCCGACACCCTGAAGCATCTGCAAGCTAGGGGGCAGGCTGCGCATATCCGGGCTCAGAGACGGTACAGACATGTCCATGGACGACGGTGTGCTGCCGGAGAGAGCCGCATTTGTGGAGCTAACGCTAGCCCTGGGGAGTTTCAGCGTCGTGACAGTCCCTGCAGTTTCCTCGCGAGCTTGTGTTATAATGGCCGAAGCGGCATCTGATACAGGAACGCTATGAGGACGAGGGAAGTGGCGTGCAGGGCCATGGGAAAAGAAGAGAGGGGAGACTGCATCTTCGCGGTTCACTTGCATGGAGCTCAGAGGAAACATGGCATCGCTTAGCATTTCCAGTCTCCTCGAAGGCGAGGCGCCCGTGCGAGGCTTCTTGGCCGGTACCGACCCCATCGCTTGGCCGTGCTTGCTTCTGCGCGACTGGCGCTTTCCGGCTCTTTCGGCGGATGACGAATCTGCGGCTTCAGCCTGGCGTAAGCCCGGGTGTCTCTTTGGCGATGGTAGGGCCGCAATCGGGTTTGCTGGGGGCTGAGAGCCTGCTTGACCAGTGTTGCTATTGTCAAGATGCCATGGCATCGGCAGGCCTGCCGAATGGTGTCTGGAGTGCTCCTGGCGCGAAGTGCCCGCAGAGAAGGGCGAGGATGCCGTCTCCAGCGCCGCCGCAAGAGGTCGAGGAGAGATTGCTGGTTCCTGGCCAAAGCTCGGGGGAGGATTCGGTGGCCCGGAGTCAGAGGTAGCGCTGGGGGCCTGGGTCGAGGCTGGTGCTGATGCTGATGCTGATGCTGGTGCTGATGAGGACGACACGGAAGACGGGTGAGAGATGCCAGTAGAAGAAAATGCAGAAGCAGAGGCGGAGGCAAAGCCAGAGCAATCTGCGGAGGAGTCGTCCTCGGTCTGCATTAAGGCGGCGGGAGGGGCGAGGATGCCAGAGGACAGAAAGAAGGAGCTCGCTTCGAAAAGCTTGGTTGCAGCAAGGCAAGACCTGAGATTCACTGACAGCGGGGTTTGGAGAGGGTGTCGATCCTTGTCAGGACACCCGAGTGGCGGACGGGTCTAGGCCTACTGGGGGACTTGTCCAAACGAGATCGAGATGGTCCGACGAGCGAGGGTGGATGATGGGTGGATATGGCCGACCGAGCGAGCGAGCCGTCGCCGTTGACCTTCTATGGGTAGCCGCACCTGGAATGTCTTTCAACGGCTCTGGAGGCCATGCGGGCAGGGCATGAGCGCGGCAGCCGATGAGACGTCGATTACGGCACGGCGTATAGACAACAGGACCCTCTACGTGCTCTGTATACGAGGAGGCTGCCGGGCAGGCGAGCAAAGAGTAGCAGCAGGACCAGGACCAGGACCAGGTATCGAGTTCCCTATGCGCAGTATAACAGCTGAAACGAGGGTATAGACGGGCTGAACAGCACTCAGTCGGCGTCCAGAGACGTCTTAGAATCGCGAGCTGAGCTTATGGAAGAGTCGTGGCTGTGGGACCTCAGAATGGCGAAAGGGAGCTCCAGGGCGTAAGCAGCTTTGTGCGGCATCGATAGAGGCGAGCCGCGCAGCGCAGCTTCCAGCAACTGACGGGCAGCAACTGACGGGCAGCAACTGACGGGCAGACGACGCAGAAGAGACTCACCGGGTCTGTCCTGGCGATGGATCAACGCAGACGAGTGCCGGCGATGGTCGACGGACCCGACAATAAGGGTCGCTTTGCCGGGGAACTGCTGATCAGCGCTGATGCTCCGGATGTCAGTTGCCTGAGTGGAGTTGCAAAGCCCAACGGGCGACGAGAGCCGGCAGGTGTCAGAGCGAAGGCAAAAGGGCTGATGGACCGCGAAATCATCGATTCAAGCAATCCCGGCCAGAGTTCCCCCACTGGCTCCATGGGCTGCCAGAGCGGTCGTAGCGGTCGCATCGCTAGCAATAGTGCTGGTGGCAGCATTGATTATGCCGGCACCTGCGCTGGACTAGACAGATATTGGCCCTGTGCTACTGCTGCTAGCAGCTGAAGGAGGAACCACAGCAGAGCCGATGCAGGGAGACGACGGGATGGATGTGGATGCCTCGGTGGGGGGGTGCAAAAGGTCTATCGTGGGTCGACCGTTTTTTTTTTTTTTTTTTTTTTTTTTTTTCTTTTTTTTTTTTCCTGTGTTTTAGCTGCAGCACTGCCGATTCCAACTACGGTGCCTGATTGGGCTGTCCACACTGTCCGTCGCACCTACCAGGCCCTTTCCCTGCGCAGCAGCATAGTGCGCATTAGCCTGCAAATGTCACCACGTTTTACTCTCCTGCTTGAGGAGAATGGATCTCTATTCGGGTAATTTCCAGCAAATCAGCCCTCCGCTAGCAGTGCTACTGTGCAAATAGAGGTGGCGAAGCAGGGGGTCCGTGGAGGAGCTGCTCCGGAGCTAGACCAGGTATTTTCTTCTGCTACTGTACAGTAATAAACGGCTGGCATCCCAAGTGGAAAGAGACTTTTGGTGTCAAAACAACGGCTGTCATATCTCGCCCGTATTGTACGACACATGAGAATTGATTACAGAGACTTACATGTACTCACGATTCACGGCATACCAAATTTCAGGTTGACATGCACAGGCATATAAATTCAGTCCACCTCATATGCAGGTACATAGTACAAAGACATACCTCATATAAAACAGCACCTGGAGGATTCGTGGCGTATTAGGTACTGTAGCAGCCCATACAGGTGCAGTACATTGGCATTTGGCCTAACATTTGGTAAGAAAAAAACGATTTCCCAGCGCACGGCGGTTTTGGAGTCACGCTCGCACTCGTTGCTCTAGACCGTTCTAGATTCGTTTGAGCTCTCCACTAAGACAGGGACGAGCGACTTTCATTTGCCGCTGGGTGGAACGGATGAAAAAAAAATTAACAAGCGCCCGAGATAAAGAGGAAAGACAGAGGATAGCATCGGAAAAAAATTTAAAAATGGAAAAAGAGAAAGAAAAAAAAAACTCAAGATCAAGATGAGCTAGATTCCCGAGGCATCAGCAAAAGAGACACATTGGTACGTCAACGGACAACCCGCGGAGACGCTTGGAGAGAAAGCCAACATTGAAGGAGCGCGCATGCACGCACACCTTGGCTTGTTCCTTTGGCTGTCAGCTGTCTCACCATCGGCCTTTGGCGGCTTTATGATACTCGTATTTGTAGACACATGGCATAAGGCCGTGTCTCATAGGTGCGGCCAAAGTGTTGAGTTAGATACACGAGTGCCTTACAGTAGACGACTTGCTGTTTAGCTACTTTTCGGTATTACAGCACTCGTTTTTACTCTTTTAGGAAAACGGGAAGTGAGAGGAGTAGATTCACGCTTCTAATTGAAGGAATCTTGCAAAGCCAGCCCTACCTGACACATACGACCGAGGTATCAATCAGTAGAATATCATAGCGCCAGCCAGTCTGTGAGGAATGTACCAGAATTTAATGGAACCAAACTTCTACGCAGGAAAGTCAACCCAGCAGGGAGTGGATATTTTCGCTGTTGTTAGCCCGTGCTTATTCATCGCCAAACCCTCATCAAGTCGAAACGACCTCGTTGTTGCATGAGCTCGCGGGATATTAGTAGAGCCCTGGAAATCCATGCGCATCTGCCAAGTGCTACCCATTACTGATCAGCTTGCCATCAAATCAGCAACATCCGATGTTTCTTAGCGCCGCGGGCACAAGCACTTGCTTGTAATCACGACCCGTCACTCTGGGGTCTGCTGCAGGTCACTCGATATGCGGCCATTTCACGCGATGGCATGGTTTGCTGGACCTGTTTTGCAGCCGACAGCCCTTTCAGCTGCATTCCCACATGTACCTTATACGAAGTATACTAGTACCTGGGTACTACTCGCGAGAGAGCGCAGGTTGTTACTTCAAGTTGTAATACTGTATTTTTGTGTCCTGCTCCAACTCTGGTCTGAGCTTTATTTAGGCGAGAACTCGGTTTTACAACTCCAGCGGCAAATCTTCTGTCAACTTCAAGCTACCCTACATTTAACCCGCAGCTGGTGCCCATCCAATGTTTGCCGAGGTGCTGGATCGTGATCTACTTGACATCTGAGATTCAAATAGGGAAGCATGGCTCATCGCTATGTGTGTTGAAATCGATGCACAGTCGACTATGCCATAGCATATAACCCAGTGAACCTTCAATGATCATCTTGATTGCATTTTTTTGTCTCAGCTTGCCGCCCCGGAAGCGTCCCGTGCGGAGAAATGGGTGGACCCAAGAAAGACGGGATAAGCAAGGGTTCGTAAATGTTGCCTGTTTTGCTACGATGTGGTGGGACTTGTATGTGTTGCAGGGAATTGCCACTGATAAACCGAGGCTCGCTTATCAAGTTCCCATCAACACCGATGGCGACTTAATCAAGAGTTCTGTCAGAGCGGAAGAGGCGTTCTTGGTTCAAAGTTTAACTGAGTGTAAGCTTACTCAGACGTTAACACGCGGGAAGAAACTACTTGTACACGTTCCTTGGTTCTAAACCAGAGTTCAGAACTGTACAAGTACGTTGAATTGTCAATGTAACAGAGGAGACGTTGAGTCCCTTGCATATGTAGGTACATGTGCGCGACATAAAGACCAATGAGTTCAACTCCTCCCGCATGCATGTCCTTATCAAAACATGCAAAGCAACAAAAGAGCCAACCGCGCAATTTTGTGGCGTCCAGGCACTCGGACAGCTCCAAAGCCGCACTGCGAGCCATGGGCCAAGACGCTTGGCTCGGCACACTATTGGCGCCACCGACCATGGCGTGCGGCCGAATAGAATTCAATGATTAGATTGTCTGTACAACACCAGGCCCAACAGCCATGAATGAATGATAAACCTGCTCGCACTAGCTGGAATCATGGGCTCCATCTGCTGAGGGCCCTCGTACTCGCACGGAACCCCGAGCCGGGCGCCTTGCCATGCCAAACTTCTGCAAGCAACGTGCTCGGCGTCACCAGCAGCAAGGGGAGCAGCGCATCGAGGCCGCTACAGTATCTACGTGAAATTTCCCCTGCCCTGGCCCGCTGCCGCTGAAGTCTGGCGATCGCAAGCTCTGATGGCGCGGGCATGCGGGCCACATAATTGGCCTGCCGGCCAATCGTGGCATGCACCTCGGATCTGGGCGCTTAAAACAGAGACAGGACAGCCGCTGCGATTGGCCCGGGGTTTCGCTGTCACCTGGCAGCCTGGCCAATCGCAGCCCATCACAGGCCCAAGCGCCTGCACCTTGCAGAGGCTTCTCCACCGCCCAGCGAGCGCCAGAGACTCTAACTCGCCTGGCTGCTGGGGGGGAGGTGGTCGCTAAAGCGCCCCCCATTCAGTAGAGTTCGGAAGCGCTGGGGACTGGTTCCCTCTCACGAGGCTCTGGAATAAAATGCGTCGGGCCCCCTCAAGAGGCCATTGCACCATTCTTGATACGAAACTGATTTTGAACAAACGAGAAAAGACCAAAGCCTGGAGCTGAAGGGACGACGAAGAAAACGCCGTGGTCGCAAGAGCAGAACGAAGCGAGACCTGGACGCAACAATCACTAATAAGTGAGCATATATGCAGACATGAGCTTTTAGCCCTGCTGCTTTGCTAGCCCTGCATCGCGACGAAGCTGGCATTCGACGCCCTTATCGAGCTGCATTCACAGAGTTTTCGAGCAAGTTGTTTGATCCAGGATATTTTGCCTTTTCTTCTCAATAGAGAAGGAGAAGAAGAAGAAGAAGAAAAAGAATAGGAAAAGGAAGCAGAAAAAGACTGTCCAAAATGGGTATCTTTGGCCCCGCCGGTCGACCGTGGACTTACCACATCCTCCATCGCAAATGGCCCAGAGTCCCAAGATCGGCGATGCGCTGGCTGATGCTGGTGGAATTCGTCGGCTTGATTCCTCTGCTCGTCATCACGGCCCTCTCTCAGCCGAATCTGTATCGAACTGCGCTGTGGCAGATTGGATGGGACCACCGTCTCAACTCAAACCCCGCCATCATTCTCTACGCCTATGCCAACCACACGAATCAGCCGAAGCTCGCCTTCATCTGGTCACAAAAGTCAGTTTATCAAGAGCCCGATGGCGAGAAAGAAAACCGTTGTTAACCCTTTTGTGAATAGGCTCACTGACTACAATGTCGCCCTCGCCGTCATCTCGCTCTTCTTCCTCCTCACCAAGCTCATTGCTGTCATCATGCGAGTTTGGTATCCCATTGTATCTACCGTCAGCTCCATTGCCCTAGTTGTGCTTTACAGCGTGAGCACCTATGGCCAAGTCGGACCCGATTATACCGACCCGAGATACCCAGCACCGGCGGCGTGGTACTTTAGATATGGCTGCGATATGGCCAAGCCATACGGCCAGTACAACAACTGCCAAATTGCGCAGAGTTCGCTTTTTATCACGCTATACATGCTGTAAGTCTTGGTTCAATTCACATGACAATCTGTATGCCGTACTGACTCTGAGTCTAGAGCTGTCTACTTGCTGCTCCTTGGCTTCTCCCTCTACTCCATGTGGCCCAATCACCTCAACGACTTGGATACCGACGAGGATGAAGACGATGAAGTGCCTATGAAAGAGGGCAAGAGCATAGAACTGGGCGGCCTGAAAGAGATGGGCATGAAGCAGCCAATGGCTTCGGGAGCCGTGCCTTTTACGCCGAGAACACACGCTTTCCATATTCTCGACCGAAAGCTCCCACTAAGACAGGAGAGTGAAGCCGTGTCATATGCTTAGGAGCCAGCCGGCTTCACTTTTTCTTCCTTCATGTCGTTATATGTCCGCCGAAAAGAGGCGTGTTTGAATTATTCGGATAAGGCAACGGCGCAAGGTTTTCTCATGCAAGCAATAGGATGGATGGTAATGAATCTGGGCCCTGGAGGCCATGGAAGGGAGAGCAGAAAGGATTGGAGTGAGGAAACCCGCCGACAAAAGGCCATCGTCCACAACCATGTACATGTGTATTTTTCATTTCTTTTGTCACATACTTTATATACCCAAGCACGATGATCAATCAAGGTTCAATTTGAAACTACATAACCAATAACACCTTTTCCCACCTGGTCACGAGTCTCAAGTACACGCAGCAAAACAACTTCCTATTCCAGGCATTAATGCTCCCGTTCCGGCCCCAGCCCCGGCGTGGCTTCAACCGGCCCGGCCTTGTGCATATTAGACCTAGGCCTGCCTCGTGCATGTCGCGAATATGTACAAGTAAAAGTAATCCACGCTTCTACCCGGTTCTGGCCGCCAGCTTGTCGCAGAGATGGATCCTGATCCAGCGCCGGTACCCCGCCAACCCGCTGCTGCAGTGCCGCGTGAACGTCACTGATCGAGTTCCCCGCCTCGACCCGCGCTTTGACCCGGGCCGGTTCATGACATGTTGCCTCCTCCGCAATCTAGACTCGAGTATTTCCAATCACGTACCGCCAAGCTGCATCCAGAGCTACTAGCGAACCCCCAACATCCAAGGCTTTAGACTGTGTGACGAGCCTGTAGACTCATTGGTATAACTAGATTCCTCTGCCCTCTCTTTTGTGTGTTGCAATTCTTCCGTTTCAATGGCGTTACTGCATCGACTTGCTGCTTCCTCGGCCTATCGCTGCGCTCCCGGTATATCGTCGATTCTAGTCAGAAGAGCTTCCACCATGGCCCCCAAGGTACGTGCCAGGCCGCTGTGGCGCAATTGGTCCATGCCATCGCTCCTGGGAGTAGCCGAAAGCTAATTGGAGTCGAACACGACAACAGCTCAGAGATCCGTCTCTGTTGAAGAAGGATGTTTGCTATGTCAATGGCGCGTGGGTGACTGCCAAGTCGGGCAAGACCTTTGAGGTCACCGGTGAGCTTCCTCCTTATTTATTCGTGTTGTGCGGAGTAGTTCTACGAATGTTTCGCTAATCAGCTTGTCGATTCCACCACAAAAAGATCCCGCCACCGGCGAAGTCATCACAACATGCCCCGAATTCACCACCGCCGATACTGAGTCCGCCATCACCGCTGCCGCCGACGCCTTCAAGACCTTCCGAAATCTGACCGGCCGCGAGCGCGCGAAGCTGCTGCGCAAGTGGTACGACCTCGCCGTGGAGAACACAGAAGATATTGCCCAGCTTATTACCTGGGAGAACGGAAAGCCTCTCGCAGATGCCAGAGGTGAGGCCGCCTACGCTGCCAACTTCTTCGAGTGGTTCAGCGAGGAGGCTCCCCGCACGTACGGCGACGTCATTCCGGCCAGCGTACCAGGAAACCGAGTATGGACTACCAAAGAGCCCGTTGGTGTTTGCGGTCTGATCACTCCGTATGTTATATGTGCCTGTTTTCTTTTTTTTTTTTTTTCTTCTTTTCACTCTTGGGATGTAGACCGCGTTGCGCTGACACAAGATGATCACAGATGGAATTTCCCTGCGGCTATGATCACGAGAAAGATTGGCCCGGCTCTTGCAGCGGGATGCACCGTCGTGTGCAAGGCGCCCTCTGAGACCCCCCTCACAGCCCTTGCGCTTGCTGAGCTGGCTCACCGAGCTGGAATTCCCAAGGGCGTTGTCAACATCGTGACGACAAATGATAACACCGTCGCCATCGGCGAGCAACTGACGACAAACCCTACAATCAAGAAGGTTTCCTTTACTGGCTCCACCAACGTCGGCAAACTCCTGATGAAGCAGTCATCCAGCACTCTCAAGAAGCTGTCACTGGAGCTCGGTGGAAACTCTCCCTTTATCGTGTTTGACGATGCTGATATCGACGCTGCTGTCGCGGGCGCCATTGCTTCCAAGTTCCGATCTTCAGGACAGACCTGCGTGTGCGCCAACAGAATCTATATTCAGGAGGGCATCTACGAAGAATTCGTGGCCAAGTTTGTCGAAAAGGTCAAGGCATTCAAGATTGGCAACGGCTTCGCCGAGGGTACCACTCACGGACCTCTCATCCACGACCGCGCCATCGGCAAGGTTGACTTCCACGTCCAAGACGCCATCAAGAAGGGCGCCAAGCTCCTCGTCGGTGGCCAGAAGCTGCCTGATGTTGGATCCAACTTTTACGACATGACTGTCCTGCGTGACATGAACGCCGATATGGCTATTGCCTCTGAGGAGACATTTGGTCCCGTTGCGGGCCTCTTCAAATTCAAGACAGAGGCAGAGGTTGTCAAGCTGGCGAATTCTTCCGAGGTTGGCCTGGCTGGCTACTTTTACGCTCGTGACCTGGAGCGAGTTCACCGTGTTGCTGAAGCTCTGGAGGTTGGCATGATTGGTATCAACACCGGTATCATCTCCGACCCTGTCTCACCTTTCGGAGGTGTCAAGGAGAGTGGTTTCGGTAGAGAAGGATCAAAATACGGTATTGCAGAGTACCAGATTACAAAGATGATGACCTATGGTGGAATGGGCAAGCCTCTTCAGAGCTAAATATGTGAAATACGCAAGGGAGATGGAGGAGTTAGCTAAAAGCTTCTAATGTTCTACGATACAATGAGATGATGATATCACAAACAATGAGGCAAGGTTGCGAAGCTAATAGTAGAGTGAAGTGTGATGTGATTTCGATCATCTATACTCTTCGTACCTAGTATAGAGTTTGTTCAAGGGCAGCGTTTTCATGACCAGCCCAACAGTAGCCTCAGAATCAAGCACCCATAGCAACACACTCCTTGAACTAATTTGCAAGCAACAACCCGTACTGCGGGTTCAACTGCACAGCTGCTTGAGCCATTTTGCCTTCTTGTAGACAATCTGAAGGGCCATTAGCAGGCTACCTTCATATACCTGTTTACCTTGCCGCTAACCCAACAAGAAATCGCACGACTATGTGGCGCAGTGGTTAGCGCAGTCGCCTTACAGAAGTACCGCGAAAGGTCGCAGGTTCGACCCCTGCCATGGTCATTTCAATCATTAAGATTTATTTTTTTGCTCATATTGATTCCATTTGCAGAAATTGGCTTAGTTTTTGCGTGTTAGTTGGTATGTCAAGTAATGCATCGCAGGCGCAATGGCAATTTTATGGCCTCTTTTTGCGTTAGCTTTGATGGTGTTTCGAGTATAAGAGGGGCTTCAGAGGCAATGCAGCTATATACATGTATATGCATTTATATATACATAGGTACTCAAGCTTCGGAATTCTATACTCAATCAAACCAGGATTTGCGAGTCTAATGCTATGCACCGCACCTATTGCAATCACGTCGCTGTGGTGCATGCCGTTCTATTCGCTGCCAACAAGCTGGGGAATAGAGTATTCCTGATTACAATAGCAAATGTACTTTGAATCTCGAAACAAAATGACCAATAAACAAGCCTAGGTTAAACCAGATATATAAGTCGACCAGCCATCTTCATCCATCAAGATTGCAAGCAGATTCGGGTATTCAATTTGAAGAGAGCGCCAGTCCTTATTGCAACTCAGCCGCCGCTTCTTATCTTATCACCCAACAGCTCGTGCCAACCATGTACGTCACCCCACCTCTGCAAGCTCTTTACAAGCTGCTTCTAACACGAGCAGTCTTCATCAACCGCACATATCCTTCACCATGGCGCTCTCTCGTTCAAGTGGCCTTGCCGGTCATGGAATGCGCTTACTTGCGCAAGCAGAAGGGTAAAATTCTTCATGCAAGCAACTCAATTGAACTGCCAATTCAATTCGAGATTGTGAGAGCTCTGCGGCTAACTATTGCCAATATATAGACGTCTCTACCTTTCCTCTGCATCGCCAGCCTCTCGCCTCTCATCAACAAGCTTCAAACATACCAACAAAGCTCCTTGCGCCGCTTCACTCGCTCGTCCATTCAGCCACTCCTCATCTCTCCTCAAAAAGCGCAAAATCGCTCCCGCAAGCAACAGCCCCGAGGCTTCTTCCTCATCATCACCACCACCACGCTCCTCCTCCTCCAACAAAGCCGCCGACACCACCCACCCCAACCCCGAAGACCCCCTCGACTTCTCCTCCATAATTGCCGCATACGCCCCCATCGACATCCACTTCAAAACTCAGCTCCAAGCCGTCCTCCACGGCGGCCGCTTCAACCCCGACGCCCTCGGCGCCCTCCCCGTCGCCCTCAAAGACGATGACGGCTCCAAAGTCACCTTTCCCCTGCACGAGCTCGCCCAGATCGTGCCCCGCTCCGGTCGCATCATCTCCCTCCTCGTAAACGACCGCGAGTACCTCAAGCCCATCATGTCCGCCGTCCAGTCCAGCAAGGACTTCAACCAGCAGCCCCAGCGCTCCGACGACAACGAGCTCGAGCTCCTGCTCAAGGTCGAGATGGAGCGCAAGGACGACCTCGTGCGCCGCGTCAAGGAGGCGTGCCAGGGTTGGAGGGATAGGGTGCGCCAGGCCCGGACCAAGCACGAGAAGGCGCTCAAGGAGTGGAAGAAGAATGGCACCGTGCTGCCGGATGTAGTGAGGAAGGCGGACAAGGAGCTGCAAAAGGTGCAGGATAAGAAGATGAAGGAGATTGATGGCGAGGAGGCGCAAGTGATTAAGCAGCTTGATCGCAATTGAGTTGTGAAGGAGGGTGGGATATCATCATGTACAATACAAAAAAACAAGAAACACTTCACGCATTATCACAGGATACAAGTAAGGGAGCAGCTATATCTGCACACTTTTCATGACCAATTTTTTTATATATAACTCAGAATATCAATAAGACTTCAGTATCATAACACAGTCCATGTTTCTATCATTTCTTTTTAATCGTACAAAAATACATGTATATATATATATATTCACCCCTTTTTTTTATTTTTCCTACACCATCCCATCTTCAAGCCTTCGCCTTCACATTCTTCCCGCCCTTGGCACCAGCGCCAGCTCCCGCAGCGCCCAGCAAAGACGTCAACTTCTTCTCAAAGCTCTCCACATCCCTCTGCGTATAAGTACCCGCCCTCAAATGCCACGACCTCGAAATCCCCACGGGGTCCGTCGCAAACGTAGGCTTCTCGTGCTTGCCCTCCACGGCAGACTCCAGAATGGTCTTCTTGATGGACTCCTCAGCGTCCTGGATGATGGGCTGCTGCTGCTGCTGCTGCTGCTGCTTTTTTCCCTCCTTGCCCTCCTCAGCTGGTGATGCCGCCGCCGCCAGCTCCTCTTCCTGCTTCCTCTTCTCCTGGAGATACTCCTCCGCCGCCTCCCTCGCCTTCACATCCGCAAAGAACCGCGCCCCATTGGCCTCCACCTCATCAGCATAGCTCTTCGCCTGCAAACCCTGCGGCACGCCCACGGGGTCAGCCCTTCCACCAATGATGTTCAAATTCTCCATCACAGTAGCCAAGCGGCCCTCCCTCGTAGAAGGCATCGCAGGAACAAACGCCGCCAGGCCCTCCTTGGTCAAAGAAGGCGCATACGTCGTCTTGGTGCCGAATCGCATCGCGTCGTCAAACTGCTGCTCCTGGGGATCCATTCTCTCAAAGGGATCCTGTCTCTTTCCCCGCTGGCCGGCACCAGCAGCAGCCTTGTCGCCGCCTTCTTTGGCCTTTGCCGCTCTACCACCACCACCAGGCCTACCGCCTCTACCTCCTCGTGAAGCACCACCGCCAGCTCGTCCTCCCCGTCCGGCACCTATCGCAGACGTCCTCCCTCTGTTCGCACCCGCAAATCGGTTTCCGCTCGGTGAAGCAGTTCGGGGCCCTGTGCCTGCTGCGTTCTGCCCGCTGCCGCCTCGTCCGCGCAGTCCACCCCGCCCCCGAAGCATTCCTCCCCTGGGAAGACTCCGCACATCGATTACTCGGGGCTGTGCCGGCGCCGCTGAAGAGCTTGTAGGGTTCTGGGCTCCCTGGCTGCCTGTTCGGTTCTTTTGTAGGGCATTGATCTCGCTGGCCGCCGCGCGGGTTCGCTGTCGAGCCGAAGGTTTGGCATTGGGGTCGCTGGGGGTCTCGTCAAACTGCGATTGCGTCGTGGAGAACTGGCGGAAGTAGCCTCTTAGGGCATATCCTGCGTTCCCCAGCTCTGGCCTCGCTCGGTGTAGCGAGCGGAGTGTCTGTGAGCTCATGGCGGCGGTTGGTGGCTGTTGAACCTGAACCTGAACTTATTCTGCTGAAGTGGGATGGTCTTGATGCGAAGACCAAAATCTGTCGCTTGATGACTAAGCACACAGCCGCCATATATCGCAAGGCAAGCATGCTACAGCCATGCAATTTCCCAAGGTATGAGCACTACGAATCACCAAATAACCAGATCAAAAGTATTTTCAAGAAGAAAAAAAGCCCCATTTTGAATGTTTCTACCAAAAGTTGGCTCAAACAAGTAGGCGCGTAATCTAAAATTGCGGTGGACGTCTCAGAGACCCCCAGCGTGAGCCCATATTGTATAGAGCTCCAGTGAACAATTCCCCAATGCCATGGTTATAGATCCTATCTGCTACAAAGTCTTGTTCATCTACCCATTGATCCTCCCACGTTCATGGCGCCGACATGTATTGAAAAAGGAGAGAAAAGAATAAAGCAAACAAAGAATAATTTCCGCCTGCCCAAAAGAAATGCGGCCCATAGCAGGGCGTGATGCCAAGAGACCGTTTCAGGTCTTGGCTCAGACAATTACGTTTTACCGTTCAGATAAGCCAGTCAATTCCTCGCCACGGTTATTACCCCGTGGCTATAGTGGCCACATACTGTGTTGCCTTGCCATATCAATCACATGGACACATAGTCCCCTTTCCTGAGAATATGGTATAAGATGTATGGTGTTGCCTGCTGGCAACTTCAAGCCGCCTCCTAGTTTCTTTTTTTTTTGTCGTTGGAAAAAAAAATAGAATGCAAATATTGAGAGAGGAGAGTGAGTAAAGAGAGCACAGTTCTCTTGAAAATTCGCGTCATTAGACACTCTGAGGCATGACCAGTGCAGGCTACCGAATCGTTAGTATATACGCGATTTGACAGCTGAGCGGCCTACTTACAGGACTGTTAAGCATTTGCTGACGCTTATTCCGGCCTTTCTTAATGTGGCTCTTTAGAGCACTAGAGTCGAGAGGTTTGAGAAGCTCAAAGCTGCAAAGCAACTCGGACGATACGGACATGACTGCACCCCAATTATCGAATTCACCGCAATACTATAGATGGTTAGTAGGGTGAACAACATTTGAGCTGTAGTGTATGTCAAAAGAACAAAGGGAACTCACATTTGGTGCGCTAAACACTGTGACTAATACTCGATCGTTAAAGAATTCATACCCGTCTTCTACCACCATGTGGGCGCGGCAGACCAAGTCAAAGTCATGAGTTGCGAGGAAATCGGTGATAACCTTCTTTCCAAAACAATAACTGACTCCTCGCTCATTTGCTTCCCAATCTTGCTCCATATCGGCCGGATCAGCCCACAGAAGGTCATTCAGCAACCCGTAGTCGGGAACGTCGGTGGGCCGTGCGATGTTGCGAATATCGTCCATGTGGCTCAAAGCAGGCGACAGGCCTCCATGGACACAAAAGATCTTTCCGGCCACAATGGCAGCAATCGGAAGCGTATTGAAGCAATCGATAAAGGTCTTCCAGACTTTAATGTTGCACCTTCGCTTACATTCGTCATAGAAACCGTAGACTCGGGTCACGTTGGCACACTCGTGGTTTCCTCGAAGCAGAAAGAAGTTTTCGGGGAATTTGAGCTTGTAGCAGAGCAGGAGCAGGATTGTTTCGAGAGATTGCTTCCCTCGATCGACATAGTCTCCGAGGAAGAGGTAGTTGGACGTTGGGGGAAATCCGCACATCTCAAACATACGAATGAGGTCAGTATATTGCCCATGCACGTCTCCAACGATTTTGACGGGCGCATCGAGCTCCAGTAGCGCGGGCTGGGCCAAGAAGATCTCTCGGACTCGAGCACATATAGCCATGATTTCCGCGTTCTTGAGACATACGCTCTTGGTGACCTTGCCGGCGTACCCAGCGTCGAGTAGTCTCTTAATATAGTCATCAAGGTCCATCTCCTTGATTTCGTCCATGCCCATGGCATCATTCTTGGGCTTCTTAGGCTTCTTGACGGGAGTGTCCGCTCGCTTCACTAGAATGGACTGGCCCGGAGGGAGTAAATGCGTATTGAGGCTGGCGTTGGCCGACGGAGGCTGGTCGGAAACGTGGTCAACTTCGCCAGAAGCCTGTGCAGCGCTCACATCGTGCGCGCCACTCATGACTGATTCGGACACTGGGGACGGCGGGGGCAGCCCGTCTTCGTTTGAATTCGCTGCGGATAGGTCGGTCGAGGGGCTTCTCAGCGGGATCGTGTCGGTGCTTTTGCCGGAGCGGGAGATGCTGGAGCGACCGCTCCTACCAGACTTGACTGAAGCAGCATCGTCGCCGTTGAGCACAACCGAGTTTCTCGGGCTGTCAGTCTTACCGCTGCCGGGGATTTTAGACCGCAGCCCACGGAAAGATCGAGTCGAGTCTTTGGTATCCGACTTGCTAAAGGAAGGATAAGATTGGAGGCCGTCTCCGCCGCCGTTTTTGGAGCCGCCCTCTTTGGAAGATTGGTTGCCCATTGTAGTTCAGATGGATGAGGCTAGAGAGCCCACAGAGTGCGAAGTTGCTGATTTTTCGATGCAGCAAAAATTGCGGAGAGAAAAAAAAAAAGTTGTCGCAAGATTACCAACGAGGCGAGCAGACCTATGCTTTTCCAGACCCTGTCGTTGGTCGGATTTGTCGTCTTGCAACAGCGCTCGTGTGGCAAAAGTCGTTGATGGGAGTTTGGAAGAGGATGAGTAACCGCAATCCCAGCCCGTCTTAGGGAGGATGGAATCGTCGACCGAGGTCGGTAAAGAAAGAGGACCGCTGGCTCCTTGGAGCGTCCGTTTTGGTTGTCTTAGGCGAGAGCCTAGGAGGACAGGCCAGCTTGGAGGAGCTTATAGGAGCTCAGTCGGGATGGAGCGGATGACGTCGTGGCAGCGGCAGCTCGTGACTGGATATTCCGGGTCGAGACCGGCAGCTCTGGAAACAGCGCTCCGGGGTCAGGAACCGCCCACAAGCAGGTCGGGGGTACGATGGTAAAAATGCGAAAGTGGCCTCGGCCGTTGGGAAAAAAAAATTCTAGACGGCGGAATCAGCGCGGCCGGTCCGGAGCGGTTGTGTCTGCATGCGCGGGAGCAGGGCGCAGGAGCGGGGTGGTGTGTGAGTGAGTGTATGTGTGTATGTGTGTACGTGATATAGCAGCAACAAGCTGGGATTTTGCAGAGATGAAGCACACGCAATGGCGTCGCAAGAGGTCAACGCTGCAACAAGAAGAGGCCGTGATAGCAAGGCAGTGATAGCAATAAAGGCACAGCTTCTGCGGGAGACAGCTTGTCCGGGTACTTGAAGAGCCTGTTGGGTGACAGGCGAAGCAGGATGCAACAGATTCGAGACGAAGAAAAAAAAAGGTACCTTGCAGATCAGGGCCTAAGCCGAAACATGGATCTGGTGGTGCCAAAGCCAAGTCTCGGAAGCACGGCCAGGATGTCTCGTCTCGGTTGGACGTTCGCGCAAAAGATGGGATTATGATGGAGGAGAGGGAAGAAGAGAACAAGAACGGTATGCACATACAATTTAGTTTCCTGGAGATACCAAGGCAGCTGAGCGGCTGTTAGGTAGTACTACTAGGCAGATAAGTCTGCTAGATAGAGCGTGCGGAAAACGTGCGGACAGCGTTACGGGCCCGGTGGCGATGCTCACTCGGAGCTCCTATCTCGGCAAGCTTATGGCGGCGAGTGTAAATACGTGCTAACGCCGCCTCGTCTGGCTTAGGTGGGATGGGTGCCGTTGGATCGGGCAATAGCAATAAACATGAAGTAGCAGATGTTTTGCACCTGGCGGACACGATACAGAGAAGCTGCGAGCTGGCGGTGGGGGGGATTCGACCGCTGTTTTATGTAATGGAAGCCTTGCACTTCCTTGTTTCTCGTCTCCAGCGTCTCCTCTGCGAAGAAAAGAGCACAACGGTGCGGATCGGGCTCTTGGGCAGACGGCCGGTGGGGGCGTGATCCGCAGGCAGCTTTGGTGGAGGCTGGCGTATGCGATCTGCTTGTAATCGATGTGCCGTGCCGCGGAAGCATCAACAGGAGCAGCAGACGAATACTAGCTGGCGATCTCGTGCAATGATGGTGACGGAGAATGGCAGAATTCGAGGTGTTGATAAAAGAGGGCGAAGAGAGGCTAGAGCAAGAGCTACACCCAAGCTATTGTTTGTGAATAGCCGCGGGGTGGATGGCGAAGGAGTCCCAGCCGGGGCCGTGTGACACGAGCCAGCCGCACCTTTGGCATACTGGACACATGTACCCGCGATTAGAGTTTCACACCATACCTCCCACAAGGCGAAAGGCGGCAGACTTGATGCTGGCTCCGGACGAGGCAACGTGCTTCTGGGATGTGGCGGGCTGGGCTGGATGCGGCGAGGCGGAGCTGGTGCCCATCGGGCGCGGACGCAATACTGGAAGAGAATAGGAAGACGGAAGAAAAAAGAGAGACAGCGACGTGGGCCGGGCGCCTACAAGGAGTTGTTGCCTAGCTTCCTGCACGATATGGCAGCCAATGCGAAACGGCAGAGACGGGAAATAGAGTCATAATTGGCACCGATGCAGCGGAAATGCGCACTCGTGCTGAGCCCGGCGGTGCTCTAAAGCAGCACGAGGGATTCCCAGTTAACGGACTGCGATGCCCTCAATGGCGCACAATGCCACGACCAAGACCCCTGGCCGTTGTTAGGCATCTTGGGCGCTGACAGCCAGCTCAGGGCGCTGTAGCGTTCGCCCTAGTGGCCCCAAGCAGCTCCGGGGGCCCCCAATCCCAGTCCGGCCTTGCGCCTTCGCAGACCGAGTCCAGCCCCCACGCGCCCGGGAAGAAAGTCGAGCCCAGCAGCTTGTTTCAGTCGATTGACGCTTCTGTCGTGCCGCCCTTGCAGCTCAGAACATTCAAATCGTCCGACTCACGGGCACGTGCTGACGCCGCAATGGGTTTCTGGAGCAAGCGGCCAAGAAATGCCATACTACAAATCACGTTTTGCGGACTCGAGGCATCGCCAGTTTTCCTGGGATAACTCTGCGCGTGACAGGCACCTCTTTCGTATTTTGAAACCCAGCCTCCTCGTGCCCAAAAGCCACAGGCTTTAAAGTGGCGCTTGGCCGCGCACGACATGCGGCTCTCTGCTCCGGGGTCAAGAGAATAACTCATCTACCACCCCGATGACTTTTCGATCGCATACATGTCACGAGGAAAATACGGAGGCAAAAAAACTACAAAGACATCGCATCTTTTGGCGAAGGCTCCTTGGCTGTCCTTCTATTGGTGGCTCATGTCCCGATTGCGCAACAGCTGAGCCTCACAACTACGACAACATCCTTCAAAGGATGGTCGTGCCGAGATGGAATTCCCGGCTCTCTCCGTCCGATATCGTAACATCATCTTCACGAAAGTCTTGCAGCGTAGAAATAGCCCCCAGAGAGAAGCGAAGGCACGTATATTGCCAGACGGCTTGTCCCGATTTAACTGTTCGGGATGTGCCGTTGACGTATATGTTGACGTTATACCAACAGACCTGGCCTCGGGTCTCGACTGCTGTTGCAACTTCTATTGCGACATAGGCACTTGTACGTACGAGAAACATGTTGTTGATGGGATCAAATACAGAGTTCACGCGCCATTGACAAGAGGTATGCGTTTCGTCGTAGCTCCTAGCATCCTCTCGTAAGTGCGACAAGCACTGTGTCGTTGAAAAAGAGCTTCAAACTATTCCATGTTCTTTACCGCCTTTCTGATGCTCAATTCCTCTCTAGATATTCTAAACAAACTGTGGCCCGCTTCAAGTGCCACTTCGGGAGACACCCGCATGCTCCTCTATGTGGCGTTGAAGATGGTATATGTTTGTTTTCGTAGCGCTAGGGAGTGCGTTTGTAGGGAGGCTTATATTGCCACTCTTTAGAAGCGGTGTTGCGACAACAATCCACTTCGAAACATCTTGTTCTTAACATTGACTCTAAGCCAAGATATGTCTATCGACGTATTGGAGCATTCCCCTCTTACGTTCAGAGGGGTTCTTTGCGGTGTGGAGTTGCTGCCTCTAGATATTTCAACAACAGAGCGGCCTACATTAGGGCTGCAGGAGCGTCAGTTGGCCATGCAGGAGGACCATAAAAAGAACTCTAGGCGTAATGCTTAAGCATCTAGTGCTCACAGAAGAGGAAAACAAGGGCCAAGGAGGATGAATAATCGCTTTTTATTTTAATTTCCGACTTTAAAACAAAAGATAAGAGCTAGAAGAAGGAGCAGAAGAATAGTCAATAAAGGTAAGAAGAGTGAAACAGAGAGGCCCGGAAAGGCAAGTAAGCGCGGGAGGCTCAAGTCCTACGAGAAACCACAAGCGACGAAACGAGATTGCGACTGGGCTAAGACGGGCTCGCAGCCAGAAAACGAACATCTTTCTACTGTAGCAAGCAAAAAGGAAAATGGTATACCCGGTAGGTTATCACAGGAATGAGGCATCACACGCATCAGCCTCTGCGCACTTCCTTATCCAGATTCCGCCGCTATCGAGTACGTGTAAGCCACCCGTGCCACGTTTCCCCCTAATCAGCCCAGTCCGAGGCAGTCTGCGTTTCCGCTTGGCCAATTGGGAAAAAGGGTTGGAATTTAAGGTGTGGAAACAATTTACGCGCTGCTCTTCTCGGTGCAAACCAGCAAGCAGAACTATCGACGCGATGTGAATCTCCTCCGCATGGATGGAATCTCCAAAGAGAGGGGAACTTGCTGCTACAGTACAGTAGATATCGAAGTGGGCTAAAATTAGAAATAACCAGTTCACCTCACAGCCCAGCTGGCGAGCATTAGCCCCGTCACTAATCGCTGCTAGCAGTAGCACTAGCAGTCCTCTGTTCCCAGCCAGCTTCTCAGGCTGTGTTGTGCCTACCCTGCAGTAAGAGCGCGGTTTCGCGGTTTCGTGAGATGCATTGCCTGGCTCGGTTCTCGACGGCCAAGGGTGCTCGCCAAAGCACTTATTCTTTTTTTCCTTTTCTTTGCTTCTCTTGGAGATTGGGACGTTGGCCAAGAGCCGCCGTGCTGGAGACTCAGCGCTCAAATGATGTCTGTGCTACTTTCGGATGTAGACTTCCGCGCACAGTCAGAGCTAGGACTGCAACGATCAGCGCTCAGGAACCACAGAAACTGCGCTTGAATGCCCAGCTGTTGGTGTCGTCGTCAGCAGGCCCACGCCCAGAGAATCGAAAAAATCGCCGACTCAGGGTTCACTGTGTCTATTGCCACGGTCTGGGGCAATTCATGAAGATCCGAAAGCCACTTTGCTGCCAGATGGAGGAAGAGATTTGCGCTTCGTGCGCTGTACTTGTGCTCGTACCAGAGTTTTGGCCACCCTGATGCCGATGGACTCGAGATATGACGTTGGCTGCCAAGCTGCCAGGATGCATTCGCGAGTCCAAACTTGCATGCCCCCGGTCTACAAAAGACAGCTTTCTTTAGCGGGGCACACAGGCGGTGGTATATTGATGCTACTTTGCTGCTCCTACTGTACATAGTACTACTCGTATGTGAAAAAATACCCAATCTTGTCAACGTCGCACAGACTAGGGCAATACGGGAATGGCACGGGATACTGTCTTGAGGATTTGCTCGACCCCTGGGAGGCCGCAGCGACGGCCCAACAATCAATCATTAGCATATCCGTTGTTTGGGACGCTTTGCGGCATCCTCGAGCATTACTCAATGCGCGTTGGGCTCCCTGCCAAAATAGCACGGAACTGCGTCTTTCCACCTCACTAGAGTGCTCAAATGCAGAAACATGGTGCTTACTGCTAATTGTCTGCCAAAGGGCCTTTGCTCGTGCTAGGGCAGTTCCGTGCCTGGAGAAGCACCAGGGGCCGATATTTATAGCTGCTTGGTGACTATGCGTTCTTCCGTCTATTTATGGCGGGCATTACTAACGGCGCCATCATCATCACGGCCCTGGGCTCGCACAAGCACAAGCACCAAAAGGCCATTCTCGTGCTAGCAGCAGCTCTCGGGTCTCACCAGGTCCCAAGTCCCAAGCCCAAGTGCCCCCAGATGCCCCCCCCCAGCCACCTTTTACGCGGTTCTGCTGGAGCACGAGCAAATCCTGTAAGCCCCAGGCATGGGTCCGGCCCAGGTGCGCTTTTTTAAGCATTGCGAGCGCTGGAGCTGAGCCATTGGCACGGCAGGATCCCACTGGATCGTCTCTGAATCTCGCACTGCCCGCTCCACTCCACCCTCCCTGCCACAGCAGAGCAGCTCTGTTTACTGCGCCACCCACTCGCCGCATGTCACACAGCCCACTAAAAAAACATGTAAGCAACTGAGCCGACGCTGCTTCAAGCCCGCTCCAAGCTTTTAAAACACACCCGGTGCCCAACTCGTATATCAGTCCCTTCTTGCTGCTGATTCCCTTCTCATCGCATTCTCCATCGTTTCATTCCATCTTGTTTTGTGCGAGTGCATTGACTCGACATTCGTTTATTTTGCTCGGGTCGAACTTTACTCATCATCACCGACCAACCACCCCTCGTTTCTGTATCAGAGCCACTCTCTCTGCCCAATAGGATACCCCACCGATAAACAGAACACATCAACAGAAGAGAAAAGGGAAGAAAGAAGACAGAATGGGCGTCGGCCGATTTTTCTGCGTGGCTCTGCCACTCCTCCTCACCATTGCCTCTCTCGGCACGCTGCTCTATGCAGTCCTCGCCGGCGTGGCCCACGAGAACGTCAGGCTGGTGCAGGTCGACCTCAGCGAGCTGAGCATCAACCCGACGAGTATAGGCGGCGATCTCTTCAAGCGAGCCGACTTCAGCATGAAGCAGACCAAGGTTGGCAACATCACCGCAGAGGATCTCGGCCTCCACAAGTACTACGACGTCACGCTCTGGGGATCTTGCTCCTCCGACGACAACAAGAAGTTCACCTGCTCAAAGTCCCAGTTCGACTGGGCCTCCAAGCAGATCAACACCACTGATATCCAGGAGGGCGGTGCCACCATCACGCTGCCCAAGGACATCAAGGACGCCATCTCGGCCTTCCAGAAGCTCATCAAGTGGTCCGAGATTGTCTTCATCATTGCCATCGTTGCCCTTGGCTTTGAGCTGCTCATTGGCATCTTCTCAAACTTCTCCCGGGCCGTTTCCTGCCTGACGTGGTGCGAGTCTGCCTTCACCACTGCCATCATCATCATTGCCGACTCTCTCGCCACTGCTACCGCCGCTGTCATCGCCGGTGTTGTCAACGGCTCCAAGCACCTCTACGGTGCCAAGGTCCACATCGACGGCCGCTTCCTGGCCATCATCTGGATCAGCGCCGCCTTCAGCATCGGTGCCAGTCTCTTCTGGATCTTCACCATCTGCTGCTGCGCTCCCGAGAAGCGCCAGAAGAGGAACCGCGACCACCACTCCGATGGCGAGAAGCTGATCCCCTCTGGCGGATTTGGATCTCGCGGATATGCTCCTCTCGGCGAGCAGACTGGCTACACCTCTGGCGCTCCCAAGTTCAACTCGGGCTCTGGCCGATCTGACCTTGCTTACGAGCCTTACTCTCACCGAGCCTAAATGGAATTTCAAAGGGGCCTCGACTAGACGTGGTAATTAAAACGATATGAACAAAAAAGGACTTTGGCGTCCTTTTGTGGTGCGGTGTGATCTCTTTCTTTTAAAGACTTTTCAGACTATCTGTAAGAACAAAAGAACACGAGAGAATGGATGCTTAGTGCTTGCTATACTATGCGTTTTTATTTAACATTCCTTTGCATGGCGTTTGGTATATTTATCAGTACAGGATGGCTACGGGCAGTGGCACCAGCAGTTGGTGATTGGATACCCAAGATGGCGGGGGAACAATCTGTAAATAGAGTATAGCGGATACACTTTTATCAATGACTGAACGACAAGAAAAGTTTCAAAAACTTGTTTTTGTGCCAATTATGTGTTTGTAAATGTGAACATGCTGTGCTGAGATGCGTATTGTTGTGGCTGCAAATAAGAAAGTGTTGAATAATTGACATTGACATGTGCTAGTGGCCTTACTCAGTAGACAGACGCATGCACAAAATTTTCTGACGCCAAATATTGCACTACGCAACTCGACGACGCAACGTCGGCAGCGTTTGAGTCATTGCTGAATGTCTGCATAGCATATAAATCTCACTGAGCCTGTGGCTCATATTTAGCATAAAGAGCCGCTGCGTTTCAACGACTCTGCCGGCATCATGGTTCGTCTCTGCATCAAAATTTTAAAACCGCCCCTCTCTCACTCAGCATCCAAGCATCTGAACTCACCCTCACATTCTTCTTTTATCGTGACAAGGGAGATAGCTAATTGATTGTATCCCAAGACTGCAAGCCAAATCAGATTAAAACGAGACCTCTCTCAGGACCCTGTCACGGCTTTGGCCTTGCACCGCGCGCCGTCTGGGAAGCTCTTCGTCTTCGCGGGCCAAGACTCTGACCTTTTCGTCTACGAGGCGAAAAATGCGCGCCACAAAGGCCGCTTCGTCTCTCGCGTGAGCGTATTTGTCGACCAGCCTATCCATGGGATTTCCGTGCGGCATGGCCAAGTTCTTGCATGGGGGTTCTGCCACGTCGCCATCCTCTCTGTTGAGAGTCTCATTCGAGAGGATGATGGTGGTAATTCTGTGAATAATAGTCGAGCTGCCCCTGCGATAGCCAGGGCGACGGCTCCTGATTGGATATACCATGGTGCTTTCTCAGAAGCTGATCCTTCTGTTGCTGTTCTGGCTACGGCTCACAACGAGGTCATCCCCTTGACGTACTCCCACCATACTGGGAAGATTGCCCTCGGCGCCGTCATTGCGCCCTCAAGGCCGATGCTCTATTCCGCTCATCTTAGTTGGATGTCAGATGACACCGTCTTGGTCGCCGGCGGAACTGTATTTGGCCACGTCGTTGTATGGAAGTGTTATTTGCTAAAAGGCGGCAAGTGGTCAACCGAAACGCTATTCAATTTCGAAGGCCATGAGGGATCCATTTTCGGCATGGATATCTGTACGATTACGCTTTCTGACGGGAGCACGATACAAATGGTTGCCAGCTGTAGCGACGATAGAACGATTCGCATCTGGGACATTACAGAGACAGAAAGCAAGAACGCTTCTAAAGCCCCCCAGCCCAGTCGGGTCATCAATACCGGCTTTGGAGGAAACGACATTGAGCGTGGCAACAGTATCTCAGATTCTGACAAGGAGGGCACTCCCATTGCAGCTGTAATGGGACACGCATCACGCATATGGGGAGTCAAATTCGGTCCAGAATGCGGAGAGAACGCCTTGTCCGTCTATTCCTTTGGCGAAGACGCAACAACGCAGAGATGGCGCCTCGACATTAGCCGTGATGCGTCGGCTGGAGAGTACAACCCCAGCAGCTCAAGATTGGTAACTGGGAAAATGTCCCATAGCAAAACGTCCTCCCTGCATAACGGCAAGCACCTTTGGTCAAGGGCCATGCTAGTTGAAGACAAGGCTGTGCTTATTGCTACCGGTGGCACAGACAGCCAAATCTGTCTCATTGAAGAGCCTGTCCTGAGCGGCAAACCATCAAATAGCGTCGGCGATTCATTGATTTTGGATGCCAGCGACATTCTCAAGGGCCTTGTATCTTCCAAGGAGATTATTAGTCGCTATGATTTCCTCTCTCATGACCACATCCTTGTCACTACTAGCCATGGAAAGCTTCTCCTAGGATATCTCAAAGAATCCCACGCTGAACCAAAGTGGGAACAGATCAATGTTCCCGAAGAGCTGCAAGGAGAGGTGAAGCTTTGTTACGTCGTAAAAGCCATTGATCCCACAGCCGCTCTCTTGGGCACGACGAGCGGAAATGTCTACCATTTCAGCCTTTCACCCAAGAGCCTCACCCACGTTGCCTCCATGCAGGGCAAGATTACAGACATGGCCTGCCTCTCAAACCAAAATAGGGATGAATCGAGCCCTCCTTTGGCAGAGGTGTTGGTCTTTCTTCACGGAAGGGCGGATTCTCACTACTTTTCGATTGACATTTCTACGGGTGGAATCCGCAGCCAAGCACAAACCAAGGGCCTCGACCCAAGGTTTGTCCCTACTGCAGCTGGGAAAATTGATGATCTGCTCATCATTGGATCTCGGCATGGATGGCTATCAATTCTAGATCACAAAGGCGACGAAACATACAGCCCAATTCTGGACATTGCAACAAGAAGCCGCGATACAATCACCGCCATTCTCCCCCTGCCCCCAAAATCAGGCTCACAGCATACCTCTCGCCACATCCTCGTCACTAGCCGCGATGGAAAATACCGGATATATGAAATAGACCGACAACCAGAACGCGTTCTTCTTCACCTGCGACACGAAACTTCACCACCCTTCGGACCCATGATTGCGGGTGCGTGGTTTACCCAAGACACCGTGCCTGAGCTAGTATTATACGGGTTTAGAAGCAAAGACTTTGTCATTTGGAACGAGACACGGCGAGAAGAATTGGCGACAATCGAATGTGGCGGAGCGCATAGGACGTTCCAGCTGACAAACAGCAAATCGATTGGTGGCCGCTACCGTTTCGCGTTTACCAAGACATCAAAGCTGTCCATCTCTTCATCAGACCAACTGAGGCATGAGTGGGTAAAGAGTGGAATCCACGGAAGAGAGATTCGGACTCTGAGTTCCAACGGCCGCTATATAGCAACAGGTGCCGAGGATACTTCCATCCGCATATGGGAATATCAACCTGCTGGAGACGGCGCACAGCCAGATTTACAATGTGTGGCAGCTATGAAGACTCATGTTACAGGCCTCCAAAAGCTTGCCTGGCTAGGAGATGACTATCTCTTCAGCAGCGCCGGCAATGAAGAGTTCTTTGTATGGCGGGTGCAGAACTTGGAATCTGACTACAAAGGCCTGGCAGTTGTCTGTGAAGGCGTCTTTGCAGACAAAAGTGCAGACGCCGACCTCCGTATTATGGATTTCGATGTCTGTAAATCCGGCAATGGACATGGAATAATAGTAACGATGGGATTTTCGAACTCGGTGTTGAGAACGTATCGCTACACAAGCGACGGCGGCCGATTCGAACTCCTTGCAAAGGGAACATACACGGGGGCATGTCTCACCCAAACGCGCCATCTTAGCATGCGCAATCAGCTGCCATTACTCCTCACAGCATCCACCGATGGCCACCTTGCCCTATGGCGGACTGAGCCAGACGAAGGGGCCCAGCACAAGTATGTGCTGGAACAGATAGTGCCGTTGCACCAGAACAGCATCAAAAGTCTAGACATGATGAAATCAGGAGAAGGAGATGGCTATCATGTGTTTACTGGGGGCGACGACAATAGCGTGGGAGTAACATTGCTCGGCCAGATCTCGCGCAATACAGACACTGCTAGCTGGGCTTTTCTCAAGCGAAGCATCGTGCGCAAAGCTCACGCTGCAGCCATCGCAGGCGTTCTATTAGTCCGACGCGGCCCAGAACTTCTGGGAGTAAGTGTAAGTAACGATCAGCGCGTGAAGCTGTGGAGCATTCCCAGCAGCGAAGATGGAAACATCAAGCTGCTTAGGGGAGAATGTATCGGCGTGGCAGACGCAGGAGACATTGCAGCCATTGACGGACCAAAGAATGATACGGCGACAGTGCTGTTCGCGGGAATAGGGCTGGAAGCCTGGAGTTTGGAGTGAGCTGTGGGCTTAGAAAAAGGGACCATCGAGCAGCTGCCTAACAAAAACCACCTGCTCTGCGTGACCATCGCATAGCTGAAATTTGAGGCTTCTCGGCGGGGCTATAAAAATATCACCGTTTTCTGCAAAGTCCCCATCGCGTAATCGGTAATACGGCCACTCCGTACGAACCAGATATGCGGTTTCTCGGTGCTGGGAGGGCGTCGCTCTTATCCCCCAGACATTCGGTCCAGCGAATGGCAGGCTCCGGCAACCACAATTCCGGCATCGTGTCTGGTTGATGCTATTTTGGGGAGCAAAGAGAAAAAGAGAAGTGTTGCACGAAGTAGGTGGGATTAGTGCAAAGATGGCACATGTGCCCTTTTTGAAGCTATCCATGCCAAGAGACATGCTCAAGGGTCTTTGATATAGGACTAGGGGTAGCAACATCATATCTATGTCGTCATGAATCGGCAATTACTCGAATAGGGAGTAGACGAATCCCCTGGTGGATTCCGACCGTCTGTCAACGTGGGCTGAATGCTGGACTTGTGGTATTTTGTGGGCATCAGACACGGGCATTAGCCCCATGCTGACTTGATAAGACATGACATGAGGCCTCTGAAACATTTTTCAGGGGTCTTTATTAAATGAGCGAGAGCGACGTTGAAAAGAATGAAGACTCTGGGGAGATTGAAACAGTTTCGTCTCAGCTGCCAGTCACAATCAGTTCACTATCAATTGACGCAGCACGCGAAGAAATGCGGAAAAATATAGGCAGAAATGCCCAGATGTCTCTTTCCCTCTCAGCGGTCCACTATCACGATAGATACGGCAGTCGCTTTCGTAAAAACCCAATCCCCACCGCCTTTACAGACATGCCATGCGTACTGTTGGCAGAATTTATAGAATCTGTTCCAGAAAAAAAAAAAAAAATACAATTGCACCCTACCAGTGCTGAAGATTCTTCGAGCCAAGCCATCAATATCTCAATTCTGTAGCACAAAGTGCTTGCGGTGTCTCTCAAGGGCGTCGGACCAAGCGAGGAGCACAGAAACACTCCATACCGGTGCGCAGCAGACAAGGGACTGCGGGAACCAAGCAAGGATCCTCCCGAACGCCAGCGAAAAAAAGATCCAGCGACCTCGTATTCAGAACCCACGCTTGGTAGCGCGTTTGTGTGTCTTGGCGGGCTTCTGCAATGCAGAAATAGATATAACGAGCCGTTGTCGAAAAGAGGGACAATCAAGAATCTATACAGAGAGACAGACGCGGGTGGGACCGTTGACGTTATAAAGGTAGAGACAAGGTACGAAGCCTCTTCCCGCTGTGCACAATCCCCTTATTCCAAATTGATACCCGCCCTTCTTAATTGCCCCAACTGCTGTTTTTCTTTCGCCGGTTTGTTAGCACGTTGGTGGCACAAAGGAAGGAAGCCACTGTTTGTTCGAAGCCGAGGACAAGCTTGTGCCAGGTAGCCATCACATGCATAAATAGGCTGCTGGGATGCTAATTGACGCAAATAGCAGCCACTTCTGACGGATCTGATCTGATAGTCCGAAAATCTATATATGCGTTTATATATATATCCATATACACGCTCGCCAGAATCCGCAAGCACGAGCCGTGAAGAGTTGGAGATTGATCAAGAGTTCCTGCCGCCACCTTCGCCTAAAGTCTGTTAACGAATCTACGACGAACTTCCTACTTCTCTCATTTCCTCGACTGTCAAGTTGCCGAGAGAGATAAAAAAACAAAAACGACGCTCTATAACGGCTGGTGGCTGAATTTTGGAACTTCTTCCCCCTGCTTCTTCTCTTTCGACCTTCCTCTCCGTCAGAGATCTCTACCTACCATATCACTCTCGACCACATATTCCCTCCGCTGCGAAAACCTAGGGTTGCCACGAGTTTTGAAAGAGGCAGCCCTCATTCTCTCTCCTGCGATATACATCATGAAATCGGTATGCCTGTGGATAGTATCCGCGATCCTGCAAGCATCGCTTGTTGCTTCGGCACCTCTTGGACCTACTGGCCCATGTGCAGATGTAAGAGCTTCTACTCTAAACTATCTGAACGCGAAGTGCTGATTTTCTATTTTGTTTAGGCAAAAGTTGATGCCATCCTCCGAGGCGACATGGATCCATCCGAGTGTTGCTCGTACGGCAGCTGTAAAGGCGACGTCGTCGTCTCGGTGGGTCAATAAAGCCTAGCCCACGACATCTGTGTAATGTTGGGTCTCGCTTGAGAATATCTTGGTGGCACCGCCAACAGAGCACAAACTCGAGACCTAGAGCGTGATGGCAACGGACTACTTTTACACTATACCGTTCCGAGGGAATGGATTGATACACAAGGCTACTGTAACAACAGGGAGCAGAGGCATATTTTGGGGGCAATTGGTATTGGCGTTTTAGGGAGAATTGTGATATCGGCGTACAAATGGAAAACCAAAAAAGGAAAACAAATCGAAGAGCGATTGGTAATTGGTAATTATTCAGGACTGCTGCCCCCAAAACCACGGAGAGGTTAGAGCAGGGCCAAGTCCAATACACACATTATTAGCCTGATAATAATGTCTTGTTGACGTATCTCGTCTCTATTTAGATATGAACGAAAGCTACTTGCATATTATGGGTCATTCGTCGGTGGCGTGGTTGAAAAGATGCCAGTGATCAAAATGGCAAATATACGCGAATCTGTTTCCCGCGACTGTCCAATTGTGCGTGTGAAGGCAAATAATATGATGTAAAATTTATGTGCTCCTGGCTGTGTTTTGTTTAGTTACCGTTGTACCAAGTCCATCCACATGAAACAAGAGAAGTGATTCCGAAAGCAAAGGCCACGCAAGATGGACAAACACAGTTGAAGGTGAGAAAATGAGATTAAAAGAGGCCAAGACTGGTTTCCAATATAAACAGCTTCGTTGCGTGATTTCACAATTCTCATTATTCATAGTAGATCAAGCTGTGCGTTATTGAGTTCATAATGATAGTTTGCAAGCACTCTTGCAACAACAACTAGCGTGAATGGTTTAGTGGTAAAATTCTCCGTTGCCATCCGAGCAACGTCGGGGAGCCCTGGGTTCGATTCCCAGTTCACGCAGCGTTATTTCATTTTGTCTTTTTTTTCCTTTTTTCTTTTTTTGCTTTTACTGTTCAACAGACTAAACTTCCATCGTCTTGTCTCAACGTAGCTTTTGCCTCTACAATTGGCAGTTAAGCCGTGTAACCAACCAGTCGGCAAGACTGCATAAGAAACTTCAACGCAAAAAAACTCGTCTGCCTAATAAAGTGGCTACGAACGAAGGATGATCTGACACCAACTCCCTCCTGCGGCTACCAAAGGGAGAAGAAGAAGAAGAAACAAACCCACGGCCCTTATCACATACTGCAGCGAATAGGTGGACGAACTAGGTCACCAGACAAGGCTGCCCGGTGTGAGGGAAGCAAGCGCCGGTAGAATGGAACATGCCTAAATACAAGAGAGAATTAAAGATCCACCGAGTTTATACCCGTACCAGTCAAAAGTCGTCGCTACGGGGCTTTGGTGATCTAATGTGGGGGAAAGCCCGAGAGGAAAAAGAGGTCAGCGTGGAAGGATACCAGAAACGTCGTTGTATTGGTGGTGTGTATGGAGCACAGTGATGTCTGTGTAAAGCCCAATGAGGCGAAAGTCTAGATTTTTTCCGAAGGGTGATTTCCTCATTAGTGTACTTATGGCGGATATCTATAGAGAGACCTGGCGGATAAAGCGGTTGAACACGAACAAAGTTGCATAGGTATGCGGGGTGGATATTACCCAAGTGTATATGGGTCGCCTTTGAGCTTGAAGCTTGTATAAATTGCAAAAACTTGATGTTGTCAAAGACCAATGCTGCTATATCGCCAGCTCTTGTCAGCGGTGCTGTCGCATATCTCGAGCATCTGAGCAGACGGATAATCTTGCCATGATACCTACAAACCTCTCGGTCCACACTCGTGGCGCTGTTTACTCGCCGCTACCACGGTGATTGGCGCGGGTCAGGACCGGTCCCCGTCTCTACGGCCCCGGACGGTCTGGCTGCGAGTGCGCTTAGGCATTTTCCGGGTCCAGTATCAATCCGCCGGAATGGCCATGACAATACATTGGGCGTTCTTCTCCCCGAGCCACTTATTTTATAAAGCTAGCATTTCAGAATTTGGCTGTCGGGGAGCTCGCCGCAGTCATGTTCTCGTTCGGGAGTTGATGAACCCCACCTTGAGCTCGCGGCGCATGAGCGGGACGGAGGGGGTCAGGAGGAGGAGGAGGCTTGTTTGTGGTTAGGAGCGGATTGGAGGAATTTCTGGGTATATAGATGCCTTACCTCTCATAGCCGACGTCGGTTCCTGGACCCTGAATAGTAAAAAAACAGAGTGTATAAATATATAAACTCGCTTTTCCTTCGCTGATCACTTCTTCCTTCTGATCATAACTTTGCGTTTGCGAGCCGAGATCCTCAGTTAGCTTCTGTCTTCAAATTACTACACACACACACCATGTCACCTTCTGTCGTTGATGACGCCCCTAAAGCCGGAGGGGCAGCCACCTCGTTGAAGCCCAACATCGGCGTCTTCACAAACCCAAAGCACGACCTTTGGATAAATGAAGCTGAACCCAGCGTCGATGCCGTCAAATCTGGAGCCGACCTGAAGCCCGGTGAGGTTACCATTGCCATCCGCAGCACCGGCATATGCGGGTAAGTGATGCCATCACACAAAACGTAGAGTGACTGATGGCTAATCGAGCATATCCGTCTAGTTCTGACGTTCACTTCTGGCACGCTGGCTGCATTGGGCCCATGATTGTAGAGGACGATCACATCCTCGGCCACGAATCGGCTGGTGAAATCATCGCCGTCCACCCCAGTGTCACGAGCCTCAAAATTGGCGATCGCGTTGCTGTTGAGCCCAATGTCATCTGCAACGCTTGCGAGCCTTGCTTAACGGGTCGCTACAACGGCTGCGAAAAGGTCGAGTTCCTATCTACGCCGCCGGTGCCGGGACTGCTCCGACGCTATGTCAACCACCCGGCCGTTTGGTGCCACAAGATTGGCAACATGTCTTATGAGAACGGCGCGCTGTTGGAGCCCCTGAGTGTGGCTTTGGCCGGCATGCAGAGGGCCAAGGTCCAACTTGGTGATCCCGTCCTGGTCTGTGGAGCTGGGCCTATCGGACTGGTATCCATGCTTTGCTGCGCTGCGGCCGGTGCTTGCCCGCTCGTCATCACAGACATCTCCGAGAGCCGCTTGGCTTTTGCAAAGGAAGTCTGCCCTCGCGTAATCACACACAAGATTGAGATGGGAAAGTCAGCCGAAGAGACTGCCCAGGGCATTGTCGGAGCCTTTGGCGGCATTGAGCCCGCCGTCACCATGGAATGCACCGGTGTCGAGAGCAGCATTGCGGCCGCCATCTATGCCAGCAAGTTCGGAGGCAAGGTCTTCATCATTGGTGTTGGCAAGAATGAAATCAACATTCCCTTTATGCGGGCGAGTGTACGAGAAGTCGATATCCAGCTGCAGTATCGATACAGCAATACCTGGCCGCGAGCCATCCGCCTGATCGAGAGTGGCGTCCTGGATTTGTCCAAGTTTGTCACACATCGCTTCACATTGGAAGACGCTATCAAGGCGTTTGAGACTTCGGCGAATCCCAAGAGCGGCGCGATCAAGGTTATGATCCAGAGCCTGGATTGAAGATTTGGGGTGAGTTATGAGTTTCATGAAGAAAGGGCTGTGGCGTAATGGATTGGCGAAACAATAAACTGTTTGGAGGGCTTGCAAGAATTAAATATCATTGACATGTAAGAAAGATTGGACCGGGTGACCAACTTATCTGCTCATCAATTTACACTTTGGGCATCGTTTTCATTTCTATTGCTTTTCTCGTTTACCCTTGTTCCCTGGGCTTTTTGTACGTTGCTTTTGAGACTATGAAATGCCAAGCATGTACAAGTAATGATGACCAGGCGAATCAGAATGTAAATGGATAAATGAAAATGAAAGGAAACTGTATAAAAAAAAAGGGAAAATAAATTCACGATTCATCTGAAGGCCATAGTGGGTGCCTTTGGGCGGTACCTGCCAATGCGAGTGCCCAGAGTGCGTGCGGCAAGTACTCCCCATATCTTGGGCAAATGGAAGGCACGCAGCAAGCAAGCGCTCCCCTCCGAAAGTGCTTTCCCAAAACGGGCCAAGCCCCCACACATCACACCTTTCGGCTTTGCGACCTCACGAAATCTCCCGAGCTTTTTTTTTCTCCCTCATACAGAGTATCCAAAAACCAAAAAAAAACCAAAAAAATCCCCATCAATTGCCCGCCCGTCCGCGCCCGCGCAAAGGAGAGCGATTCTGCTGCGAAACGAGACGATCCGCGTCAACGAAACCCGCCGGCTCCCCCCTGGACTCTGCTCCTTTTCCGTTTATCCGCAACAGAAACGACCGCCATAATGTCTTCGTCACTTGCTCGTCCCATGCTCCGCTCGCCGGCTCTGCGCCAGCTTGCTTTCCGCCGCAGCGAGAGCACCGCCGCCAACAAGGCCTCCGAGACCGCCAAGGACGCTGCCGCCAAGGCCAAGGAGTACCAGGCAAAGGCTGCGCAGGGCCTGTCGCGCGTCGCCGGCGCTGCTGGACCTGCCATTGCCGGTGCTGCTCGTGGCGTCACCAACGCGCTCGGCAAGGTCGGTGGACGAACTGGCAAGCTGATCAACTTCGTTGAGAGTATGTTGTCGCGGCTCTTCCCTAATCAGGTCCCAATTGCATTGGTTGCTGACCCGTGAGCGTCAACTCTGCAGAGCAAACCCCTCAGGCCGTTTACTACGGCAAGGTCGCCCTTGAGACCGGCAAGATCGTCTTCCACGCCCAGAAGATGAGCCCTCCGTAAGCGACTCGCCTTCTTGCATGCCGCGTCTTGTGATACTAACCCGTGCCGTAGTTCCGTTGCCACCTTCCAGTCCTTCTACCAGTCCTTGTGGAAGTCCGTCCAGAGCGGCACCATCCTCAAGTCTCCTCAGAACCTTCTCCAGCAGGTCCGCAGCCTGACTCCCGGCCAGCTCGTTGCTGGCGGCGTCATCTTCGCCGAGTGCCTTGGATTCTTCACCGTTGGCGAGATGATTGGCCGATTCAAGCTCATTGGCTACCGAGGAGAGACTGCCTCTCACCACTAAATATGTTATGGGGCATATATAGTTCCACGATTTTCAAAAGAAGTCAAGCATACCGAGCATCGATAATCTAGGCTTGGGCGTTTTATTGGGCCAGGATTAGCTGATAAAGCATGAGAGTTGTCCGCGGTAGAAAAAAAAAAGGAGAGTGAGACGAAGAGATGACTAGGAACCCCGCGTTCGCAAACACACACGCGCGCGCATCCACACGCAAAAGCACGCATATCATACACAAAAAGGACGAAAATCGGCATGTACGGATAGATAAAGAGGATCGGAATAGAGGAAATCGTGGTTGGCATCACAAACCCTAACTGGTGAAGCAAAAAGGAGATTTGGTGTATCCAAACCGGTTGGGAAAAAAAAAGGAGGGGCTAGAACAATGCGTGGTCGAGCAAGACGAAGTGAGGATCGGGAGGGGAATAAGGAAGGGCTTTGGCTTGGACATTTTGTTTTATTTCGGGGAACCCTCTTTTCCCTTGTGTATTGGCTGTATCTGGCTGTGAGCACTTGGTTTTGACATTTCTCCCCTTTCCTTTGTTATCACGTGTACATCAGAGACCTGCTCGATGCTATAACAGCAGCAGCAGCTACTTTAATCCATGACAAAATTCTTCGGATGCTCAATTCCAGTCTCTTTCGCAAGCCAAAGTGGTGGCCAACCCACCGTCATTATCATGTGTGTTGTTAGAGTAACAAAGATACATACCGATTTTTGGCCGCACCGAGGTAAGTTGAGCCAAGACTACCCAGCCCACCACACCTGACATGTAACATTCGTACAACGTCGTGGCTTAAAGGCCCAGAGCCGACTGGTCCCTTCTCGCGCGCCTTGGTTATCTTTTTGGACCCCCATCAAGAGCGTAGCACTGCTGCAGTCGATCTTCGCGTCTTGGAGCCAAGAATACACATGAGCAAAAAAAAAGCCCCCCTTGCTAACACCACCCTGTCAGTCAACGAAATTTCCCCTTGCATATATATATATATATATATATATATATATATATATATATATATATATATATAGGTAGCAAAGCTTTTTGTACGCCTGATGTCGAGAGATGCTCAGGGGCAAATTTTTTTTTTCTTTCTCCATAATTCAAGAGAGAATACTACTCCATCGCGTCCAACAGCCGCTTTTCCCTTCCATCACAGTAGGTACTAGGTATGTACTACTACAAATCGCCAAGACGTGCACAAGGCTGCGAATACGGAGAGGAGAGCCTCCATTTCATTTCCCTCTCTTATTGAGAGCTCCTGTTATGCCAAGCATTTTTCCCAGTGCTTCTCTCTTCCTCCCGGTTTACTTACACACCCTGGGCTGGGCGGATCTGGCCAGGTTACATGGTGCGTGTATCGAACCAGGATCAAATACTGTCGACCAACATCACAGTACGGCCGCAAAATACCGTGCCAAGACATGGAGTTGGATGGTTTGCAATTACGTAGTCATACCACACAAGGCAAAGCAAGCAAGGAAAGGATATTGTAAGCGGAAAGAATGATTCTTTCTCAATTCTATATTGTTACCCCCAAACGCTAAATTGCACTTAACACTCTATCATAAACATGGATCATGCTCTCAAAGCCGCGGTACCCGGTAAATAATCTCATCTATTGACACTGGAAGACGAAGCTGCCATGGAATCTGGTCCTTGGATTTTCCTTGCTTCATGCAAAGCCGTTTATAGTGTCAGTTATTAACCATACTCGGGCTATCAGCTCAGCCAAATATGTGAGCATCGGATCGCAATCGCCTTAAGAGACCGAGGGTTTTGATGTCGAGCACCATTAACATGATCCACGAGGAACCGTAAATTTGCTTTACCCTCGTATGATCAGTGACTTTGGTCAATGTTACAGCCAGTATCTTAGGAATTATGAACGCAAACGCCTAAAGGTCATAAATAGTAACGAAGACACTGGACACCCAATCGCCTTATTGGGGCGGGCTAGCGGGTTTCTTGGCCGTCCAGGTGTGTCTGTACACAGGTTAATACTGACAGAAAAGATTTCAAAGTAATGCGGGTTAGGTCTTACAGAGTAAAGTAAGCGTGGTAGCGCAGAACGCAAGTTTCGGCTTTGACTCGTTTACAGAGATCCACAACATCCTCTTGCTTCATATGCAGCATGTCAATCATGGGCATCAAGCTCATTGCCTCAAGACCCAGGCCCAAGGCTAGATTGAACCAACGAGCGGCCTCTCGCTGGTGGCGATCAGTAGACCACGGGTTCAAATAGCATCGGATCTTGGTCTCTTTGAACTCAGTGAAGCCAGCTGCTTCCATCATGCGCTTGGTGTCTTCGGATGATACTTTGACGCTGCGGCGGTATCGATGCATAGCGCGGTGAAATTGCTGGGACCATTCACGAATAGCCGAATGCGTAGGATGGTCCTCGCCATCCCATTGCGGTGTCCAGTCTATTTCCAGATGCTCGACGTAGCCTCCAGGGGCCAAGTGCCTAAACACGTCAGTCGAGAAGGAATTGGTGGAGTGTATCATATACGCACTCGAAAATTTTGCGGTAAGTATCGGCCCACAGGTCGTCTCTAATACTACCGTAGAGCAGCCGAAGATGAATCAAGTCACAGTCGCGGAGGAGCGGTTCCCATGAAGGCTCCTCAAGGTCAAATTGCTTTGTAGTTACCCCTCGAGGAATGCTATGATGACGCGTTAGATAGGACACAACCAAGTGTCTGGTCGTATACTTACAGAGCTGGCTGAATTTGATTGAGATCAACGGCCATAATCTGGGCATTCGGAATATATCTGGCAATTTATTAGCACGGTGAAATGCAACGAAATTGGGCCATGTGACATGATAAAACTTACCCTTCCACAACATGGAACGCCCAGATACCTGTGCCCGTACCGAGATCCATGATTTTGGGTGACCCTTCTTTATCCAGGGGAACAGAAGTAACGCGATCTTCTGTTTCTACGATAAAGTATTTGTGGAGAATATCCAGCCTACTTGTCTCCTCCTAAGCATTGATGTCAGTATAGATATCGCATACACTGTAGCTAAGCAGAGACAAACCTTATCAATTGGAAAATTGTATTTCCCTTTCTTCCAGTTGCCATAGAATCGGCCGTATTCCCAAAATCCGTCCTGGAGAATTCGTTCCTCTGGTTCACCACCTGGTTCATTGGCTGACTCACTGCCCGATTGCCCAACAGTTAGTCGCAGATTCGTGGGCGAAGGCGGAGCAGCAGTGGCTGGGGAGGGCGCAACGCACCCGCTTGGAGCGTTACGAGACGACATGGCGAGTATGGCGAGTCCTATAGGAGCTTGTGAAGGCCTTTGAGGAAGTATGGGAGGTCCAAAGAGCTGTCCAAGCAGATGGCACGGAAAAAAGGATCCAGGAAATAAATGGCTGTTAGTAATTACAGGTAGGTAGACGTGACAAATCAACCAATGTGAATATTATCAGATTAACTATAGTCGAGGATTAGTAAAAGAGAATGCAGAATGAAAGATTTGAATAAAACAAAACAGCGGAAGGCAGCGAGAAAATTGGTAGAATAAAGTGTAAGCGTGCATGACTTCAAGCAAGGGCGAGGGATACCTCGTTATTGCTCTGGATATAGCCAGCGACACTCAACGGTTCTGGGCCGAGATAGACAAAGACAATAACAGGCACAACAGAAAGAAACAGGAAAAGGAGTGGGGGAGAAGGAAAGGAAGAAAGAGAAAATGGTTGACTGCCATATATGACGAAAGGGAAAAGGGGGGGGGGGGGGGGGGGGGGGGCGAATATCTCATTTCCAATCAAGAATGGGCGCCTCTCACTCTTACTGAAAACCGGGGCCTTTCCCCGAGAATATATTAAGCTTCAAGCTTGGTATTGGATCACCCATTAAATATGGACAAAATCGCAGGTGGGAGTTGGTAGCAACAAAGCAAAAAAAAAAAAAAAAAAAGAAGAGAAGGGATAGAAAATAACACAAGATCAGGAAGGACCAACGGGGCTTGATCAAGGAAATATAGTGAGACAAGAGATATACATGGCTATCCCAGAAGAGGTAAAAAGGCAAGAATAGGGACGAAGCAGACTGATGTGATTGATAGGCTACCAAGAAAACACGGTACTAAGCCGTAGCCGCATGTGCACAAAATCATGCACGGCGCCTTTCATTACACACAATCGTAGTAAGACAAGAGAGATAGATGTGTGGAGAAGGGTATATAACCGAATTGACGGGAGGGATGGCGTTGGGTAACCAGACGTACAACCAAGATAGATAATGACTTACACGGAGATATTTCGCGGGTTGAAACCCAAGGAGGTGGCACAGATAGAATCGTACGTTGTACAAGGGTGCGCCACTCAGATGCCGAGAGTTAGGATAAGCGACGATTCAACTTTTGCCTTTAATAATCTCAAGCAGCCGTAAACCTGAGTCTGCTGAGGATCCTTGAAAGAGGTCTGAAAATCTCGGCTCCAGTCACCTCGGCTACCCTTGCCACCAGTCCGTAAAGAATAGGAAGCAGTGGCTAACAAGGAAGAAGCGGGAATGCGAGCCAAGTAGCAGATATGATGTTTTATTTTGAAGTCGTGGGCAGCTCAATTGAGAGAATTTTAGCGAGTGACTGGTACCGACAGATGGGAATAAGAGTATATCCAAAGTACGAAAAAGTTGAAAGTTGGAGGTGAAGTTCCAGAGTGCTGGGAATCGGCGTGCGGCAGAGAGGAAGGGGGAAGTGGACGGCTGGGCTTTTAAGGCTGGCGCGAAACCCGGGTCCGGAGTGGGCCAGAGACTGGAGATCAGAGGGTCAGGCCGATTCGACGGATGCCGAATTGAGAATCGACAGATGTTTGTTGGCGAGTCGTTGGCTGATGGCAAGCGTCGCGAGGTCCTAGGGCTCTGTTGGGGTCTGGCGGATTGGTGTGAAGCCCGGGATGAATGGCCAGTCTCCCCTACTAGCCAGGAAAAGAAAAAAAAAATTAAAAAAAAAAAAGAAAGGAAGGAAAGAGAAGAAAGAGCAGGGGCTGAGTGAGACCTCGAGTCTTGCTTTTGCCTCTTCTCCCTCTCTTTGGCCTGAATCAAGTGGCCCCCCTGGACGTGATCGCCAATGCGAGTAAGGAAATTGGCCAAGAATAGCACAGCAAAGTGCGAACGAAAGGAACGGCTGCGCTGGTCCAAGTCTCTGGGCGCAAGAGGGAAGAGGAGAGCAGAGGAGAGCGAGCGGCAGAAGCCCAGCGAAGAGGGAAAAAATCCTCCGAATGGCAAGCTGTATCCTGAAAAGCTGGGACTAGCAACCCGCAGAGCGCGAATGAGACCGGTATTGATCGCTCGGTAGGGAGGCTCTCCTGCCTCGACAGGCACACGATGATTTGCTGGACTTGCTTTGGCGCTAGAGCAAAAGAGCCCCGAAGCCACAGGAAGTGGAGGGGAGGCTAGACGAAGACGCGGTGGGCTGGTTCTTTGGTGGTTTGCGACGGACGCTAGGCGCCAGTCAGGGCCGGATCGATTTCTTCCTTGTTCCCTGGCCTTCCCTGGCGTCTCTCACCGAGGGCAAAGGGTTCTGCGGCAGCTGTTGCTGCTGCTGCTGTTTCTCGCGGTCTCGGCTGCTGTCTCCGTCTGGCTCTGGCTCTGGCTCTGGCTCTGGCTCCAGCCTAGCAGGCATGAAGGATGCAGGCGGCGAGGTTGAGCTGGACAAAAGGTCGACGCCGGGACATGGGCCTCAGGAAGTCATGTTGTTGCCAGCCGACCCAGGGAAAGAGCTCATGCTCTGCAAGTCCTACCACCTGGCCGGCCTAGTGGGTGGCGTGTGGCGCGTGGGCCCAGACAGAGAGGCCACCCCCCCTCTGGAGGCTGCTGGTGGTGTTCTGGCGCTGGCCTCTACAGCGGTGCAAGTACCTGTACCTGTCCCCGTACCTGTCCCAGCAACTGGACGGGGGCCACTAAAACGTCCCGTACGGTGCGGCAGGCCCTGGACCGCCCAACTGGCCACTGCCGCAAGGCCATCTCATCTCGCTCGGGCCGCCAGTCAGCACCAGCATCTGCTCCGTACAGTCGGCGGTGATGTTCCGCAGCAGCCGGGGAAATTCCCATTCCAGCGGATTCAGTCGTCGCATGCCGGCAGCATGACGAGCGTCAATCGGCCTGTGAAGCGTGAGGCCACCTGGCACCGCTGCTGGAACCCATCGACCAGGTGCCAATGCTGCTGCACGGCCAGCAATGCCCAGCATCACCGTGGCAGCCTCGTCCAATGGCAGACACTGCTAGCAGCATGCATGGAGTGGCTCAGGTTGCGAGTAATACTGGCCTGCCACAAGAGCCAGGTACCAGGTACCCAGGCATCGTACAACGGCCCAGCGGTGCTGTCCAGAGCACGGACGATGGACGTCGTACAGCATCAAGTATCCTGTACAGGCTGCACTCGACGGACGATGATGACCAACACGCAAAGCCCCGGCTGGACATCCCGGCAGCGTTGTTGGACGTCCTTGCATAGACCCTTGGAACTGCAGCAAATAGTAGTATGTACTGTAGTATTGATACACGACACACACTCACACTCGCACTCACTCTCACTCACACGCTCGCCCTCAAAGAGCGACAACTACATGAAGAGTGGCCGTTTACACAGACGGTATGGTAGCATACAGTGCTACTTGGCTGCTCCCATCCCTGCCTCTCACTGGCCACCACACTGGATCGATTGCCTTTTTCAACAATTCTGATTCGATTGGTGGCGTCCCGCAGCACGAGCTCCGTTATCACGCATATTCCTGCAGGTCCTGGTCAGTTGTAATTTGGCTTCACCACTCCTTGCTGGTGATTCGGTTACATTTGTGTCTCTTCTTAATTTCTTGCTTTTGCCGGGCCTCAGCCATCATTCCGCGACGCCGGGAGCCCAAACTTTGTCGCGCCCCACGCCCTTTCCCCACGCTCGGTTTCTTAGTCCAGCCGCTTGTTACGCTCCAGCCATGTTGTATACGAGCACAGCTGGGCAACTGGGCCAGAAAGTTGGTTGATCTTTTGCTCTAGAGGTGCCGATGTATGGCTGTGGAAATCCCAATCTCGGCCTCATTCCTAGTTTCAGCGTTAGTCGGCTGGCTGAAGAAGTTTGCGGTATATCAGAGCAGGGGACAGCACTTCAGCTCTGCCGCTTAGCAAATCGTCACCGGTGCTGCAGAAATTACCACGAGCAGATAGTGCATGGATCCAAGCTCTAAGTCGTCGGCCATTATGAACGCCATCTGTGCCTCTGTCTTGGGGTCCACCTCCTGTCAAGACATGGAAAGATATTTCAGAGCCAACGACATGGATTCCGCAGGAAAATGACCCCCCATATGGAATTCTCTCATTGATATCGCCGGGATGGACAAAGCATCATTGCTGGCAGTATTGCTGCCCAATAGATGGCAGGCTAAGCATCTCCCCCCCTCCTACACCACGGCGATATGTACATGGCATATCATGGCGTTTTCTGGTTTTAATGACAAGGACAGCGAAAAGCAATGTTGAAAGGAGACGCGCACTAGCCAGGGCCGGGTTTTCTGCAGACTTGGTGGCTCCAGCAAATTCAGATGCGGCTCTAAACTGATCCTCTTGCTTGTGGCGTGTTGCAAGGGCTGCTAGCGCAGCCAACCTCGTTCTTGTTCAGCTTGCATGGGCGCTGTAAGTCGACGAATGCGTCTGTAGCCCGCATTGACGCAGCAATTTGCGAGGGCTGAAGAGGGCAATCGGAGGTAGCAATACTTGCCAGCCTGGATGGAAGAGCCAGAATATCCTGTGTAGAAAGTTGCAGGCTGTGCGTGCTGTTGTCCTGCTGCCCGCTTCATCCAACGACATGGGTCTCTGAGCGCATGCACTTCCAATGCAGCTCGCCGCACTGGCAGGCGGCGCTACGTGGATCCACGGGTTGATGTCCGTGTGCCAGAGCCAGCGCGTACTGGTACAGGTACACCGTATATTCTGGCTCTTCTGGTGCGAGACGGGGTCCATCAGATGCTCTTCGCGCTGTCCCGGCTCGACCCGCCCGTGGCCCCACCAAAGACGGGCAAAGCAGAATGGAAAAGTCTCAACCAACAGCGTCTGGAAATTGTCTGAGAGTGCGAGGAGAGAGTCGTGGCTGTCTGCGATTGATTGCGCCGGGCCACTTTGTGCAGGGGGAAAAGCGGTCATGGGCATCGGGTTAATCAGCGCCCGAGTTTTTTTTTGCATAGCCTCCAGAAGAAAATGAACAAGGAAAGAGCGGCAGACGGAACAGAGCAAATGCTGTGCAAAGAGAGTCGGCTCGTCAAGTGCTAGCAGGTTACCACTACTGCCTGCCAGTATTAGGCCTCTTGTTGGGAGGCAGCACGTGGGTACGCAGCACTGATAGAGCCCGAAGCACGAATCTAGGCTCATCCAACATTGGATCAATGGCTCTGGCGACAACGCCGGCAGCCACTCACCAGCGCCATAGCACATATTGACAGTATTATCGCGAACAGGTACCTGGGTATGAATCGCAGAGGTGACGTCTACGGGGCGGTATCTGTACATGGCAAACAGTAGCACTGATCTACCAAGGTAAATGTATCCACTGTTGCGACCTTCCGCATCGCAGAGACTACATGTCCCAGGCCTATACCCACAGCAGATAGAGTAGCATTATCAGAGTACGGTGTGAGAAGTACTCGGACATGCCCGTTCGGTGCCAGCATCTGGCTTGCTGGAAAGGGCTATACAGGCGAGCCTGCCGGGACTTGACTGCCAGGACTCTGCTGTTAGTACACGCAGCACCTACAGTAGTTGTATGAGAGGTATTCACACCGCAAGATGTCTGCCGGCGTTGCAAGCATCTTCAAGTTTGTGAAAGACCCAAGATGTGGGCGGAAGACCGTCGCAACATCCTTGACTGGAGACTTCTACGGCATGTACTATGAGGCTAATGATATGATGCTAGACTCCATACATATATAATCATTACTACTATAGTAGTGCTGCATTTCTCAGGTTATAGGTCGACTCCTCTAAAATAGTGCCTTTTACCCTCCTGCCTTCCATATGATAGTAAGAAGCAATGGCTTCGATTCGTATTGATCGGCACATCACATTTCCCACCCCCGCTGGCACAGCGTTCGATCCTGCGCTCATCAAAGGCTATCTAGCCCCAGATCCCAATGCCTAGTTCTTATCCACTGTTGGGGCTTAATGTCTACAGGACCAGCCAATCCGCTGTATATTCATACTCTTTGACGAGCTTTGATGAGCCGTGAGCCTCTATAGATTCAATCTCTATATAGCTACCTCCCAAAACATTACCAGGTGGCTACCGATATTACCGTCGAGTTCATCGGCAATGTCTTTTATTTTATCCAAGTGCTCCCAAGCAATTACGTGGTGCCTCAGGAACCAAGACACGTGTAGTACCTACTAGTAGGTACAAACTACCGCTACCTCTCTCTCAAAATTCCCCATGGGCTTGATGCTTTTACATCCTTCCATTTCAGCTCTCTCCCCCTTCACCGAGCTCATTTCATCGCCCCGGCGGGTCTGTGTTGTGGTACAGTCCAGAGCTTTGCACTTCGGTTATTTTCACCGCAGTGCTTCCAGCGCTCTCGCGTTTTGCAATCTACCGTCTTGGAGAGCGACGCCCGTGGTGTGTAGCTGCACACCCCAGACTGGGCTCCACACTCCGAGCGACGGCTTCGCAATAGTACCTGCTACAGCACTATTATCGTCCGAGCTTCTACAAAGTATACCAGGCACAGTCTTCCAGCATTGCCTCGACATCTGGGGACCAACAACGCTACGCTAGGCGTGCCCATTGTACATGTGACGTTTGCTCCCTTCCACCTCTAGGCCTCTGTGTAGGCGGTGCCGGTGGAACTGCTGGATGGATACAATGTAACGGCGTCCAGTAGTGATGCCTACCAGCCGGCGAGGAGAGCCCCAGCGAGAACGTATGGGAGGCTACCTTGCATATAAGTAGGCATTTCTTTCAAGATCTGGGCAGCATCTTACATAGCACTGGCTAACACTAGCTCCAGCAATAATACAACTGTACTTACGAGATCATGGCAGAGGCTCCAAGGCGTTCACCTGGCTCTCAACTCCGTGTATCATGGCCACCCATGAGCCGGCCAGTCCCACGATTCCCCCCCCCCCCCCCCGGCTCCACGTGATGGTTATTCCTGGACTTGTTCTTTTATGGCAGTATTAACGCGTGGTTAAACGGCCATTTTAGGAAGATCGCTCTAAGAGGGAGCCACTTGCCAGTCCTTCTCGGCTTGAATCTTTGGTAGGTCGCAGCGTCGCATCGTCCGCAGAGGAGCCACAGCAGACACTAACAAAGCTGTGGAGGACGAAGCTAGCATCCTTTAGCCAGACGCATAATGTTGAGCAACCAACAACACACCATCTCGACGAGTGATTCGCTGCACCAAAGGCACTCCTTTGGTCTTGGTTTATTTGTCTTAGTGCCTTGCTATTGCCTCTGTATATTACACGTCACATATTTTCCCTCTTTTGCTGCTCTTTGTGGAATGCTGTAGCATATTGTCAATGCTATGCTAACGTTTACACAGGTGCAAACCAGCATATGCTTGGCCCTACCAGCCGGCTGAGGGGGGCTATCATTACTTTTTCATTTCTTTTCTTCCCTGAAATCCTTTGATACTTTGTACGGATTAGTTCCTTATAATACGGTGGTTCCGACTTCGCCTACAGAAGGGCGAGTATAGGTACGAGTAGCTCCAGCGGAAAGTGGTGCCAATTAAGCACCCCTGAACCCTGCCCACAGCGGTTTCACCCATCACACTAGATCATGCAGAATCAAGGATCGCTGTTATCCATGCTTGCACATGTCTGTATGTACTACAAGTATGTGCGACTGAGTGCTGCAGGTAAAGGCAAGATGGATGCTGAGGGCTTCTCATTCTTGAGATAGGGAATGCTGCTGCAAACAGCTGATTGCCAAGTATATCAACTTCTGGTTCGGCCACCCATGGTTAGTTGATGCTAAACAGTCATGTAGCTAACCGGCAACCAGGTTATCGGTCGCCAATTTGACTGCCGGGCGCAGCAAGATCAAGGTGACGTCCACTGCGACGGAAAACATACTGGGCATGGGTACGTACGACAGCTTGGCAGGGATACGTTCTCCCCCTCTTGTCATGCTAGCTCTTCAAACTCGCGAACCGGTCAGAAGACGCAGACCTCTGCGAAATTCACGTCATCTCTACTGTACTGTCATGGCTGCTCCACAGTCGGCATTGCTGCCAGAGTGCGTCCAACAAACAGTCGACTGGTAGCATAGAAATGCCTTTCTTGACCTCTACCAGCTCCCATATCAGTGGCCACGACCTATATTTTTACGGTTAATTACGTGGATAAGAGCCATGGTGTATCTATCCACCAATGAGCAGTCAAAGTTATCCGATTCCTAAGGGTAAGATGGGAATAACAGATGGGTAGGAAAGACCGAATCTCGTATAGGAGCATCGATGACTGGGGGCTTCTCCGTTGTCCTCCGCGGAAGATTCGCAAAAGCATGACGAACTGAATTAATTCGGAAATCAGAGGCGGTAGGACCGAAAGCATCGTATTCCATTCTTTCACGTGTCCACTTGTTGATGCTAAATCATAGGGGTTTGCGTCTTCATCCAAGCGTTGGCAGTTGGACGTTTTCTACATCCGGTCATTTATGACTGAATCCATTATTGACAGCTAGACTTTTGTTACTTCTTTGTTAACTGACAAGCCCACCTATTGAGTGGCATACCTTTTTTTTATTCGTACATTTATTAACAAGTCCATTTGTTGGCAGTTGGACTTCTTTGGTCAAGCACACCCTCGCTTGTTAAACCCGGCCTTTTCGACCGCTTATAGGTTAGGGGAAGCGCAGATCACATTTGCTTCGACGATTCGGAGCCAGTCACCCACGTCACTAGCGATACGCCCAGTCTCAACCTTGCAGGCTTGCAAGGGAGAGGCGAAGCCATCCAGCTCCGTCTGACAAGTCCCCTTCCTCTTCCTCGAATCAAAACTGCCGACGCCCCCGGCCGCGCTCCCCTGTCGGTCTAGACATCTGCACGGCGTCCCACTAACCATTAGCGCGTCTCGGTGAACCAAACTGTCGGGTCGAGCCAGTAGGGGTGCGAAATTGCGGTAAAATGGATGGTGGTCGGGATACTGATACCTTTTCGTGTATCAGGGAGGCTCGTAAGCAGGATCCCCCACCCTCATGCGTTGCCTGCCTGCTCATCCTCGTGCTCACTCATGCAGTGTAGTAGTAGCAACAGGAATGCCACCAGCTTGAGCGGCGTCTCCAGCGATATTCCTCCGTGAATGCTCCTATATGCGGCGACACCTTGCTGCTCGGTGTATCTGGGGTGAGATCCCTGAAAATCTGGAATAAGCGAGCTGTTCGAGATGGTTTCGCAACCCCTCTCATCCTCCCCATCCATCACAGCAGAAATGGTGTGCCCTTCATTTATTCTAATCAAAACAGGCTCTCTGCTGTGCCCCGGATGTTCAGCTTTCCCAGTTTTGACCGAATGCCGCCGCTCCGTAAACAGAAGCGGGGAGCCCCTCTCCTATTTTGTCGTCGCTCTCGTCCTATAGCCTACAGTACGACAAGAACTGGGCGTCGGCGAACGGCGAAGGATTCATGGCCCACGGCGCCATACAAACGCGCGGAAGCGGACCCGCGACAAGCGATCGTTTACTCCAAGCCCTTGCTCTCTCTATAGATGCGGTCATATGCGTGGGCTAGACGCTTCCCGGCATCTTGCCCCTGTCTTGGTAAATGCCTCAGTTTGGCCTTACCGCGGCCCAGTAATTTCCTCGTCTCTGTGCTTAGCATACCTGTGACCGTAAGAGAGGCCCAGGAGGCCATTCTATGGTTCCCTCGGGGTGTGAGTAAAAAAAAAAAAAAAAAACTAAAAGGAAAGAAAAAACTACCTCAATTTGGCAGGACATCAGGACGGAGCGGCTTGCGCATACGGGCATTAACGCCGAAGCGGAAGCTCAATCGGCTCTGCTGCGCTTGGCTTGGCTTACTGCTAATATATACTAAGGTACTGGGTATTGCTACTAATAGGCAGTAGTGCTGCTGCTAGTAACACGAAGAGTGTCTTTGGATTAGACGGAATATAGGTAGTCATTTCACATTTTGCGGCCTCTATTGAATAGGTCGCTACACGGGTGCCCCTGGAGCTACTAATTTGGTCCAGGTCTTGTTTTCACGCGCGGTGCACCTGCTCATCTTGCTAATGTTGTAATCAATTTATTCTTAGCTTAGAATGTATGTAAATACATGGCCATTCACTATCAAAGCCAAGTCCAGCATTCGTTAAAAGGAGTTAAATAGGGGAAAAGAAAAGAAAGGCTACTTCATCCCAAGGAGCAAAAAGAGAAAAAAAGAGAGCAAACTGTACTGGCCCTGTCAAAATAGCCTTCTTCTCGTAGTACTGTAGCACCAGCAACTGCTCCGCGACTCAATTTCTTCTTTCTTTTGGTTTCTCTTTTTGGTGTTTCATATGTTTGCAATTCATTTTCGTAGTTGATATATAAAGTTAAAAAAAAAAAAATCGCGAGCAAAAGCCAGATTAAGTAGACAAGGGGAGGTATAAATTTGGCCAAAAGGCCAAAGAAAAAAATGGCACTGAGCCAAATGGGTTTCTTCCTGGGTAGCATATGTGAGATCGCAAAAGCAACCATGAAGCGAATCGTCTCCGTGGATTTCACTACCACTCGTACTCGCCAGTCGCTTTGTTAAATACGTACTCCTTACCGTTGACCGTCAAGACACCGTCCTTAAGAGTGCACTTCCTATTCCAAGGGTCAGCATATGGATAAAGAACCAAAAAGGGAGGAAGCCCTCAACACCGGGTGTAACTCCGCCGTTTTCGAACGTACCACTTGTTCTTGACGCGCTGGACCTTGTCATACATGCAGAGCATGATGTGACCCAGACCTTCATCATCGACCTCGTCATCATCTCGATCCTCATCTGGATCATCAAGGTCAGAGTTGATGGCGTCTTCATCGACTTCGACGTCGTCATCATCGCCACCATCATATGCAGCAACGCCAGCAGGGCCCTTTCCTTTACTTCTCATCTTCTTGGACTTGGGTTGGTTTTTTGTAGCCTCCTTTAGAGAAAGCATCAAACCGCCTCCTTCCATGCTTTTAGCCTTGGCAGCCATCTGATCGTGGAGGATGCGGTCGATGTCGACTCTTCCAAGCTCTTCGGGGTTACCGTTGACCCCGTGCCGTAAAAGAACGCCTTCAAAGCTCTCTTGCTCTTCATCCGAAGAGTCTTCGATCATAGCATCATCGCCCGCGCCGTCAACCTGAGCATTGCCCAATGGCTGTTGATGTTCCGATGGCTGCTGTTGCGGTAATACGGGACCTGACGGCTGTCCTGGCTGCTGAGGCTGCCCCATGCGGCCCTGTTGTATGGCATTTATGGAGTCCTGCGCTCGCTGTCCGTACTGAGCCTGGAGTTGCTGGGCAGCCCTGTTGGCAGCAACGCTGTTCTTTTCCATGCCATTGTAGCTGGGATAGGAAACATTGGGCTGCTGTGTGCCGGGCTCCTGCTTGATGCCCGGCTCTGTCTTCACATACGGCTCCGGTTTGACGCCATTCTGCAGCATTCCACTTGGCGGGCTTGCCGTCGGCAATGACAATGGCGTAGCAAACTGAGCTTGTGTGTGCACAGGCGTGGCTGCATTGGGAGGTGGAACAGATGCGGTTGGTGGGGCCGGTTCAGGCTTGGGATCCCAGGGAAACCGGGCCACGTCGAGCTGGGAGAGCTTCTGTTGCCATCCCTAGTGAGAGACAGTTAGTATCAGCAAGGCTATGGAGACGAGGCGTAGATGGTAGTGGAAGCTGGTAGTGGAAAGTGAATTCGCTGTGCTGCCAGTAGCCGTCCACAAGACGTGCTGTGCTGAGCTGCGCTGTGACTCGAACCACGCGTGAAATTGAGGCGCGGGAAGGGCCTTTGGCGGTCCAATCAAGCGGTCCAATCAGGCGGCAGCGTCCAATTCCTGCCTGTTTGGAGGGTCACCGGATTTGGCGGGTGGCAAGTGAGCTTGGAGGGGGCCAGGGGGGGCTTCTCTGGACTTAAAAAGGGCTCCAAATAGTGCTGTGTCGCCCCCCCGACTCCCCGAACCCAACCCGCCACTCCTCTCCACCCCAGATTCCTGCGTCCCCTCTCAGGGAGCCACGAGGATCGCGCGAAGCATGTTGCTCTTGCGTGCGGAAATCCGAGCGCGGTTTCTGCTTCTCGCGGAGAATCTGCAAAGGGAAGAGGCAGTCACGAGACCAGAGATGGGATTTGTGATGATGCGCAGTGGACGGGTTGGTGGAAATGAAGAGAGAGAGAGAGGGAGAGAGGGGGACACGAATGACTGCAGTACTTACCAATCGCAGCTCCTCCAGCACGGCCTCTTCGACACCGCTCTCCTCGAAATCGACTCGCGAACTGTTGATCACCTCCTCGATGATCGTCTGGTAAACGCCTCCCACGGCCTGGTTCGACATGTTGGCAGCGCTGCTCGGTCTACACCGATGTCACCCGACTGATTGCTGGTTTTGCACTCGGGAATGTCGTCAGAGGGCCCCTCGACGAGAGAATCTCTCCGTTTCAGAAGGTCTCTCAAACTAGGTGCAAATGCCGGACCGTAACCGAGTCACAGTCGAAGAAGAAAGAGAAAAAAATAGCGATTGCTTTTGATTCTAGCACTCTTAGATATCGTGGACTTTGCTTCCGTTTCCTGGTCGAGAGACCGCGCAGCCTATCGCTAGGCGGCCGTTTGTAGGCGTACACAAGTCGGTGGGTAGCCGCTCTGGTGGTGGCCAAGCACTGTATCGGTACTCGGCAGCGTCGCTGCAGCCGCCACTCTGGCAGAGTAAAAAGAAGAGGATGGATGTCCTTGTGTGCACAGATAGAAGCCTTTGGTAGCAATTCTTGAATGCGCGCTCAGGCGTGCAGCGTAGAGCGTAGTGGTGTCGATTCCGTCCAACTGCAGAGGTATGCAATGGTTAGAGTTGGCGGCAATGGGTAGATTTGCACTTCTAGAGGGCTCCTCTGCTTAGTCATGGCCAGGTGCTCAGCAACTGTGCTGCCTGCAACTAGCAGGCGACAGCGCTGAACTTTACTTGGAGGCACCACTGAAAAGCGACTAGACTTCCGAGGTTTTCAATTGACTCAGCGCCAATAGCCTTGATTGGAATTCGCTCTCGGCCAGCTCCTCTCCAAGGCGTGCATTCGCACGGTGACTTCGTCTGTTATCACGACATGGGCACTTGCGTATGATGCTTTCTCTATGGTGCTGTTTTCTTCAAAACGTGTATTGTACTCAAACAAAACAAAACATTCAGGCAACATTATCTAAAATACAAGACTTTTTCCAAATTCATTCCGCAAAGGCGGTGACTGAAGGACACCAACTCAGGGTATTCCTCTTTCCTCCCCAAAACGCCAGACCACTCGTTGAAATCAATATCTGTGTAAAGCATAACGTAACAAGTAATTACAAGAATTTTTTTTGTAACTTTTCTCCTTTTTTTGTGACTCTTTGTCAGACATTCCATCGTAGCTCGTATTCAGATCCGACCCATCCTTCCTATTTACTCATTCGTGGAGAAGCACTTTCGTCCCACATGCAGAGAGAATAGCAGATGACAATTCCCCAAACGCCATTTCGAAAGCAGATACTCCACCAATAGAGAAAAAGAGACGTTCGTTCAAAAGGCATGCATATGTCGAGATTGGTTGGGGACCGTCCTTTAGCGAATTGTCATATGCTTGGCCATCTCGGCCTTTCCAGATGCTCCTGCGCCTCCAGCACTGGCACTCGATCCGGCCTTCTTCTCAAAGATCTTCCAAAACTTCAAGCTTTCATCAGCAGCAGCGGTGGCCAGCATCTGGCCGTCGGGGCTAAGGCAGCTGTGGAGGACACGGCTCTCGTGAGCAGGAATTTCGATATTGCGGACAAGGGTGGGATAACTCCAGACGCTGAGAGAGTTGTCGGGGAAGCCACTTGAGCTTACGATCTCGCGGTAATGAGGGCTCCAGCGGAGAGATGTAACTTGAGAGCCGGTATCGATGCTGTTGACGCGCGCTCCCGTGGTGGAGTTCCAGAAGTGAATGTGTCGGTCGTATGAACCGCCGCCGGTGGCAAGTAGGTTGGCGTTCCAAGGGCACCATGCGAGCGCCTTGACTGCCGCCTTGTGGTTGGCCTTGGTGAACTTGGGCACAGACAGGGAGCGGGCGTCCCAGATGGAGACCAAGTTGTCGTTGCCGCCGGTAGCAAGTTGAGCGCCATCAGATCGCCATTCGAGGCCGCACACCTCAGAGGTATGTGAAACCAGCTCGGCAATCTTGTGTTCAGCAACTCGGACGTCATGGTTGAAAACGAGTCCGCTTCTGGCGCCAGTAGAAAGCAGGTGCTTGTTCCAGCCCATGACGCCAACGCGGGTATCATGTCCAAACATGCTTCGAATCTTTTGGCTCTCAGCTACATCCCAGATCTGGACCTCGCCTGTGCCGAGACCAACGCCGACGTAGGCACCATCCTCGGACCACTTGACACTGCTAATGTACGTGTCGGGAGTCGTCTCCATCAGGCAGCTGACACTGCCCTCATCTGCCGACCAGACATAAACACTGCGCTCCAGGCCGATGGCAACTTGGTTGCTAGAACTCCAGTCCAACAAGTTGAGATAATAATCGTCAATCAGACCAGGTGCATCCAAAACACGCTCAGGGGCGGTAGCAATGCGTCGACGAGTCTGGGCAGAGCTAGAAGTGGCCTGTTTGAGAGGTCTATTGTACTGCTGGCGGAGGTCGATGGGCTTGGTTGATTCCGGCGCAGCAGGCTTAAACTCCAGGATGCGAGTCTTGAGACTCACACCACAGGCGTTGGCTAGAGAGTCTTGATAGGCCACAGTATTTGGGGAAGGGCGGACGTAGCCTTCATCCTCATCGTCGTCGAGGATGCTCAGGCCCTCCAAAGCAGAAGCAGCTTCTCCATCATCCTCACCGGACTCGGAAGCTGATGGCCTCTCCGAGCTGCTTGGATTGGATCTCTTCTTTCTCTCAGGGCCACTAGCTTTGCTCGATCCCGTATTGGCGATTGCGGAGCTGGCTGTACGGTTGGGGATGAAGCGGTCGCCGGCGTAGTTCACTGTTGTCTTGCTAGGCTTCTGTCGAAGCGACCCCTTCTTCTTTGGAGCAGGAGGGCTCGTGGAAAGGTTGGTACCGGTAAGTGCGTAGTCAGACACTCCGAGTTCCAGAGCTTTGGACTTGGAAGAGTCCCGATGAAATTCTCGTAGAGGCTCTTGCTGGGAATCTCGCTGAGAGCCTCGCTGAGAGTCTCGCTGAGAGGTAGCAGTAGATGATGCTCGTCCATAGTGAGCCATCAAGTTCCCGCTATAGGTAGGTTTGGAAGCCTTGGCATTCTCAGGAGTGAACGGGGAAGAGTTGAGGTTGAGAGAATTTCGAGGTGAGGGAGTGAGGGGAATTCTTTCGGTGCCGGTACGCTTCGAAAAAATACCCTTGTGGGTTTTGACAGGACTTGATCCTGCTGCAGTAGCCATGATAAACGACTATGTCTGATGTGTATCAAATGTGTATCAAATGTGTAATGAAGTGGGTGGCAGCAAGAGAGCCCGGTTACTTGGTCAAGGAAGGTAGATCCCCCCCAGCAACACAAAATATTGGTTCGAGTAGCGATTTTTCTTTAGCAATAGGTGCTTTGTTATCGATTCTTGTCTGATGGAGCGATATGGTTCGATGGTTCGTTAGGATGTATAAGTTTGCAGTTGACTGTGAGGGGAAGATTCTAAACGGTGACGCCCAATGCACTTCTTTTTTATTTACTATGACCCCACTTGATGTGTTGACTAGGCAACGACAAACTCAAAACGGACTAGAGCCTTCTGGTCCAGCCGCCGCCACAGAAAGTAACGGCCGAGCCGCTAACCGTACTTGGAAAGGCGTGCGCGGCAGAGAAAAAAAAATCAAAAGGTACGTTCCCAGTCGGTGTGGGATTGAACAAAACGAGACTTTGTTTCGATGCTCCGCAAATCTGCGACCCTCACATCACATGCGCCGTTCAACGCTTAACCTACAAACATCGTCGAATCCACTACGAAGGACCCGTTACAAGTCGCCAAGTGCTAAGACGGACCGTTGTCGCATCACTCGTTTGCGTTCTTCATTCAGTCGCTTCTGGGCCTGTCGCCGCCTCTCTACGTCGGATTCCAGCGCGCCTGAGATGGTCTTTTGCTCATCGTGACCGAGTTTCACCATGGCGCAACCCTCTACCCCTGGTCCATCGACTTCTTCTGTCAGCATTTTCGGCCAGGCCCTGGCGACCCATGCCGGTGGGACGCCGCAGACCAGTGTCGTCGGCCAGACCTCCGTAGACGCCATGAGCACCATTCAGACGCCTGCCTCGGCCTCCAACAATACATACATTATGCCAAACTCTCCGGCCAAGGCTCGCCCTCTGGTCGATGGCTACCGTCCCAAGGTCACCCGCACGCTTGGCCAGAGACCTGCGTGCCTCGTCAATGCGTCTGTGACGTACTGCGGGAACAATCAGATCTATGCTTTTGGCGGCTTTGACCAATACACCGACGAGGTGTACAACCACGTCCTGCGACTAGATCTGGCAACCCATCAGTGGAATTTGGTAGATAACTATGGCGATATTCCCGGGGTGCGCATGGGTACGACTATATTCGAGAAAACTGTCTCTTAATTTCTATCGCAGCAGGCGCTAATCACTATGTCCACAGGCCACACGGCGACGTTGTACAAAGGCGACAAACTGCTTGTCTTTGGCGGCGAGAACGAACATCGAACCTACCTATCCGACCTTATCGTCTTCGACCTGAAAACAGCCCATTGGACACAGCCCCTGGTGTCCGGTCCGATCCCAAAAGGCCGAGCAAGACACGCCGCGGTGCTGCACGAGGATAAGCTGTTCATCATCGGCGGCATCACAGGCCAGAACAACTATGTGTTGGACGATATTTGCTACCTCGACCTCAAGACATTTACATGGTCAAAGGCATGGCGTTTCGTCGGCCGCTTTGACCACTCGGCCTATATCTGGGGTGACCGTGTTTGGGTCTTTGGTGGCCTCAGCGAAGACATGGACAAGATTAGTGACTTGTGGTGGCTTGATCTGAAAGGAAGCCCAGAATTCGACTCACGACCCCATTTTGGCGTCTTCGACCGCCACTCCGCTGCCCACAGAACTAGTAGTTCTCCCAAATCGCCTTACACTATGGCAGCAAATCCCGTCGTTGGCACTTCTGGATATGCTGCGAATTCCCGGACCGCTCAAGTGAATCCTCCCTCTTTTCAGCTAAAATCGTATGCGCCAATGGCACCAGGGTCTATATCCGCTCTAAAGTTTGTGTCAGGGCCGACTGTGCCATCTCAAGGATCAGGCATCCATTTCCACGCTTACTCTTCCGGAACGTTGCTCGACTTTGTAACTCCTGCTGCGACCATTACTCATAGAGAATGCTCTCTATCAGCATTAGATCTCAGCACGTTGCGGTGGCAGAAGCTTGCTGACGGCCGCGAAATCTTCAAAACCGGATATAGATGGCACTACTGTACCATGAACGAAGATGGCACCAAAGCATGGCTGCTGGGCTGTCCAGTCGATCCTGCTTCAACTGATTTGGGCCCTAACGGTTATGAAGAGTACCTCAGGTGAGATACAAACCAGTAGCTGACCCTCGCTTTCTGTTGTCTTTACTGACGTAATCCCTTGTAGTGATATCATGGAAGTTGATCTTCGGCGATATGGCTTTCTTGGAAATAATCTGGCACCGGAAAGCTTGGCTCAGTCTAGGCCATCCTTTACCACCAGACTGTCTGACCAGCCTTCCAAGGGCCTTGGTGCAGATCTTGCAAAGCTGTTCAATCAGCCTCCTGAGTCTGGAAGTGGTACAGACTTTATCATCACTGCGCTTGCCGATGAAGCCGACAGCGATGACACTTTAAGCTCTGGGCTCATTCGAGCCGATGATTCAGCCAAGGACGAGGGCTGGCTTTCTGCAGATACGCCGACCTCTACACCGATTCACGTTCATAAGCTCATTTTACAAGCGCGGTGGCCGCACTTTGCGCGCTTGTATAACGCTCAGATGGCGGAGTTTCACACGAAAAAGATGCATATCCCCGAGCCATATTCAGTTGTCAAGGCATTCCTCCTGTATCTTTACACTGATAACATCCATGGCACGGTGGAGACGGACAGCGACGCCACTATAGACCTCTCTGATGTTGCCGGACTCTTGGTCATGTCCAATATTTACAACATCCCACACCTTCGCCTGTTGTGCGTAAACCGCCTAGCCAAGGAGCTCGATGTCGAACATGCCTGCGTCATCTGGTACTGCTCAGGACTGGCGAGCGAAGAATGGCTGCGCAAGAGAGCGGCAACGTTCTGCATGACACACTGGGGCCGCATCGTCCGTACTCCAGGCTTCCTCCGCCTCCCCCGCAGCGCCCTGGTTGAGCTCTCACAGGAGATCGACATGGAGGGCCGAGTCGTTGCGGGCGACGACCTCGAGTGGGGGAGCGTATCGGGCCGGTATAGCGATGGCACGGGGCATGGCACTCGAAAGGAAAGTATCAGCAGCAGTACTCAGATGCAGATCGTCGAGTCCGAGGTCGATGACGATGATGAGGACGTGGAGATATCGTAGAAAGGATTGCCCTGATGCGATGTGAAGATTTACATTGTCGCAACCCGCGCCTATTGAGTTTTTTTTTTTACCCGAATATCTGGCCAAAGATGACCGATGGATTCCTCTACAGAGGATGGCAAGATGACGCTGCGATCTTCCCGAGGAGGTTGTTTTTTGGCTTTCGCTTCGGGTTGCTCGTTTGAAGAAATGCGTACGACGACGATATGAGAGCACTTTTTACTTATTTTATTTCTGGCTTTTGGGGGGACGGCGGAGCATTCCTTTTTTTTCTTTTTGTTCTTTTACTTGTCCGATGAGCATTTCAGGGTGTTGGTTGCTTGCTTGCTTTGCTTGCATTTCATGAAATGGTATGCTTGTGAAATAGTTTTGTTGTAGTTGATATATGTTTCAAGACCATGGTGTATAAGCTGCTGTATTTGCTTACTTCTCCCTCTCTCCCACTCCGCCTCTGTAATCGTCTCCCTTACACGCGCCCTCCTCCTTGACATTTAGTACAAGCATACAGGGGACAATTAATCCTTCCGTCTCATCTTTCGGCTCTCGCTACACCGGCTAATCAACTCGAAACTCAACGTGCATGTGAAAAAAAAAAAAAGGACACGTACATACACGATAGCAGGAAGGAACCTTTGCTCGTCCACCTTAAAGAGGTAACGATATGCCCCCTTGTCTGATTCTGACAGGGTCTTTTTTTCCTTTCAGCCTTATTTGGCGGGATTACAAGTACAATACGTTTTGATAGATACGGAGTACTGGCGCAGTACACCACAAGTACATCGGGGTGACAAAAGGTTAACTTTGATGAAGAGCTTAGCAGTCGATCCATATTAATAGTGCTCTACCTTTTCACTAGAGATACTCTGCTTTCCACGCCATTGCCCACGCAAGTTTTCAGTGACCAGGGCAAAATAAGCTCCCTTTTTCCCTTTTGAATTGCTCTCTATAAAAAACCATTTCCTGTTTTAAGCATAAAAGAAAAATACGCGCAACTTTTTATGTATCTCCATTCCCTTTTTTGTTTTGTTCCACCACCCAGAGAAAATTTTTTTTTTTTTTTCCAGCCAAACAAAAAGAAGCCCCTTTCCCAAACAACACTATAAAAGAAGATACTACGCTCTCTCATCTCGTAGTCCTCTCTGCTGCCAGGGGGCGAGAGCAGCGCGTGGAAGTCAACGCAAATTCAATCCAATCCAAACCGTTTAAGAACATCAGAGGGTAGTAACGAAAAGAAAAACACAAAGGATTTGAGAAGAGCTTGAAGAACCAAAACCGCCCGAGTAAATCAACGTAACGAAATACCAGTTTTTTCCGTCCAATGCAGCACCGATTCTCCCCCCAAGAGACATCGCATAAAAGGCTAGGAAAATCTCCCCATCGTACAAATGCATAAACGCTTCTTCATATTTTTTTGGTGATCCATTTTGGCCTCAAAGTTGAGACATCATGTCATCATCCTCTTCGGCGATCTTTTGTTTGTTGCCGGCAAGCTAAAGATGTGCATTCGCGGCGCCAGCCAGCAGTCTGTCTATAGAAAATGCATCGCGATGGGGTCAACAGAAAAGAAACACAGATCATGAACAGATTGAGGTGAGGCTCAATGAAACTTGGAAGGCGGGATCAGGTCCTTCCAATTCTGGTAATTTGACCGTAGCATTATGTACCACCGCTAGTAGCACATAGTATTAGTGGCCATCCGATGACAGGAATGATCTGCTTCGCTGATGCGCATATTGGTGGGGGGGTCAACGAGCGTGATCGCCATCAATGTGGGAACCCCAGATAAGGGGGAGAGGCGACCTCTAAGAAACCAGCAACCTCGAATTCATTTCGTCTCAGGGAACCAGCCCGGAACTAACGCCGTCGCCATGTGCTGTAAAACGTGCAAGGCAAAAAGAAGAGTGAATGTACATGTATCTGAGCATAGAGATCAAAGCGTACGGCGCAAGGCGAGTTGATCGCAGCTGGAGGACAGCCCCACAGGGGATCAACACAGGCTCGATAAGTCGGAATCGTACTATAGCGGGGGAGTTTGCATGTCCCCCTCGTGACGCCAACAGATCCATGCCGTTCAGAGGAATACGGCCGACGCATCATGTGCAAGCGGCTCACTGCAGCATCACGTCTTCTCCAATGCCTGGCAGGTTCAGACCAGCGGCTAGTGCTTGAAGCTTAAATTCGGGGTTGCAAGGAAGAGAGTGGGATTTATGCTGAAAGAGGGTCAGTCTCGGATAAAGCTCAGCAGCCTAATCATTCTTGCTTGGACTTACGTATTTCAGCCCGTTGAGATTCTTGTATCGCTTGCCGCAGGTCTCGCAGTTGAATGGCTTCTCCTTTTCCATGCCCATAGTGCCTGGGTAGGGAGCACTAGTCTCCGGGTTGACGATGGAAAAGGTTCCATCGCCGTTCTCGTGTAGCTGCTGGGTTTGGTGGCCATGAGCCTTGTGGTACCTAGTTAGATACAGTGGTTAGCATCTTGATAGCCCAATCAAATCATACAAATAGACAGATAGGGGGGGGGGGGGTATAACCTACTTCAATCCGTTCTGGTTCTTGTACGCCTTCTCGCAGCCAATGACAGGGCACTTGAAAGGCTTGTGTTCCTCCGGCATCATCATGCTCTGCAATCGGGCAAGCAATGCCTTGTTGGCCTCGGGATCCGCAAACTGGCCGCTAGTTAAGCCGAGCTGGGCAAGCTGTGCTTGTATGGATCGATTACCCTGCGGGAATGCGCCGTTGGGGCTAAACAAATGCTTGCCGGGATCATTGATGCAGAAATTAGAGTCGTTGTTAGCGTTGTTGTTGCCGTTGCCAAACGTCATGTCGCCAAGATCAGTAGCGTCGCCGCCCATTGGCATACCAGGAAGGTCTTCGTCCATGTCACCCATCCCGGCCTGTTGGGCCTGCTGTTGCTGCTGCTGCTGCTGCTGCTGCTGCTGCTGCTGCTGTTGTTGCTGCGGCATCTGCTGCTGGGTCGTGAGGGTAGGGGTATTGACAGAAGATACAGTGGGGTTGTTCTGGAATCCAAAGCTGGCGGCTGCAGGGGTGGGCGGCTGTGACGTTCGGAGACCCTGCGTAATGCCAGAGGTGTTCATGTTGAGCTGTGGTCGCTGTTGTTGGCCAAACATCTGGCGGGTCTGATGCATCTTGTTGCTGTCATCCATGTCCATGCCGCCAATGGCATCGTCCATCTCCATATCGGCAACGGCATCCATTTCGTCACTCAGGTTGTTGCTCATGGAAGTGGACATCTGAAGCATGGAGGTGCCAAGTCGCTGAGGCCCGCCCAGCTGGAGTCCAGGACCGCCGATTGAGCGCTGTTGTCCCAGTTGCTGCGGACCTTGGCCAGGCCCTGGAGTTGCCCTCGAGTTCGGCATCTTCGGTGAGCCTTGGATGCCTAGCTGGCCGTATTGGTTGAAAGCACTGTTCCTCGCGGCAGAGGGACTGGCCTGTGTGTGGGCCTCCTCGTAGTGCTGCAGCAAATCATGCAGATTGGGCAGAATCTTGCCGCAACATGTAAAGTCTCGCATGAAGCTAGCCTCGAGCTTAGGTAGGTAAGACGAAGAGTGGAATGAGGGAGACGCGTGGGCGCCGCCGGTAAACGGAGAGGTTCCTTGCATCATGATGCTGCAGAGGCCATTTTGTTAGCAATCGTAACCGAAAAAGGGTGACAAGAAATAATAATAGATGGAAGAATTGCCGTCAAATCGTTGAATATGCAGTATATGATATCCATGATGCGCAAACAATGGCGGGGGGGGATTCGGGAGCGAACACGAGGGGTGGAGTGAGGAAGAAAAAAAAAAAAGGACGGATTGCGCGCGGGGCGTGAAGAGGCCAAAATGTCTCTCGTCCAGTCTGCGAATTGACATGTCCAAAAAGGGAATCTCATGGTGATTGAAGCAAGGCGGTGGAAGCAACAGCAACAGCAACAGCAACAGCGCATGTAATGCTTGATGACGGTGCAGACGGGGCAAAAGAATTATAGCGCCCACACACGATAGCAGAGGCAGATAAGGATTAAAAGTCGACGACAGAAATGATCACGGCACTTACTCGTCTCTCACAAAACTGCCAAAGGACATGCCGCCCCAGCTGACGCCGCCCATCAGGCTGCCGGCGAGGCTCTCGCGACGATTCCGGTTGACATTGTCGCGGTTCTGGATGTTCATGGAGATGGGCTTGGGGCCGGCGCTGACAAACGAGTCCTGCCGCGGTCGGCCCATGGCAGCGTCAAGGCCCGGGCCAGTAGTCATGTCGGCGGCGTCGTCGCAGTCGCTGAGGTCGATGTCGATGTCGACGTCGATGGAGGTGTCGGGGCGCGGGTAGGCGAAGAGCTTCTCGGGCGTGGCCGTGGCCTGCTCGGTCGTGCGAAGGGCGGACGTCCAGGAATACGCAGACGACGATGGCGAGGGCGCTGCGACGTCTGGGTCGGCGCGCAATGCGGGGGTGCTGCAGAAGCTGGAGCCGTGTCTGGACGGCGACGCGGTGGACGATGAAGCAGCAGAGGCAGCGGTGCAGGCAGAGGCTGAGGCTGAGGCAAGTGCTGAGGCCGCGGCTGATGGTGAGGCCGATGATGCGTCGTGCAAGAGGTCGGGAGGCGTTGCCGGCTGGGGCGAAGGCGATTGTGTCAGCGACGACGAGTTGAGCGAAGCTGGCGACCCGGCGAGGGCGGGCGAGGCGGCACAGGCAGGCAGCGCTGGGCCGGCACTGTCGCTGGCATTTGCAGTGGCGCGGGAGTGGGCTGGCCGGGCGAGGGCATTGGGCCTAGCGCTGGTGGTGCTGGAGCCCGCGCTGGAGCCCGCGCTGGAGCCGGTGCTGCTGGAGCTGGTCTGGGCGGCGAGTGCTGGTTCTGGCGCTGCGGCCGTGGAGCCTGGCCCGAGGGCCTTGTCGGGGCCCTGGAACCACCTGAGCGCGCTCTGCATTGCTGCCAGGTTTACAGGCGGGATTCCGAGGTGGTGGTTTCAATCTTGTTGGGTGCGGTTCGCGGTACTCGGTACACAGCACCAGGTACTCTCGTGCTCACTCACTTGGGCGCTCACTCTCTCTCAGAGTCACACTTGCTGCCTGTTGGGAGCGATGACGAGTCAAGGGCAGGAATGGGAGCGGGGATGGATCGCAGCAACAATAAACAGCAAGCACGCAGATAATAAGTAAATAAAATGCGTCACGAAAGCCTCAGCCGCAAAACTCAAAATGAGAAAATGTTCCCGAAATAGTCCCCAAGCAGCCCCGGTCAGGGCCTACTCTGCCGGTACAGTTCGGCTGGAGGGTCGAACGAGTCTCGCTATGGCTGAGCTTGTCTGCTTGCACGGTAAACTGAGTGCCGTGAACCTTTGGGCTGCGAATGGGTACAAGTGACCTAGGCGGTACCCTCGTGGCTACTGTGTAAGTGCGGAAGCGCCGTAGACGCGCTGAAGTCCACCGGCTGTACCTGGTATATGACGAAACCGTCTCGCGGCGCAAAGTCGGCGATGGTGAAGGCTCGTAAAACGAGCTAGACGTTCACCGATGGAAGAGCGAGTCGAAACAAGCAGAAGTTGAAGCGAAGCGAAGTAAAGCAAAGTAAAGCAAAGTAAAAAAAAAAAAAAGATGGGAAGAGGACAGAGCCCGGAGATGCAGCTCAAACAAGATTCTGCCGAGAGGGTTGGAACTTATGGTCGGATGAGGGCAATGCTGAGACTCGGGAGACGGAGACGCTGCGTAAAACCTCGGGAGAGGGTCAGAGCATGTCACACCTTTTGCCCGGGGGTCCAAGGCAAAGTATTTATGAATGAACCTGGGACGAGGCGCGAGTCGTGGGGCGGCCAACAGCTCGAGAGAGAGGTCCGGCCGTCACGAGAAGCTTGACCCAAACGAATGAATGGTAGGTACGGCAGGTATTCTTAGCTCGGGAGAAGAGCGGTGCGGCCTTGTGATGTGTTATTGTTGTCGTAGCGGCTCTTGATTGATGGCTTTTTGGTCGCAGCAACAGCGCAGCGAAATGGCGGAGAAGACGAAATGGTGTAAGTCGGTTGGTTGGTCGGTTCTTGGTCGCTCAAACGGCGCGGTGCATGCACGGCTAAGATGGACAAGAAGAGCGGCTTGAAAGAGAGATGGAGATGCAGCATCAATCACACAGCTACGAGTTGGACGACTGTGATTCACCAATCAAGCAGGTTACTTATAGCAGCGGAGTAGAGACGGATCAACGGCTTTCACTCTGGGCCAGAAGAGGAGGAGAAATAGATGGAATGCGGGTGAAGAAGAGGAAAGAAGAATGAACTGAAGACAGATGGTACTACTATAGTAGGTAGTAAGCTACGACATGACATGGCGACCTACTTGCTACTGCCGTACAGCTGCTAGCACAGCAGCACTACAGGCACCGCTGTTGCTAGCAGCGACTCGCCTGAATGGTTGACGGCATGATCACCACGATGAGCAAGGCTCCCCCCATCCACACCACCAGCCCTCCTCCACAAAGAGACTCGGCGCCAGAGCAAGTGAATCCCAGTTGGTCTCTGCCCCTGCAAGGCCCGGAGCACCGATCACGACGGGACGCAGCGTGGCAGTAGCAAGAGCAGCATGTTCTCCGTGGTGCTTCGGACGAGCAACAGAGCCCAGGAACAGGGGCTGGCGCTAGCGGTTAATTCAATGGGCGGCTTGCTTCGTTGCAGCCATTAATTCACTCTCACAGCGGGAACAGTGCTTGTACCTCGCCAGTACACACAGTCTACCTTGTGCCTACGGGAGACTGTGCTGTGCAAGTGATTACAACGGCTCAAAGCAGCCAGCTGCATACCTGTACTTCCAGGGGACGAGACGGCCTACACTGGGCCTTATTATGGGACTCGTGGTGGCATCTACATGCGTTCTGAGCCTGGACGGATTGATGCCGAATGCTACCACAGATGCCCTGTCTTGCAGCAACGAGCATGCGAGTCGACGACTTTGGCACTCCGTGCCTTGCCTTGAACCCTTGCCCTGTTCTCGCTGTGGATTCTTCTTCGGCAGACTCATCACACATCGAATGCCAGGCATTTGCTTGTAGGTACAGTGTAAGCCTCCGTGGGGGTTCTCTCGAGTGTCGATTTCAGGCACCTCGTCTTAGCAGTCTGCATGTAGGCATCGGCCGGTGTAACATGGGCTGGCACAGGGCCTCGCTCGGTCAGGACTAAAATCAGTCAACAATGCAGGTCACCGATGATGAATTACCAAGTGTGTCGTAGCGAGACCCAAGCTTACAAGCATCCATCTCAGGGCCCCCTCCCAGGTCGCCCATGGGCAAATCAGCAAATCAGACGATCAGACTGGCAAGCAAGCATTCAATCGATTGCGGGCGAAAGGTATCGCGACTGGTCTCGGTTCCGCTCTCTTTGGCCACTAGAGAGGCGCTTGTTACTTGTTCCGCTTCTCCGGGCATCGGAATCTCCTCGTGCTCTCCGTGTGGCTCTCCGACGGATTTGATTCGACTATGCTTTTGCACCTTTGGCCGTGATTAGCCCGGGTTTAGCAGCTAGCACTGACGTGTGCACGACTCTTTGAGTGTCGGTGGCGAGGAATTCGCAGAGAAGCAAAAAGAGAAGAGAGGCCTTCTTTGCCGAGAGGGGGTTAGCGCTCACCGGCTTGGGTTCGTTTCGTTACGAAGCTGGGAAATAATGATGGAGTTGATACCACATCACCCTGTAGACGTGCCTGGGTTGCGCCCTTTTGCCTGCCAAGGCTCCAGCCACGCGCATTACAGCTCGCGGGCATGACTTGTGCATATACATGTACGATATACTAATCGCAAATCAGCAGCGTCTAGTCTTGGGGCTCTGTATTGCTTGATGTCGAATAAAACCTGACCGCGTCGCTTCGCTCCGTCTCCTCCAACATGAAGCAGCTACCGTTCAAAAAGGACCTAGTATTGCACACCGACATCAATGGCTGATGGATGCGCTGGACTTACTTACCGCACATGTGAGAGCATGAAAGCACCCCACGGGCTTTTTGGGGTCGGAGATGCTGTTGCTGCCCAGGTGCCTGGCGCTATTGCCCGATTCCAGCCTGCCCAGACCTGCTCAGACCTATCAGTGCCTCTGGTGGCATTCTGGCATTACTCGACCGCGCACTAGCATCGACGCTACCTGGTGGTGCGGTTGAAAATGCTGAGCCACTACGGAGTCGTGGCCACTGGACCTGGCTTGGCCACTCGCATGGGAGGTTTGAGGCAATGGAGCTTATGGGCAGGACAATCGTAATGTACCAAAGTAGTGCTGGCCTACCGCATGTGGTTGGTTGACCGCCGGAACGGTCCCTCTATTGCCACTTGCGACGGCCTATTCGACGGAATACTCCGTGATTGACGGCAATGCCAGCTGAGTCTTGCCTCGCATGTGAGCTGAGACACAGGGAAGAAGCCGAATGCGGTGGTTGGGTGACCGGCAAGTGTGCTGAAGCACTTGACAGCTTGCAGATCTGCCCTGTAGATGCGGCTGCATGTGCTCAGCAGTGTCTCCGGGATGATTCGTCATGGAAGCCATATATAGAAGCAGTCGTGGTGATGACCTGGCCTGGCTTCTAGCCTCCCATCAATCTCACTACATGCGAGTGGACAAGACAGCAATCTCATGCTTCACCTCCTCTCTTCACCGCTCGCCGTCTAGCAGGACAAAAGCATAAGAAAACCCACCGCATCTAGACGCGCAGTGCAGTAGGCGGTCATGAACTAATTATATACGGCAGAGAGTGCGGTGAGTTTTAGTTTGCAGTCCCCCAATATGAGTTCCTCCAATGATGTCACAAGGACCGTTTCAACCGTCTGAAACCTCGACCGCCTTACAAGCACTCAGTAGTGAAAATCAGAGCCGCAGCCGCAAGCGCAGGATTAAGGCCGATATATCGAGTTAGGGAAGGGGGGCACTTTAGGAGCGCCTCGTTGACACCGCCAGATCTCCATCTCGTGGAGGACGAGTCGTGTCTGTGGTCCCCAGCATTGGATTGTTGGGCTTGAGAGTGGCCTGCAGTTCAAGAGGGCGGAAACGTGACGACGGATCGATGCGATGTGTGAACATCAGCCTGATAAGCGACGCCGAGTCCGGGCCCCCTGGATGCAGAGCATGGCTACCATTCATTGCGTCTGGTAGCTTGAAGATTTTCAGGGTCCAGCGAGGCCGCGATTGGCGCCTAAAGCGCGCCGTCATCAAATCTCGAAAAAGTCGCCGTCATATACGTCTACGTGTATTATACTGTAAGCGGCCGCTCGTAAATGCACCGACGCCCAATACTCCGTTCCTTATTAGTTCGTATCTTCGCGATCCCTGTGTAATTCCCATCTGAGGCATCAGTTGACCTCACCCCAACAAATTAAGATGCTCCAATTGTACGACCAAAGTCTTGGCTCATTCGAAGAAGATGATTGGAAATATAGTGTGTATACGGATAATATAGTAATAATTTAGGAATTGATTCCCTTGTTCGGGCCGTCGACAAGGCAGCGTCGCATCCCGCCATCAATTTCAAACTGACAGGAAGAAAAAAAAGACGCTTAAAGTGAAAAAAAAATGCCTCTGAGAGGGTAGGGATGCCTGGTTGGAGTCGCGTGCGCAAAACGCATTGCCCCTGCAACTCATTCATATTTCTCCACCGTGAACATACAGCTTTGCGGGAAGCATCCAGCAGCATTAAATGCAATTGCAATATCGATCAATTAAGGGACGCTTGCGATTCGACCAATGCAGTTCCAGACTGCCCTCCACCAAAAGTGCTACGCTGCAATTCAACTACTAGCAATATAAAGAAGCACCTCGCTCCATTAATACCGAGGCTAATCGAGTTGTCATTTTCTTGACATCGCAGGGGGACAACAGCGTGCAGGATCCATCTCAAGTGGGAACAGCCTCTCTTTTTGCCTTTTGACGGAGCCTTGGTCCTGGTTATGGCGCCTCTGCCGCCAGCTGGCCTGAGTCATAGTGTGGCACACGGGATGGATATTGGCTTGCTGTATCCCATTACGAGACACAAATGTTTCGCTCCAAGTATGTACCTGGTAAATAATACTAACCGGCATCATTTGACTTGGGATACAATGACATCTCTGAGGGTCTGTTAGCTCTCTCGCTTGTCTAGAAGCTCACTGGCGCGTGCATGGCAGTAAGCCGGCGTATTTCTTTTAACTTTGTTCAAAAGCCGCAAATCTTGCCGGCCGAAATTACATGTCTGAAGAGAGAGAAAAAAAAAAGACACATATGATGGAGAAGCGTATTCATATTACAACAAGCATGCCGATATATACAGATGCAAAGTGCCATGTACAACCCTGATCTTCCCTCCTTACCTTGGCAAACTCTATGCTTTGCATCACACAGTAGAAAAGACAATGCTCGACTCTGAAACGCCATTTCTACTCGCACCAAAGTCTCGGCCATGTCTGAGACACGCCAAACCCACAACATTGCCGGGTTTAGCCGCCATTCGACGTTATCCAAGAAAACGACAAGAAGCGCCAACAGTTGAAATGCCTTGTGATTTTTCCCACTTGGGTCGCAACCAGAGCCTCTTTTGTCCTGGCGTCGGATTGTTTCTGAAGAGAAAGCCCCAGGTGCCAAGTGGGCTTTTGCGCGGTAGACTTCGGCATCTCGTAGAACAAATGGAGTCCTTCCACGGCTTCGCTAGAAACAAGGAACAAGGCACAAGAGAGCCAAGAAAAGCCACGGAATCCATTTACTGCAGAGTGAGACGCTCTGGAACCGGAACCTCCAAGCTCAGCCAGTCCGCTTCTTAGTTTCTTTTGTTTTACATACTTTTTTGCCCGCTTTAGCAAGCGCTAGCGGTTGCACAGCTTGCAGTCTTAGGAATAGACCCTGGATGCATCAGTCAGTCTTGTTCCCACAATTGGTGCTGTCGATCGCCTCGCCTCAGCATCGCCAGCCAGAAGGGGACTCCACTTCGGCACCTCGCGTACAGGTTCGGCATGTGGCTTCTTCTTCTTCTTCTTCTTCTTTTTGCCTCAGAGCGGAGTGCCGCCTCCGTATGTACAAGCAAGCAGATTTGGCGCAGTTTGGACAGATGTTCTGCATGAGGTGGTGCTTGGAACTACATGTACCTACTCCATCTCTTAGCTGTAAGAACGGCCGCCCTTTGCCACCGAAGGGGAGAGGGAAAGCTCAAAGCTTCTCTTTTTTCGTCTTGCTCCATATTGTACAGTACCCATATATCATGCCGTAGCCGTGCTTTGAGCTATTGGATTAAATCGTCCCTTTTTTTAGAACACGAGGCTCGAGCGCGTCGTTAGCTGTGTGATTAGTGTTTAGAGTTGCGCACCTGGTTTATATCTGCCGTCAGCGTTGTTGGTTGTCTATATCGAATGTACGTGGCTAGGGTGTCTTGGCACGGGTTTCAATAAAAAAAAAAGATGGTATTATCCTACACGACGCGAAATAGTGTGTCAGAGATATAGCCACAATACGAAGTCTGTTGTGAATGTTCTTTGCCTCTCTCTAGACGGAACAAGTGGCTGTTAGAGTGTGTAAGCACGTCTGCACGCTACGGCAACATCGCTCGACTGTAAAAGTTGGAGGCTGTTGGCTACATGTATATGGCTACACATCTTGTTTCAAATAAACTTTTTGGGTGGTCACTATTTGTAGTCAAAAAAGTCTCCCAATACTTGGCTCTCGATGCTAGTCTCTGGAGATTTGTCGGATGCTACACCATGAAGCTGACATTCGAGTCTGTCGGCTCGCGACATAGGGCTGCCGTGCACAAGCTCTTGCAAAGGACAAATGCTGCACCAACCACTCGGCACATGGTCAGATGCCCAAGCAGGCAGCTCAGTATATCTCGGCACAACCGAAAATTTCCTTTTTCTGCTGTCATGCCATTCAAGCCTCCTACCAACGGCCTGATTACGTTTTGTTGAGCTGTGCCAAGGTCAAAAACGTAACGAACAGCCAATTATAGCTCTCTCAATTGCAATTACATGTAAATGAAAGCATCTGGCGATGCTGGGGCCGTAGGGTGGTCCAGTGTTCTGCGAGTGTAAGCTCCAATACTAAGAGGTCCACGAGCCTGAACGGCCCAACAAGAGCCACACATGGCTTGAACATGGGATTTCCAGGTACCTGGTACATTGGGCAAGCTGAGTATTAAGTAGAATATCAACCTTGGACAGCCTAACATCAGTTGGGCGCGAGTGTCCGGCCCGACTCGCCAATGTTAATCTCACAACCACGAGTGATCTCAGCTACCAGGGCCCTAGCATGGCACAGTCTGAGTAGGTAGGTACATAGTAGTAGTAGTATAATTAGCAGTGCTACGTCATAAAACTCACCATTGTACTAGAGTGGTATCGATTAGATATCCGATCAATCGAGATATCTCAGGGGCGCACCGAACAGGGGGTTGCAAGATAAGGGTCCGCGAACCAAGCGCTTTCCAGCACATGGCCGTGATGCGGCTGGCGGCAGAGGCGCGGCAAGCGGCAAGCGGCACCGATCAGTAGGATTATGCATTGCGGCTCTTGATCCGGGGGAGTGGCAAAGATATATCGGAATGGCGCATATGATGGCTGCTCGATTGAAACTCAAATCTGGGGTCGGTCTCCAGGGTAGCAATTTGGCCGGCGAGTGCAGACAACTGAAGCATCATCTGTCAGAGTGCTACTGCGTATGCCATTTTCTTTTGTCATTTAGTAAAATTGCTGTCGAGTACGTTATTAAATAGATGATTTTTGGAACATCATTCTGTATGGCTGATACTGCTGGCTTGCTCCCTTGGCGGGAATGACGTTGATGCTGCTACTAACATTGGGTACTACAACTCCATAACATTATCACTACTGCCCATCGGGGTATGACTGCCCTTGTCAGCCACAGCCAAGTCTACGGACACCAGATCCGGATATGGAGCGCGGAGATGCAAGCAATCACCATCATACGACGTGCCTGCGGCGGAACCGCCCGGAGTTCTAGAAGACACAAGGGTCCGTTGACGTCAAAGGGAACTCGGCCGCGCAGCAGCCGGGCGAGAACGATAAACGTCTCAGCTCGTATGATCGGTGGTCGGCGCCATGCCCCCCTCGGCTGCCGGCATGGCACAGCGCATCTGGCAAGGCTGCAGGGGCTCGAGAGTCGTGCTGGTTAGTCAGCCCGATGAGACGAGCTGGCGGGCGAAACCGCCGCAGGGCTCCCACTGGTGAAATGAGCCTGTTGAGCATCAGACGCCCCTGCCGCCGAGCGGCGCCGCACATGCCGCAGCCGCCGCGACGAGCGCTGTGGCTTGAGTGGCTTTTGATTTTTTCGTTATGCCGCGCAGCCTCTATCGTTACATAAGGCGGCGGTCGCCGCTGCGGCGCGCAACGAGCAGTCGGATGATGTAGGGAGAGAGTAGGGAAAAAACTTCAACTTTCTGTCAGTTTTGCTCTCTTTGCAGCTGCGAGCATTCAATCGTCATACTTGCAATTCAAACAAGGATAATTCGACAATTCTGATATTAGTGCGTAAGTGATATCTCCGTTGTGCCTGTTTTGGTCGAAAACGCGTAAAGCCTCTCCTCAATCGTGCTGCGGAGGTCCGGTGTGTTGCGCACGGGAATTTCTCGGTGGGGAATTCTCGGGCTTGCGGCGGGGCGGCTCGGAAGGGAAAGTGCAAGATTTTTCTTTTAGCTGGTTGACATCATGCCGCTTTGATTCTGACCCAGCACTATATTTACAGCGCGCTCGCTTCCGTCAAACGGGCTCTTGTCTTCATTGCCATCAGCACCATCGCATCACAACCAAACATCCAACACTACAATCAGTCTTGTATCATACAGACTCAATCAGCTATTTACACTCAACTCAACCCAAACACACAACATACAAGAGACTTGCACCTGTTGCTACCGATATTCATCCTCACACGACCAGTAATCAAATCATCCGCCAAAGCTAAAATCAGCTCGCTGCCACTTGCTACATCCGGACCCACCTGAGCTTTTCTGACACCACCACCCCTCTTCATCAGAGCAGCTCTTCTGGGGTTATCAACGTCGCCCGACCACGCAACAGTTACCGCCTGAGCCGGCCTTTGTCCAATTAGGTAGTTGGAATAGCCTATTCGCGACCCCCTTTTACCTATCGAGAATAATACCTGCTCCTGTCTGCTCGATTTCCCCCGCTCTGCGAAGTTTCTTGGACTCGAGACATTTATATAACCGCCAAAACTGAGCCACTTTCTTCAGAGTTAGCTCAGCTACCACCTACAACTACCCTACCTACCTATCACAACAACAAACTCCAACAAGTCACCATGAAGGTCCTCACCAAGGAAGAAGAAGCCGCCCACTACAACGCCGTTGTCAAGGGCGGATTGATCGGTGGTTCATTGGGTCTTGCTATCGGTGCCAGTGGTGTCATCTACGCCTCAAGGAGATATCCTTCTTTCCGCGGCCTGACCCTGCCATTCCGAACTTTCCTCGTCACATCCACCGCTACCTTTGGCGCCATCGTGCAGGCTGATCGCCAGGGCATCAAGCACCAGAAGGAGCAGGACCCCAGACGCATGTACCGAGACAACTCCCAGCGTGCCCAGGAGATGATCCGCGAGAACGAGACCGCCTACGAGCGCTTCATGAACTATGGCCGCGACCACCGCTATAGTATTGTCTGCGCCTCGTGGCTTGCCAGTTTGGCCGTTGCCTTTGCTCTCGTCAGCCGCGCGCCCATGAGCACCCCCCAGAAGATTGTGCAGGCCCGTGTCTACGCCCAGGGCCTGACGCTTGCCGTGCTCATCGTCTCGGCCGCCTTCGAGATGAACGATGCCAAGAGCGGCAAGGGCCGCTGGGAGACCGTCATGGTCCTCGACCCCAACGATCCTGAGCACAAGCACCTCATTGAGAAGAGAATCCACAAGGAGGAGTACGAGGGACAGGATCTGTGGATGGGTAAGTTTTTGATCAACACTCTACTTGTACAATCAAGCATCTGGCTAACAAACTCGTTTACAGACATGGTTGAGGCTGAGGAGAAGAGAATAGCCGCCCGCAAGGCTGCCCAGGCCCAGGAGCATGCCCAGTAAGCTGCTGAATGCCACTTCAATTCTCCCATTCCATGGCGACTATTAGCAGCAGGCGCCCGCTGAGGTGCTGCACTAGTTGCGCCATGGCATGCAACATCTATCCGTCACATCCGGTTACAATAAACCGGCTCCTCCCATCTTGAAATACCCCATCCTGGCATTAAACCAATCACATAGACGCTGTTTCATTATATTTGAATCGGACACTCACACATGTCTCATACAGCAAATGAAACTACACTCCGAAAAATAAAAAAGATTTTCGGAAAAAATTACTCGTTGGGTATCAAGGGGGGAGGTTAATGAATTCCTTCTCTTTTCTTATTTTGGGCTGGTTTCCTCGTCGCGGTTATAGAGAAAACAAAAAACACTTTATACATTTGAAGAGGGTGGCTATCAAAGGCCAAAAGCACGAGTGATGAGGAAACAACGGAATCGGCTTCTACTTTTTTCTCTACTGTTATTATTATTACTATCAGCATTTGCATAATAGGGCGTGTTTGATTCGTTCTCACGTTTTGGGTGGTTCAAACAAAAATAGTCTGCTTTACATACACCTGGATATATATACATTTCCTTTATCTTGTACTATAACAAAATCAAATTGTTTAATGGAATCACTTCATGATCTTACTTTGCTCCTCTTGTTCCTCTTGGTGTTGTTTTTCTTCTTAAAAGTTCATGGTATCATAAAAATAAGAAAGCTTACTCTATATCTGAACTTCTTGGCAAGCTGCAAGGGCAAAGGCAATGCTGCTTGCTTTCTGTATATTTGAGGAAAAAAGAAAAAAATTCAACCCGAATCAGTCAGCGTTCTTCTATGCACACATATAGGGTCAACATAAAATAGGAAAAAATGCAAGATTAACAAAAGAGAATATCCAACGTGTCTTTCCTCCTCATAAACGTTCAGAGGTTTGCCATCATCATACATCAATCGTGAAATGGCTAATTTGCGAGTAATACGCGTGAACCGCCAGCTCCAGAATCATCACGTCGCCAAATACATCGCTGCCGTCAAACCCGCCAACAACATGCAACCTACTATCGTACAGGACCGTGCCGTGATACCCTCGTCCGCTGGGGGGCAGGCCATATGTCTTGCGCCTGTCCCACGTCATGGTCACCAGGTTGAGGAGCAGCACGTCGGCGCAGTACTCGTGGCCGTCGTGGCCTCCGATGACAAAGAGGTATGAGCCCACAATGGTGGCAGTGTGCGAGAGGCGACGATAGCTGATGGGGATGTTGACGAGCTTCCAGATGTGCCTCTCCACATCGTAGATCCACACGTCGTCGAAGCATTCGCCACCGTCCGATCCACCAAAGATGATGAGCTTACTGCCAACCATGTTGGCTGTGTGGTAGCCGCGAGCTTTTGGCCGGCGGTCCCGTGTTCCTGGAGCTACCTTTTCGGCACCGGATATCAGTCTCCACGACATCTTATTCATGTCACTAACGTCGAGCCGCCATATATCGTTCAGCGCGCGCACGCCATCGCCTCCACCAAAAACGTAGATGCCGTTCTTGTACAGACATGCCGTGTGGGCGCGGCGTTTTGAGGGCACCTTGTCTCCCATGATGCGAGGCTTGGTCCAGCGGAAATTGACCGTATCAAGGACGTAGACATCATTAAAGTACGTCGGGCCGTCGCCACCTCCAAAGACGACGAGCTTCTTCCCCACTGCCGTGCAAGTCATGGCCCGGAGGGGCATAGGGATATCCCCAACCATGTGCGGCACAGACCAGTAGAACGAGTCGGCGTCAAGGACGTACATGGAGTTGAAGCACGTCTTTGCATCGCAGCCGCCGAAAACGTATACGCTGGAGCCGATCAGCGTCGTCGTATGAGCTCGGAGATTCGAGTGTGCAGCTCCGGATATTGGTGCCTTTGACCAGTACATGCCGGATGCCGGGGCTGGGGGCACCTCTGGCCCATCACCGGGTCTCGGCAAGGGGGGGAACGTGGTGTGTTTGCCGGCTGATGCGCGAGCCATGATGGAGCTTGTTTGGCGAGCTGACACGGCAGATGTCGCTCTTGACGATGCAGCTATAGCGGCTGCGGCTGCTGTTGCTGTTGTTGCTGCTGCCGCTGTAGCTGCCGTCTTTTGTTCTGCTTCGCCATCGCGAGGAAGGGGAGGGACATCGGGAAGACTGTCCGCGGTCGACTTTCTTTGGCCCGTTGGGCGACTCGTTGGAGGGTTCGGGTGCGAGGCCGAAATTGCTCGTTGACGAATGGTCAATTCGGCGGTTGCTTTATTGCTTCGCAGCTGATCGCCCGGGGCATTGCTCCTGGCACCAGCAAGGCGGCCAGGCGTGTGGCTCCTGGGGACTGGAGTCACCGATTGCTCCTCATTCTCGTCATCCTCCGCCGCAGAATAGCGCTGCTCATCTTCGTCGACCCTCCGCCTGACATCCTCCCCAAAGTATTCATCATCATCGTCCTCGTCTTCGTCGTCGTCCTCATCGTCCAGCATCGTCGGTCCTCTGTTGGCGGACGGGTCGACAGCGGTCCTCTGAGACGCCACGCCCTGTCGAGAGCCGTACGTTGCTGTCTTGTGAGGAGACCGGGTCGCACTAGCGAACGGCTGGCCCAGATCTTCCATGGTCTCGCCAGCTGCTCCTCATTGCCGAGTTTCGGCAGCGTCGATTCGCGAGGAGCGAGGTCTCAGGACGCGTGCAGCAGGAGCTTAACTCCTTTGAAGGGGGAGAGAGGTTGAGGGCAGCTAGGGGAGCAGGAGGGGTTTGGGTAGTGGGGTAGCATTGGCTATTGAGCGCTGAGCTGGGCTGCAATGTTTGTGCTATAGCGGTCTGAGCGCTGGGGAATTGGCGTCTGGAGCCTCCATTACGGGATACTCAAGCTTTGATGTGGTCTTGTAGGCGAATCAATGCAGCTGCGATCCTTCAAATTGAATTCAGCAATACTGTTGTTCTGTCTGGGTCAAAGCAATCGTTTATCGCTAAAGGCAGTTCTTTAAAATTAATATATTTTCTTCTATTTTCAACTTCTGGTTAGCTTACGATGGAACGTTGAGAAAGTGACATTCAGGTCAGCGCGCTGTGCATACAGTCAATATGTCTGCAGGCAGGTGGCCAAGTTAGGTGACGGCCACCTCTGAAATTTCTCACAGCCGCTACTTCACTGTCCAATAGAATTTTCCAACTCCACAGCAATTTTTTCCCATCTTCATTCAAACATCAACTTTCAAGGTTGGACCAATTTAAATCCAACTTGCATTTTCAATCTAATATCCAGGCAAGGAAGGATATTGGAAGTCTATTTCATTCACTGCACTGGACAAGGCCTTTGAGGATCCTGCTCAGAACACTTCTGGCATAAGCTTCTTCGCCTCAACCGCATATTTCACCATATTTCATCTCAGGAATCTAGGCATTTCAAGTGGCCATTGTCTCGATCCAGATATTTATCAACGCCATTGTACAATATGGCTACAGAATCCGATACCCCCATCGCCGGAAATCAGCCAGACGTTGAGCCGCATCCTGAAGAGCGAGCCGCCAAGCGAATTAAGATTGACGACGCAGCTCCTGCTCAGGAAGAGAGTGGCCAAAACCTGTCTGATGCTAATCAGAACGGCAACCATGTAGAGACTTCAGATAAAAGTCAAAGCCAGCCTGTCTCTGAGGCCCCCAAACGACCAGAAGAGAATGGCGAGCCCGATGACCGTGTCAAGGGCCTAGCTCCGATTAAGAAGGAGTAAGTTCCCTTGTCTGATAACTCATATGTATTCCCAACTTATGCATCCTAGGTATCTCATTGATATGTCAGGGAAGCAAGATGAGAGATCTACAGCAGTGGACGACGACGCTGCTGAAGGTCGAGGCTCAGACCCCCGAGACCAGTCCCGTAGAGACGGGGAAGATTCCAGATCCCAGGGAAAGAAGGGAAAGAAGAAGGCCAAGGGTCAAAACATTGATCGTTCATTTGGGAGATTCGATGATGCTATTCCACTTTGTAACAGCAGGGCTTATGCTCGGGAATTCTCACCAAAGGAATGTCCGTACGGTGAAAAGTGCAGAATGTGCCACGATCTGCGCAAATATCTCAGCGAAGGTCGACGCGAAGACGTGGAAGCCCTTGGTGGAAAGTGTCCCGCTTTTGAGGCACACGGCTTCTGCTCTTCCGGCTGGAAATGCCGCTTTGTCAAGAGCCATATGGAAGAAATCGAGCACGAAGATGGCAGGAAGGAGCTGGTTTTGAAGGATAACCGGCCACCCAAAGAGGAATCCAAGAAGGAGTCCAACGAAGAAGCTCAAGCAGACGAACCCGCTTCCAAGGACTCTTCAGAGGATAAAGAGGCGGCTTCTAATGGCCGAGAGAAGGGCGAAGACGAGTTGCGACCTGGAATCTACAATGTAGTGACTATGGGTCAAAAGATCCAGCTGAATCGCAAACGAATCGACTTCACCAAGACGGACCAGTACATTACATGGTTAAACCACGAATCCAACATTAGCCAAGACTTCCATCATCGCCGCAAAGACCAGCCAGAATTGGGCCTCGAAGACCTTCGGGCTCGGTATGTTGACCCGCCGTTCAAGCCGTCTGAGAAGCGCCGTCTTTACTTTGGCGCTGAGACTCCGACTCTCGCCCCTTTGACCACGCAGGGAAACCTCCCATTCCGACGGCTGTGTGTAGAGCTCGGCTGTCAAGCCACCTACTCAGAAATGGCCTTGGGAATGCCTCTGCTCCAAGGTTCCAAGCCTGACTGGACGCTGATGCGCGCTCACAAGTCCGAGATTACGCCCCCCAAGATGAATCCCGGAGCTATCCCGTTGTTTGACGACTACAACCACTCGCGCGATCTGAAATTTGGCGCCCAAATCTCGGGCAGTGCTCACTGGGTTGTCACCAAGGCTGCTGACGTCCTCAACCGTTTCTGCCCTCACCTTCGGCTCATCGACCTCAACTGCGGCTGCCCCATTGACAAGGTATTCAAGTCAGGCGCCGGATCCGCGCTCCTCGAGGCAAGTGGTAAAATGGAGCGCATGATTAGAGGTATGAATGCCGTGTCTGGCGAGATCCCCATCACCGCCAAGATCAGAACTGGTGTTCGCAAGGACCGCCCGACAGCGAGCCAAGTCATCGGCAAGCTAGCCTTTGGAGCTCGCGAGCATCGCGAACGGCTTGGTGCTCCTGGCTGTGCGGCGCTCACTCTCCACGGCCGCAGCCGTGAGCAGCGCTATACCAAGACGGCGGACTGGGGCTACATTGGAGAATGCGCAGCCCTCATCAAGACGTACAATGATGAAAAGGCCAAGATCACCGACACTATTGCCGAGCCCGATGAGAGCACCCTGCCCAACGCCAAAGACGGCCGCATGTACTTCCTCGGCAACGGCGACTGCTACTCCCACGTCGACTACTACGAGCATATCGAAAAGGCCCGCGTCGATACCGTCATGATTGGCCGTGGCGCCCTCATCAAGCCTTGGATCTTTGAGGAGATTGAAAAGGGCCAATACCTGGACAAGTCATCCACCGAGCGTCTCGGCTACATTGAGAAGTTTGTCAAGTTTGGTCTCGAGGCCTGGGGCTCGGACGAGCTGGGCATTGGCTTCACCAGACGCTTCCTCCTCGAGTATCTCAGCTTCGCGCACCGCTACGTGCCGATTGGTCTGTTGGAGCACTTGCCTCCGCGATTGAATGACCGACCGCCGGCGTACAAGGGCAGAGATGAGATGGAGACGATGATGGCATCGGACAATTACAGGGACTGGATCAAGATCAGGTACGTAGGCTGGAAGCTTTCTTTTCTTATTCCTCCCTGGTTATATGCTAACATGTTTTTGACAGCGAGATGTTCCTCGGACCTGTTCACCCAGGCTTCCAATTCCAACCCAAGCACAAGTCCAACTCTTACGAAGCCGAGGGATAAATGTGCTAGAATCCTATACACAAGGGGGGGGGGGGGGGGATGAGACTCGTATATGGAACTAATTTATCAAATAAGGAAGAACTCAAGAGCAACAGACAATTGTGGCAAATTACTAGACAGATTTTCTCTGCTTGTTGCGCTACATCACGTATAAGTAGAAGCAACTCAGAAAGCTGAGCAAATAAATCATCACACGCACGCAAGTTGATTAGATTTCTCAATTTCCAATCGTCATGAAAATAAATTTAAAAAGCTGTATGTAAATAATACAAAATAATAATCAACCCCCCGACTTTTATACAGGAAACGGAGCAGGTCTTCATCCACGTCTCCATGAAAGCGTCTTGACACAAAAAGGGCTATGCGACAGCAAGCATGCAAATACCCCGAAAATAAAACTCCCAAAGCGAATTAGATAGCTAGAAGGAAAAGGACAAAGGAAAAAATAAAAAAAAGCACGCCAGTGGTATAAATAGAGCATGCTATACCAGAGCATCTAATCGCGCAGCCTTGATGACCCAATTCCAATCATTACAGACATGTGTATAAAGTGGTGTTCTTTGTTTTTTTAAGAGTAGAAGTGACTCCTCTGCATGCCATCAGCGGTAGCATACTCTTTCTTGCCCTCTTCGCTTGTTGATGAGCTGGTCAATGAGTTGGTTCTGCTATCAGGAGCGGCCTTGAGCTTCTTGGGCTCAGATTTCTTCAGAACCTCGAGATAGGTTGAGGGGAGGTATCCCTGGCGGCCATCACGGCTACGGCAGTGCCACCACTCGCTGGGCTGACCAGCAGGGTCGTTCTTGCTCAGGACGGCGACGAGATCTCCCTTGCGTCCCTCCAGTTCCATACCGCCGGTCTGCTGGGGGGCAAAGTCGAATCGGAGACGGCAAAACTCCAGCTTGGCGGGATCGACGGGCTTCTGGGCCTCGAGAGCCTGCTGCTGAAGACGCTTCTCTTCTTCCTCGGCGGAGGCGGCAATGTTCTTAATCACCTTGGACATGAGGTAGGGGATACCGAAGGCGGCGAGGAGGAAGAAGATGAGAGGCTTGCGGCTGGCCTTGGGGGGCTGAGATCCAGCAGCGCCGGATCGGCCTTCAAATCGAGCAAAGTCTGAGGCGTTGAGGGCTGCGGCATCAGCTGGGAGGGGACGGCCAGTGAGCTTAGCCAGTAGAGTACGGATCCAACGGATGAGGGTGAAGATTCCGAGCAGTGATCCTAGGGTATCGCGCAGGTTGCCGAACTGTTCGGCGACGGAAATCATAGCTATTGATAGGTTAGCATGCAGCTCTTACGATGAGGCAAGCCGAAAGCAGTATCAACAACTTACCAAAGAAGCTAGAGTGCGTGGCCATGTATGTGCTCTCGAGCATCTGTGCAAATCCGCCAAAGGCAGTGACAACGCCCTCAAGCATCTGAAAGGTCGCCGCGGTGCCATTGCTGAAGCGGCCGGCGAGGCTGTTGGGGTCGCCCATGGCACCGCCATACATGCCGCCGCCGTACATGCCTCCCATGCCCATTCCGTATCCGCCGCCATACATGCCGCCGCCATATCCTCCATAGCCACCTCCCATGCGCGAGTAGGGACTTGAGTAGGGCGATGAGTATGCGCTGTTGTAGGCGCCGTAGGGAGAGGCAGCCATGCCGCCCATGACGCCGGGCGTAGGGACGGCGGCGTTCTGGGTCATGGCCGCGGCAAACGACGCCGGGCGCTCTGGTATCGGAGGTGCGTCCATGGATGCAACAGATGATGCCGGCGACAGAGGCGCTGATGATGAGGCTGATGAAGGAGGAATGGTCACTAGAGAGAGGAAGAGAGGCGACTAGTCAGCATGTGAAGGTCACGGGAGAGGCGCGTTCAGGGCACAAGAGCATAGAAGCAAGTCCGTGTTGGTACTTACGTGAAGGCACTGAGGCTCCAGCTCGTTCCCAGGGCTTAGGTGGCGAAGCCATTGTGAAAAGGGTCAAGAAATGAACGGCGAGGAAACAAGCCGGGGGTATCACAGCAGTGTTATTTGCCGGCGGAGCGCGTGCAGTCCGGTTTGGGCTCGCCTCTTGGAGTGCTGGTGCTGTGGAGAGGCTGGTTGGTGTGCTGCCAGCAATCTCTTTTTTTTCTTCTTTCCAGCTGGGGCTGAGGCAGGGCCCCAGGTTGTGGCGATAAGCGACGGTACAAGTAAGACGAGCAGAGCCGGCACGTAAGGCTTAGTCCGTTGTGTTGTTGTGCGAGGAACGCGTCGGGCCTGGCAGGATGCAATTCGAATCTGGAATTGGGAGAGGAGCGAAGAGTTGCGATAAGCTCCAGCGCTCGACGGGAGGGGAGATGAGCCTTCATCAAATGGCTGGGGCAATCACAAGCCCCGGCGGCTTGGTAATTAAATCGAGCCTGGGCAAATCCCGGGGCTCGCGTGGTTTGGCACCAGGTACTGCGCCAGTACACGCGAGCCCATCCCTGGCGTCGCAATGCAGGGGGTACCGAAAAGGTATCTCCCTTGCGCTTCCCTCTGGGGCGGAGCTGCGGCTGACCTGCTGAAGGCGGTTCTGGGGGGGACGGGAAAAGCGGGGCGCCGTGGCTTCCAGGTTTTTGTTTGCCTCGGTACTGGCTCTTTGCCATGACGACGGGGCCGAGACGCTAGCACGGCTCTGGCTGGGAGGTCGGATGGCGGAGGCTGGTAGCGGATGCGGCGCTGAAGACGAGCGCTGAAACGATGGCGCAGCGCGCATTGGCCTAGCTGCATGTGCACCTGGTAATACGAGTGCGCTGGAGAGCTGCGATGGAGCATTGCTGCAAGCTGCTGTTTGACGCCAATGCCCGCGAATATCTGCTTCAAAGCATCAAAACCTGCGAATGCATTGAATAGCTATTCGGCTCAGCGTTGCAAGTTTTCATAGCCGCGGTCCGTTTCGGACTGCATGAGCCGAGTCTCGCGCATACATCCATGGCTATGCAGATAATCATTTGGCATTAGGTAGCATGCACCCCGCGACTATCTTTTATTCACGACTTGTGGTTGGCTCTGCGGTGGAGCCGAGCCGAGATGACGGCGAACGCATCGTGATTGGCTTGCGGCAAGTGCCACTGGGTGCTATTTCCTGGCACCGCAGCTGGTACAAACGTGTAAATACACACGTCCGTTTTGCATGATGCGGCGGAATAACTTCGGAGCAGGTGTGCTTGTCGGGGCTGTATCAAACAACATAACCTGTATAGAGTAGCAGAGATGTGAAATTATCGAGTGATTGTCTAGATAAACAAATTTGCTCCTATTGGCTATTGAGAAATAGAATTTGAGTTGGGCATGATTGGCAAGCAGAGCCACATCCGCTGTTTAGCCAGGATTGCTGCACATTTCCGCATCTGCGTGTATCAGTCGGACGACTTATAATAGTCGCGAACAAATGCACTCTCCCTTTACACAACGGTATTGGGTATACCTGCTTACACTCACCACAACGAATCAGACTCTCAACTTCATGGCCCCATCCCGCAAACGACCTCTCAGCCCCCCCGTGCTTATTCCCAATCCCTTCATCAAGAAGCGCAATCTCGCCTGGTCTCTCGAGTCTCCATCGTCATCTCAAGATCCTCACTCTGCCACTTCATCGTCTCTCCTCCCTACTTCATCAACTTCAGCTCCGGCTACTATAACCACAGCTACAGCTCCTACTTCCGCTCCCCTTGCTGACAACACTGCTGCCGCATCCACTGACATCTCGACCTCTACCGCCATTTCTTCTCCGGCGGCACCAGCCCGCAGGCCCACCGCCGGCACCACCGCCGAGATCGAATCCGGAGCCGTCCAGATATCTGACCATCTGGCCCAATTCACGTCGCTCCTCTCCTCGCATCTCCGCCCGACATCGGCCCCCATCCCTCGACTGAGTATCTCGGGTTATTCCAGCCTGTACCAAAGCTGTGCAGGCAGCCAGAGCGGCGCGCACTTTGTGATCCATCAGCACGACCACCCCGTGGCCGGCACCCACTACGATCTCCGCCTTCAGATCAACGAGACCAGCAGCGTCAGCTGGGCCATCATGTACGGCCTGCCGGGAGATGCCAACAGCAGCCGGTTGAACCGCAATGCCACCGAGACTCGCATCCACTCACTTTGGGCGAGTCTCCCTGTCTTATCCTCCCCACTTTGCTACCTGACATGACCTCGACTCCTAATACCCAGTACTAATACAATCCGCATTTATATGCAGAATCACCTCGTTGAAACAGCTTCTGCAGAAACAGGATCCCTCATTATATGGGACACGGGCACATACTCCGTCCTTCCACGCCGCAGCAAACACGCCCCTCCAGAAGACCCCTCTTCACCGCCAGGCTCTCCTCACTCATCATCATCTCCAAACAGCAAGCAGCACACTCCAACGGCCCAGTCTCTCCTTCACGCAGCCTTTCAAAATCGCAAGATCCGGCTGCGTCTCCATGGGACAAAGTTGCCCAATCCGTACGTCATCAACATCCGCCTGACCAAGACGGAAGATGCAGTAGGGCGATCTAGAAGCTCGAAAACGCCGCGAACTAGGCGCCGCGGGAGGACGGCAAAAGCGCGCCCTGCAGATCCGGAAAGCACCTCTTCCGACAGTGATGAATATTATAACGACATAGAAGAGTCTGCCAACGATGAACCGCAGGCTAAAAAAGGTACCAACGACACACCCTCCCTGAATGAAGCACGCCGTAAGCTGCAGCAAGAAGAAGATGCCCAAGTCCGCCTGAACAACGCCTACGCCGGAGCATCAAACACCATCGGCAGCGTCTATCAACGCCGATGGTATCTCTCACTGGACCGCTGCGCCTGCGGCTTCACCGAAAAGAAGCGCTACGGCCGCAGCGTGTGGGAAAAGCTTCTCCCAGACACCGCGCCCAAGGACCCTTCCGGCGACTTGGAAGCAGATCCAGAAGAATCCTCCTGTCGGCTCTCGTTCCCCTTCTACGTCCGCGGTCCACAGTTTGAGCAGAGCGTAGTGACGGGAAGACTGGGAGAAGAAGTTTTGCGAGACGAGGGCGTGACCACCTTTGTCCCCAGGAAGGGATGGACTCCTGTGATGAAATGACTGTCTTTAAGGAAAACGGTAATATCTTGTAAACTTATTGCGTGCCTCATATCTTGTTCCAGGTCCCGGCTACCTGAGAGAACAAGGTCAACGCTACAGTTGTATATAAGGCATTGAGATGCACACGTAAAAATGCACATCGCCTCCATCCGTACGCCCATCATATCAAACAGAATTTTCCATTGATTATATCAGACTATAAAACTATTGCACTTTTTGCCCAACCGCCACCCCGCCTGCTAAATCGCAGGCCGGGCAAACTGCCCACGCCCTGGGCAAAACTATAGGGAAAGAGAGACCTCTTCTCTCTCTCAAAAACGTATAATGATATCTTCTTCGGCAGGCTCAAATGCCGCCTTGGGATCAAAGCAAATTACGCCGGCCCGTAAAACGCCAGCCTGTACCAGTAAACGTTGGCACCTACCGTCATCCATCTATATAGTCATTGCCAAACCGCGCTTCTCATCATTCTGTGATGGCGAGTGCCGTGCCACAAGAGAGGAGATAAGACAGCCCGCAGAACACGGCTCGCTCTACAAAATAAAGTAAATAAAAAGCAGAAAAAAGAGGAGGCTAAAAGGACAAGCCGAGGCCGGAACTTCATGTTCAGTTTGAAACAAGAGTTGGAGCGATTCTTCGCTTCTTGGGCTCTTTGGTGTCTTCTTTCTCGGCCTCATCAGCATCCCTCTTTACGCCCGTACTTGGGCCAGGCACAACTTTGGGTGTCTCTGGAGGTGTAGTCAAGGGCACGCCCGTTACCCTGCCTGAATTGGCGGCCGTGATTGACGGCACACTACCACTAATGAGGGGCGGGTTGCTCACGACACCGGATTGTGTAGCCACAGAAGATGTCGAATTCGACCTTGTAGGTGAGGACGGGCGATTGGATGGCACAGACGATGTGGCAGGAGGAGAGGGTGCTGTAAAAGAGCTTGCCGAGTTGCGCGGTTGATGCTGCGATCCATTTGGGAATGAAGCAGGCGATGCAAACGTCGACGTAGGAGTTGCTGCGGATGCACTTGCTTTTGCCCCAACTTCGCCCTTGTAAATCTCGCCCAGCTCGCCCGGAGCAAATGTGAGTGAAGAGCAGAATCCGTCCGATGACGAGATGATGAGGGTGAGTCCATCAGTTGACCTATGAAAAGAGAAAAAAAAAAAAAGAGTTAGTTCGCAGTACTCATCCAGGCTAAGCAGCCGAATATACGTACCAAGCAAGATCAGTAAAAGTTGCGCAGTGCAAGTTGCTAACTATGCATATCGGTGTCTTCTGTTGCGTATCATATAGTAGCACCGAGTCTTGAGTGGCGACCGCGTATACCATTCGGTAAGGAAGGGCAAAGGCAGGCTTGGGGCCTGGCGTTGACGCATTTGTCTCGGTAGACACTCCTTTTGACGGAGCTCCTCCTTCGGCGGCAGTAGTCGAAGCAGGCGTGGGCAGCGGGGGAGGATCCATGACGGATGGCGCGGTAGATGACTTGGAGGAGACTGGATCTGGTAAGGAGGGGATGGTGTCCTCTGCAGAAGATGTATCAATGGTGACATGTTTAGTCACCGGCGGTGACTGGCGGAGGGTATAGAAAATAGGTGAGCATTTGACAACGACTGAAGGCTTTTTATGGCCTGGCAGGTGAGCTATCGGGGGTTTATTGATGCCGCCTCTAGTGTAGATGTAGACGGTATTGATGATTTCGTAAGTTGGCTTTGCATCCTTGTCTGTCTGGTGTTGATTCTGATATTGCCCAGACGGCGTGAGCAAGAGGCTCCCATCTGGCGTAAACGTAAGTCGTCGAAAGAAAGATGTCAGGGTTTCGTTGGCATAAAGACTGGCATTCTTCATTCCCGTGGCCCAGTTAGTGTTGAGAGCATAGTGAGGTTTCGGCGACGCCTCCATTGGCATGACGGCAGGAAGAGGTAGAGAAGGTGCCGGCGAGACCGAACGACGAGAGGAGAAGGAAGACCGACGACTATGGCTGATGACGCTTGGCGGGTTCATGGGGAGAGGTGCGGAAGTTGGGGTGCTTGGGGCTGAGGGAGCTGGTGATCCCACAGACGTGGCAGAGTCTACGGTAGACATCTGCGCTCGGTGACCGAATTCCGGGGGCGCGGGACTGCTCGAAGAGATTCGTCGAGTAGGGAGATCGGCTTTGACGTGGCTTGCTAGCCTCGGCAGCTTATCGTCCTGGCTCAAGGAATACTGCCCGTCTTTTGTCTTGAGAGAGTAGATGTGGACGGATCGATCGGACGACTGGGTTGCAATGTACTCGTTCAAGGGATCCCAAGTGACGCCTTGCACGTAGTGACTATGTTCGGCAATTTGCCTTACAAGTGTTCCTGTCATGGCCTCATATTAGCTCGCGGTGAACCTCGCAAACAAGAGCATTGCCGCTGCCTACCTGAACTGGCATTGTATATTCTCGCAATATTATCCATACTACCGATAATAAAGTAGACGGCGTCGGGGGACCATGCCAAATCGTATATCTCGGCTCCGCTAGAGCGACACATGTGCTTGGCTCTCCATGATTCCTTATCGTCCAGACCTTCCGATCCAAAGTTGGTTGCCGGAATCTCGCTGGGAACCCATAGAATCACATTGCCGTCGTCGCCGGCCGAAGCGAGGGTTTCTCCTACATTTGATAGCTACTGTCAGCCCGCGGATAGCCAATGCAGAGGAGCACCGTTGTCAATTTGCTTTACCTTTGGGGGCCCATCGCACAACATTGACAGCTTGATTGTGCTTGGACAAGGTCGATAGATATTCGACTTTGCGTTCCGGGCCGTCGGCTTGAACTTTCCACACCCTCACATGGTTGTCACCACCGGCCGTGGCCAGGCGGCCCTTGCCGTTTGGCTCAAAGTGAGCAGAGTAGATGGGGGCATTCTGGTCATGCCAATTGATGATGAGCGGCGAGGCCTTCATCGTGACGCTTGCGTGTTAGGGCGGCCGTCGAACAAGCAGCATGAGGAGCTGGCGGCAGCGAAAAGAGGCGGAGGGACGATGGTCGTGGAACAGGCTCTCGATGAGATTGGATGGCTGGACAAAAAACGCCGGGCTCGAAAGAGGGATTCGACAGCGAGGGATTCGGTCTAGTCGGCAAAGGGCTTGACACGCGTGACAGTCTCGGGCAACAGAGGCTCGTGATGGTCGAAAGTTTAAAAAAAAAAAAAAAAAAAAAAAAGAGAGGCGGGACGGGCTTGGCCGCGATAGAGAAGCTGCCTCCAGCTTTGGAAATATTCCTCCAGTATGGCACCGATGTAAGGTCAGTGCAGGATAGCCGGCTGAAACTGGGTCGCCTAAGAGGGCCAACTGCTCGAGGCCAATAGCGGCTAGAGGCTCGAATCTTGGGGGCTGGGCTGGGGTGCTGCAGGGTCAGTTGAGTGCTGTGCTGGTCTTGCAGGGGCCGTAGCAGCTGCCCGCTCAGCCGCCAATCGAACGAGGGCCAGGCGCCTCACCACGGGTCCGTATCTGAGAATCAACCAACACACGCACTGCTGGTTGCTTTTTTGCCTCTGTGCTGCCGTCGCTATTGGCCCGGCCACGACGATGCCAGCCGCTTTCGCTGCCGACTGCATACACCTTGCTGTAGGCTCTAACGCCCTGCATGACACGGCGCAAATCCTGTCGCTGGGCTGCAGGGCTGCCATCACCCGGGCCAGTGCATTACGCGATTGGTACGAGATACTCGGCTGATCATGCCAGAGCTTGACGCTGGCCTCTGTCGATTCTCGATTCTACAGTATGCCAGGCGAACCTCAGCCTTTTTTTGCCTGTTGCTCTTTTTGGTATTGCGCTTCCCCATGTTCCCCATGGTTTGCTGCTTGGACTCCATCTCCACACCTCGTGTTTGCTTCTGCTCCCTCTGCTGATCGGTAAGGTCATAAATCACACTACTGCTACCCCGGATCATGGATGACTTTTTGACGATTATTGCTTCCGTTGGCTGATGGGTCCTTTGGCCTCTACGATGTTGATTACTACATCATGCCCCTCTACCCCTTGCGCATCTATCTCTGTTCAACTCTAAACGCAGTTGAGCCAAGAATTTGGCAGTGCTGGGTAGCAGATTACATTTATGCTTCGATACGGCCTCGCTGATGCAGATCTGCGGATGAGCAGCAATTTCACACATTACTGCATATCACTAGCCGCCCGGATGATTCGTCCTCGTACCTGTTTTGAGCAAGGCTGTGCGATTTCAGGCGAGTCAGCGTAGCTGAGGCGATATCTACCACCGAATTCCTTTGCTCCTGGTTTTCTGCCATAACATGGGTACATGTAGTCTGCTCTGTTTCCCATGTTGTGTTGTGTTGTGGTTAGAGTCTGTACAGCTGCATCGGCGGATACTGGCTCTCCATCCGTTAGTCGCGAACCTCTATCAACTTGAAGACATGGCAGATCTCTCTTTCAGCCGTCGGCCAGGATATGACCTGGTTAGATTGGCCGAAAACAAGCAGATCATCAGTAGGCAGCTAGATAAAGAACCTATTGCGAGCAGCCGGCGCTTGCCCGGTAAGGCTACAATGCATGCTCCAGTTCATTGGCGGCCTGGGTTGTCAGATAGAGTGCTACTCCGAGCAGGCATCCGTTGTGATTAGCTGCCTCTCGATGACACTTTGCAGGCACGTAGCAATAGTGTATGCAATGTAATAGTCATGCGTATATATTGACGCGGTGCTACCTCTTGGGAGGCTACCCAGGCTCCTTCGGAGTGGTTGAAACACTGTAGACGGCGTGGATTGATGCCAGACTCGGCAGCACTGGGCAACCACGGCATGGGAGGATTCGACTCGTAGAATCACTAATGTCTGCGAGTGAGTCACTTGACGGCGAGACGGATTTGGAAACGTCCGGGGTGCGTGCCATTATGTTATACATGTAGCCTAGACCTCCCACTAAGCAAGTGTGTGTGCTGCTCTTCTTATATTCATCTCGCTCACCTCGCATCCAACGGTGCTCCCTCACCTACTGCCAAGCCAGGAAAAGATGGCGAGGCATCTTTGGGGGCTTGCTCTGGGCGGAGCTGTCAGTCTTTGTGCGACAAAATCCACGCCTTGATCGACGGCCGACAACCTCCCAGAACGACACTCGAGGCCAGCCGTGTTCCTGAATGTGAAACCGACAAACCTCATATACGTGTGGGTGGGCCATTGAGATGCTACTTGTACGTGTATGCAATCGCTGTGGCGCTTGTGCTGGCCCGCAGCCGCTGGATCCCGCCGAACAGCCTGCCGGAAGCATGCACCACACCGTGATTCAATACAAGTTGCTCGTACTCGTACAGGAGGGGTTGGATGCAAGATCCGGCGGCTCTGCATTTGAACGGCTCGTGATCTCAGGTCTGCATGCGGAGGACGGGAAATGAGTAAAGAGGCAACAAACCTGGTGCACCCTCCATCACCAACATCCAGAGAAAGCGGTGTAGTCGAGCGGTTACTACATGTAATTGCACCGGTAAGAAACCATACCGAATCAACTGTCGCAGCTACCTTGGTATTTTCTAGTACCCATGCTCATTGATGCATGTCTTGGATATCTCAGCTGCATAGTACTATTGGGATCACAACAGCTACTATTGCCTGTTGTAGTCCAGTCTATCATTAAGCGCCCCTGCCGGTACAAACGATGCAATGGATTATGCCCTCGAACGCTTCTTTCGATGTGGCGCAGCCTGCTCATTGTGTACTGTACTCTATCGCGGTAGCACTTATATACGTGGGCATGAGACAAGAACCAAGATAGCGGCATGGATTCATTAGCAGCTCCCCGCAATAGCTCGATGGCGGGACAGCATCGCCTAGTAAAAGTCCCAGACCCCATGGCGGTCGCAGCGAGCCAATCAGTGCGATTGCAGGTGGCGTTGGACAAGGCCTTTTTGAGGTGAGACGGACGGCCTAATCAACCCGCGAGCCGGGGATTTCTGTTGGCGATGGGAAAATGAAGGCAACGACTGAAACTCCCTGCCGCAGTGTTTCATTGCTATCTGCCGGCCCGAGATAGAGGGCGATGCTCGGGCTAGATGATGCCGCGATGTTGATGCCTCCTCAGGCACCAGCTTTGGATTGTAGCTACCTGCCAGGCAGCTGGCGATGATGCAGCCATCAGGCACTTTTGCAGCCTCGTATCTAAGGTAGCCTGCAGAGGAGGGAATATAGGAGAAAAGCAAGTGTCCTTGAAGGCCAAAAACGGCAGCCTAAGGTCGGGTAGGCACTCAGTGATGTGATTATGATTGATTTGGTCAAGCCTGCAGCGATCCCCATTGGACCATCTACGAGCCAAGACTCGCTCATCTCGCAAGGCTTCGGCCGTGACTCCTACAGTCGATCAAAAGTGCTTCGCACGGCATACAAGCGCTGCTGCGTCTGTCCAAGCGGCCGTTCTGGTACCTGATCCTTGTCCAGGCTATCGCCCGTCTGGAAATGGCCTCCGCTTCCTGCCAGAATCCGCTCGCCCAGTGCCTTGGATCGAGCCAACGGCAGCGTTTGATAGTGCTCGCCCCCGTCCGCATAGAGCAACCGAGCAGCTCGTACGAGACATGGACGCTGCTAGTTCGACTCGGAGTCGGAGGAGCACTGCGACTAACAGCCGGCGCAATACCCTTGGTGCGCCACCCGCCCGGGGGATCCTGGCAGGTGCAGCTTTGGCGGGCTTTGGCTGCGTTGCATTCTGTTCGGTGGATGCGGTGGATAGCTTGCAGCACGGGATGGCGCTCCTGCGATAAACCTCCTTCGGCTGACTGATAACTACTGTACATGCACCGCCTCGGACGGCACGTTCTTTGCTCGCCTTTTGCTTTCTTTCCTGTTCATCTTCATGTCTCTCCTGTCGTCGTTCTTGCTGTAGAAGGAGGCATTTGGCCATCTTGGTCGGAACTGTACAATCCCCCTCGGCACCTGTGCTGATGCTCTCAGCATTGGCGTCTCTCGATAAGCTTCCGTAGAGCCGCATCAGCTTGCATCTGAGCTCCCCCCGGCGCGCCGGCGAGGGATTCTCGCTGTGACGATGACGATGCAGTTTCAGAATCAACATCAGCATGTGCTGGGCGCCGTCAGTGACCCGGCGGACCAGTTCAGTTCCTTTGTGCTGCCACTCTCCATCGCCGGCTTAACGGTTGTCGGACTATTTTCCCTGCCGGGCGCCGTTGCTCTTCTTTCCCAGGTCCGCAACCGCACGCCAAAAGACAACTTTTACTCGGATGTCGACGGCACCAGCACGCCAGAAGCTGTTGCTGCATTTTCCAACAAATGGCCCAAGCTTGCCATTCTTCTCCTCGCCCTGACAAGCTTTGACACATCTGTTGCTTATTCGATCTTGACCACCCTTCACGCGGACCGTTATGGCCTCTTTGTTCCCAGCTGGCTGACTACTGCTGCTCTTGTAAGCTTACTCGCTCTCCTCGGCTCCAACGAGCTGTAATATCAATTCGACTAACGCTCTCAACCCCAAAGGCTGCCATTTTGCTACAAGCCGTCTTCATCTTCCTTCACCGGTCTCCCGTCAAATCCCACGACCTCGGCATTTGGTCATTTGGGTCGTCATTCATTGCTATTCTGCTCAACATACTCCAGACTCACCATGCTTGGCGGCTCGGAGCTACCAAGACTGACGCTTTTTTCATTCTTCGAATAGTCAGCTTGGTAGCTACCATCTTGCAATTGTTTGCTAGCATTTCGCTCCCCCGACGACCGGCCGTCTCCCACAATGGTAAACCGGTGGACGCGCAGTTTACAGGCTCCTTCCTGAGTCGTTATACTTGGTCTTGGGGACAGCCCTTGGTTGCGTTGGCCACTAAGAAAGGCGACCTGGACGAAAAAGATATTCCAGGCCCAGATCACAACTTCAGAGCCCGAGATCTCGTCGAGGCTTGGCACAAGTTTGAATTCAAGGGCACACTTCTGAAGAAGCTTCTCCGTTCTTATCTGCCCCTATTTTTGGTCCAATGGACTGTCACCATCTTTCGATCATTTATTGGCCTTGGGCCGTTCTGGGCCATGCTGCGCGTGATTGAGCTCTTGGAACAGCGCTATCCCGAAGGCGAACGACCAATGGGCCAGATCCTGATATACATCGTTTCACTCGCCCTTTTCTCTCTATGTGGACAGGTACTCACATTTTATTCCTAATTTCTCATTACGGTTGTACGTGCCGAATACTAACTCGCTATATATAGTGGACGCAAGGATGGATCATGTGGTTTTCCATGTACAAGACTTCCATTCCTCTCCGAGGCCAGCTTTCCTCTCTCATTTTCGAAAAGTCCTTGAAACGAAAAAACGTCAAGATGGCAGAGAAGGAAACGCCAAAAGCAGACGAAGATGAGGGCAACGAGGACACAAAGAAACCCGAGGAGGAGACCGTTCTAAAGTCCCGCCAAGCCATTGTGAATCTTGTTGGTGTCGACGTCAGGCACGTATCGAATCTTGCGGCCTTTCAATTTTTCATCATCAACAGCTTGACCAACTTGTTCTTTTACTGTGGCTTTCTGCTAAAGCTGATTGGTTTCTTTCCCTTTGCCGCTGGTATCTTGGCATGGGCTCTTGTCTTGCCCATCAACACGTACGCCACCAAGATCTACATGAAGCATCAAGCCCAGCTCATGAAAGATCGTGATGCTAAGCTGGCAATTGTGAATGAAGCGTTATTAGGCATTCGTCAGATCAAATTCACTGCCCTGGAGAACCAGTGGGAAGGTCGTATTCAAGAGCAACGAGAGAAGGAATTGACGACTCTGAAGAGAACCTTCATGGCGGACTCTGTCCTATTTGCATGCTGGGTTATCAGCCCGATTTTTCTCGCAGCTGCTTCATTAACTGTCTACTCTGTCCTTCATGGCAACCTATCTCCGTCTATTGCCTTTGTCAGTATCAGTATCTTTAAGAGCTTAGAAGTCACACTCTCTGCTCTCCCAGAGCTGCTCACGACATCTGTCGACACACTTGTTTCGATCAAGCGAATTGACACATATCTTAGCGGCCCTGAAATGAAGAGGATTCTGTCTGATGGCCCAGATGTTGCTCTCGAAAATGCCACCATCTCCTGGCCTGTTGACGTCGAAACTCCCGACGAAGAACGCTTCATTCTCAAGAATATCAATCTGTCCTTCCCTGCTGGCGAGCTGTCTGTGATTTCTGGTAAAACTGGAACAGGAAAGAGTCTGCTGCTCTCTGCTGTACTCGGCGAGGTTGATCTACTTGAAGGTGCCATTCATGCTCCCCCCACCGTATCGCCGCTTGAGCGCAATGATCACGCGGCTCATCCCGGAAACTGGATTCTTCCCGGCTCTGTTGCATATGTGGCCCAGACCCCTTGGCTCGAAAGCGCTTCCTTCCGAGATAATATTCTATTCGGCCTCCCGTACATTGAAGCGAGATACCAGAAAGCCATCGATGTCTGCGCCCTGAAAAAGGATCTCGAGATTTTGCCTGATGGCGATAAGACAGAACTTGGAGCCAACGGAATCAATTTGAGCGGAGGCCAGAAATGGAGAGTAACATTGGCACGAGCTATCTACTCACGCGCCGAAATTCTGGTCATGGATGATATTTTCAGCGCTGTTGATGCTCACGTTGGTCGACACATTTTCGACAAGTGCATCAGTGGTGACATCTGCGAAGGTCGAACTCGAATCCTGGTTACCCACCACGTGGCGCTCGTTCAATCCAAGGCTAAATATCTGGTGGAACTTGGAGAGGGCACTGTTCTAAACGCTGGCCTGACGTCGGAGCTTGCTGAGGAGGGCATCCTCGAGAGAATCAAGACCCATGAGCAAGACCCGGAGGAGATTCAGCGTGAAGAAGCGGCTGCTGAAGGCTCGACAGTTGTCAACTCTGAAGAAGGCTCAGTTGCCGGTGCCGATGGAGCATCAAGTGAAACCGCCACGGCTGACCAGTTGGCCAAAGATACGGCTGACCAGGTGGCTAAAGATAAGGCTGCCAAAGACTTTGTCGAAAAGGAGACTCGCGACAAAGGGCAAGTTAAGAACCGGATCTATATGAGCTACCTGACCCATAGCGGTGGCTGGCTGTTTTGGATCATTCTCGCCGTTTTATTCTCCAGCTTCGAGGCAGGTAATCTTGCTCGAAACTGGTGGGTGAAAATATGGACGTCTCAAAGCGAGAACCAAGTTGACGGAATCCATGCCTTTGAAGCGGAGCAGAAGCACGGTCTTGCCTATGGTTTCACTTTACAGCACGGCCCGTTCCATGTTGCCTCGAACTTGCTGAGCGCCGAATCCACAGAGCATAATTTGTACTATTACTTATCAATCTATGTCGCTCTATCTGCGGCCAGTGGATTGGTCGGGACGCTGCGCTTTATCTGGTCATTTTATATGAGCATCAAGGCTAGTAGGACCCTGTTCAAGCAAATTCTCTTCACAGTCCTCCGAACCCCCTTGCGATGGCTTGACACAGTCCCTGTTGGCCGAATTCTTAACCGACTCACCTCTGATTTTGATATCATCGACAACCGCATCAACATGGACTTTGGCATGTTACTCTGGCGTTCTTTGGGTCTCATGGGCGTCTGTGTCGCCGCTACTCTCGTGTCGCCTTATATCCTTCCCTTGGCATTCGTTTTGGTCATCTTTGCTGCGATAGTTGGCAAGATGTACATGACTGGTGCCAGGCCCATGAAGAGATTGGAAAGCACCTCAAAGTCACCAGTCTTTGAACAATTCAACGCGACGTTATCGGGTGTGGCTACGCTTCGAGCGTACCAGAAGACCCAAGTGTACGTGGACCGTATGTACGCTCATCTTGATCAGTGGGACTCTGTAAGCATTTATGGCTCTCTGTTCAACCGATGGATGAGCTTCCGCATGGCCTTGATTGGTACTGCTTTTAGTTCCATTGTCGGCATTGTCGTTGCCTTGTCCCCATCCATTGACGCTTCCATGGCTGGCTTCACTTTGGCGTTCGCTGTTGACTTTTCCGGAAACATCCTCATGACTCTGTGGAGCTATACTAGCTTGGAGCTGGATATGAATGCCACCGAGCGTGTTATCGAGTACGCTGATCTCAAGACCGAACCGTTGGATGGAGAGAAGGCACCTGCTGCCTGGCCTACGTCGGGAGATATTGAGGTCAAGGATCTTGTTGTTGGCTATGCTGAAGATCTGCCGCCAGTCCTGAAGGGCGTTTCCTTCAATGTCAAGAATAATGAGCGCGTGGGTGTTATCGGACGTACCGGAGCTGGAAAGTCCTCGCTTACCCTGGCCCTCTTCCGCTTCCTCGAGGCCCGATCAGGCACTGTCTTGATTGATGGTGTGGATATTTCCAAAATTGACCTTCACAGCCTGCGTTCACGATTGGCCATCATTCCTCAGGTAAGATTTATTTTCAACTCTTGATTCTTGAGCTGTACTGAATTAGTGTACTAACGGTGAAATATCTCAGGACCCTGTACTGTTCTCTGGCACTGTCAGGAGCAATCTTGATCCATTCAACGAGCGTACGGACGAAGAACTCCGCGAGTCGCTTCATCGTGTGCATTTGGTCGACTCTCAGCCAGCCACGCCCGCCAATGAGCCATCTTCTGTCGCTGCTTCTGCCGCTGCTTCAACCACCACTCCAACCAACGCCAACATCTTCCGGGATCTCACCAGCGGCATCGCCGAATCGGGCGGTAACCTCTCTCAAGGTCAGCGCCAACTCCTCTGCATGGCCCGAGCTATCGTCGCGCGACCCAAGATCATGGTGCTTGACGAGGCTACCTCGGCTGTGGACATGGCAACCGATACGCTCATCCAGCGCAGCATCCGCGAGGAATTCACCGACAGCACGCTCATCGTTATTGCGCACCGTCTGAGTACGATTGCTGATTTCGACCGCATTCTCGTTCTTAGCGAGGGAGCTGTGGCGGAATTCGGAACGCCCAAGGAGCTGTGGGACAAGGAGGGAGGTGTGTTTAGGGACATGTGTGAGCACAGCGGTGAGCTGGATAAGCTGCGAGAAACGATTTTGGGAAAATAAGAAAACATGTGGAAAATACCTAAGATGTAGTGGATTCATTTGGATAGGTAAAAAAAAGGGGGGGGGGGGGGTCTAAAATGGGGATGAAGCTCAAAAGGCTCGTTTGTATTTATTGCTTCGCTTCTTTCGAATTATTTGCTCTTACGATAGATTGTTTGTTAGTGATGATCTAATCATAGTGGACAAAATGGCATTTGGATGGTCATAATTTCGTGTCTCGTCATTGCTACTATCTGGAGTACAATCTCTGTAGATACCACTAAGGTATTGAAAATAATCGTGAAGAAATCAAAACTTGCGTTAGAATGATCCATCTTCCTCGCATTTAGGCCAATCTGGATGAGTATTTTTTTTTTTTTTTTTTCCAAAGAAGAGAACAAATGAAAAAGAGCCAATCAATCCAACCTTGCCGTTCAGCTTCTCCTTTCGCACACTAGTCCACTTAGAACTCCTCTCCATGAACAACGTCATCATCACCATCGCCATCATAGTCAGCATCATCAGAGCCCAGGGGCATCTCAGACTTTATATAATCCTTGAAACCCTTGCTCATCTTGACTACGGCACGAATGTGCTTCTCCCCAATAGTAATAGTCGGCAGACCTTCCTCATTGGAGTCGCTCTCGGCCAAAGCCAGCGCCGTCTGCATAGCGTTGCGAATCTCTCGTCCATTCCACTTGAGCACGCGGACCTCCTGGCTCGACCAGATAAACTGGCGGGCCGCGGTGGCGACGCGGATCCTGCCGTGGGAATCACGGTTCAGGCGGTCAAAGTTGTGAGTCCAGATGCGCTCGCGGTCTTCGTCGCCGAGGTTCTTATAGTGCAGCGCGACGTGGATGCGGCTGAGGAAAGCAGTGTCGAAAGATCGGACACGGTTGGTGGTGAGGAAGAGCACGCCGCGGTAGTACTCCAGGGCACGGAGGAAGACGGAGACGAGGCCGTTGCGAGAAATGTTCTTTGCGCGGCGGCGCTCGAGATAGACGTCGGCCTCGTCGAGCAAGACAAGAGCTCCATAACGCTGGCCCAGCTCGAGGAAGTAGCTGAGGTTGTTCTCGACACGGAACGCATCGACGCTCAGGTCGCCGCTTGTGAGAGAGATGAGAGGCCGGTTGGTCAGTTCGGCAATGCACTCAGCGGTGCAAGTCTTGCCAACACCAGGCGCACCGTGGAGGAGGAAGATGCGTCCTTCGCCCTTGTTGCGAACGAAGTCATTGCCCCAGGGAGTGATTTGGCCATCGACGCCAGTGGAATATTGGCCAATGAGGGCCTTGACAGTCATCTTGATATCATCGTCCAAGACGAGATACTTGAAAGCCTCTTTGTCGGCTTTGACAGGGCTGAGGTTGGCAACGTGGAGATTTCCCCAACGACGAGTGCCAAGGATGAATCCAGGGATTGTCTTGCTGAGAACATGGAAGAAGATATCGCTGTCAGGCGGGGTATCGCACAGAGGATCAAGATCTTCGAATCCATCGTACGGACCATTGAGCTCCTGAGGTCGATCTTCAGTGCAGACAGCGCAGCCGCATCTTGGCAAATATCGAGGAAGATGGTCTTTGTTGGGTATATTCTGAGTTACACGGCGGCGGGTGGGATGAGGATATCGTCTTCCTTCCCAGTCCGGCGCGGTATCAAAGAACTTGTCGAAGCCAGAGGCATCACAAATAACACGACCATTCATAAAGCCAGTTGGGCCGCCGGGCAGTCTATTGCCGGAACCAGAGTTGACAAGCAAGCCCTCGTATTCCATATATGTAGGACGCTTGAGGAGCTCCCAGTACAGCTTGCCTTCTGCGATGAGTTTTTGACGCATCTCGACGCCACCTTGGGCAGCAAGGTCTTCTTTCCAAAAGGCTGCGGGAACCACTGACAAAGTGCTGATTGCTTGTTCACCTGGCCATGGATTGACAACATAGCTCTCCATAAAGCGGCCAACTTTGGTGCCGTTGGACTCCAGCAGCCAACAGTTTATCCTGTAGCTGTCAGGACTATTTAGGTGACGGCTGCCACCACTGACACTGCTAATGACCAAAGGTGTCCAGATGTCATATTTTTTGGTATAGATGACATTTCCTGGCTTCAAGAGTAGCCAGAAGTACTGGAAAGTTGCCATAGGAGTCTCGAGTTTGTGGAGCTCCTGTTCCTTGGTAATCTCATCTCCAAGACTTTCATCAAGGAATTTGAGAAGAGTGTCGATATGCTTGACTGTGGTCTCAGCATACTCGGCACTATGCGCCTCAGGCTGGTTATCGCGATACTCAAGAAGCTCGCGGCGGTGGTGATACAGCATGCGATAGGGTGCGCTGATAGTAACTGTTTTCCCGTTGAGACTGACGGTCGGGTAGTATCTAACAACAGCTCTTAGAGCATTGATGAGATGCTCCGAGTAGATAACCATGAGAGGAGCATCAGCTACAGGAGATCCAGCCGGATCAACATACTGCTCTTCATCGGTATAATAGCCGTCACTTCGGTAATCGACGTTCTCAAAGGCAGCCGTGAGGGGCCGATCTATCTGAGGGGCCGCCCGACGAGGATGAACTATGCGTCTATGATCATCGGGTCTGCCCTCAATGCAAACAGTGGTGACAATCTCGAAAATAGGCTTCTTGACAAGCTCGCCGTCCTCGTCAGTCTCATCTTGTCTGATTTCGTAGGTGGTCACGTTCTGGAACGGCTTAGAGCTTCGCAAGCCTGCAGGATAAAGTCAGACAATAATAAACCTTTTAGTTGAAGCAAAGGAAGGGAGATCTCGACTTACGCCCAAGGAAACGCCGATTGATACCGACATGATTGAGGGTATACAAAACATCAGGAACATCGCCATCGACGACGAATCTGAGATGTCGCGAGTTGGGTAGCATGCTGCGAGGTCCCAACTCCTCAAAGCCATCGCTACTCAAGCTGTCCTCGCGAGAGATGTTGTAGTCTCGAATGACAGGAACATGACGTCTAGCCATGATGCCGGCGTGGAGCGTAGCTTGAACCAGACCAGAATGAAAGTAATGAAGGATAGAAAAAAGGCAGCAAATAGAGGATATGAAATGTATCAAGTGTGTGCCAGATCAGAGATGAGCCTCATCCTTTGAACAGCGGATGGGGGACATTATAACCTTTCCGTCCTTCACGGAGCACAAGCCGGGCGTAGGACTGTGAATGTGATTTGACTGTTACTCGAAGGCAGCAGCATCCTGATTTCAGCCTAGCCAGCCTAGTGAGCTTATCTGCCTGGCGATCAGCCAACAGGAGGCTCAAGCAAGATGCGCGCAACGGAATCTGGACTAGGTTTATGCATGGCAACAGCCGGATCACTGCAGCTCCTATGGTCTGTTTGCCGACTTAAAGAGGGGCAGCCCAATAGAGGCTGAGGGATGCATCCTTTGCTGGCCCGAAGAATTGCTGTGTTGTCATTCTCATGCGGCTGGCCGCCTGGGGCTGAAATGCTGTCTCACAGGTGTATTGGGCTGTCCCATCCGACCGGTCGCCTCTCTAGATCACAATAGTCACAGGCGATAGACGGCTGTGATTAGCTGTATGACAAGCTTTTGCAGTGGAAGGTAGGAGTTTTATTGGACCCGTGACTATGAGGTTTTGTTATCTCGCGTGACGCTGTACAGTAAGTAAGACGGTGTCTATTTTGCCCGATGTTTCTTGTAACCAAGTACTAATCCAATTCGGATCCTTCGCTTTCGATATTGTGATGCATTATGTGATACAAGTTTGCTCTTTGCGGTGCACTGCCACTTTTGATGAGCTGAGTGTGCCTAAGAGACTACTTAGTGCGCTAATTGATCAGTTGCTGAAAACGATTTCAGCGACGAAAAAGAAGGTGAAGAACTAAGACAACTCACTGGAAATAGATAGTCTCCAGTCACCTTACAAGGCAATAATCATCATGCCTTGTAGTAATTGCTATTGACTGCTGACCGCGTCGTGATGTGCTGGTGTTCCATGAAACGCAAAGTACCTCGTCTCACTGGTTTCCATTTCCATTTCCATTTCCATTTCCGTTTCCATTTCCATTTCGCGCATTTGTGGTCACATTGCTTGCATGGGCCAGCAGAAACTTACAGCAAGTAAGTGTGAGCTTGCATGCTTTGGTCCATCCGTCATCTTGCGCAATACCAAGCTTGATGCTGGTATCTCCTATCTTGTCCCCTTCAATTTTATAGGGCAGGGTCAACGGCGTGCCCGATGATTGTGTTTCTTGTTGAACAAAGACACCAAGCTGGCGAACTAGCTCGAGGAACCCGACCATGGCAGTGTCGAATTTGCGGTGCATAAATGTTAGTCCAAGTGGCATGTCTCCAGAGCTGTATAGTTCTAGGACGTGTTTCTTGGGGGGCGCATTCATCGGCCGTCCACCTAGCCTACTGGATGCCGGGTTGGGCATTTCATATCGTATGATTTTGGAGGTGCTACCCAAAGGTAGTGGATCGTAGCCTTGGAATTTGTATCCAAGTTTGTCCGCAACTGTCACCAGTAGGAGCAGAGCATGGCCCCAAGCAGCATTGACTTCTGGCCAGTCCACAGGCTTGTTTGAGAGCCTGCCAAGGCGCAGGCCGTTGATTGTAGCGAAACTGCCGTCATGGCTGATGCAAAAGGTATCGTTGTAGACATTGGATCGTTGTAGCTTCTCAAGCAGCTGTGAGTCGTTGTTATACTTGGCATTGATGCTGTCTCGCTCGGCCTGGAATTCTGCCATTTTGGTAGCAAAGGAGTTTCTTTCCCTCCAGAATTTTTCTTCCTCCTTATTTAATTGTTGCGACTCCTCCTCCAGTGCCCATATTTCATCGTCCAGAGCATCTTTCTCGGCCTCGAGCTTTTTCAACTCTGCCATAGCGGCGGCCTTATCTTTCTCTGCCTTCTTGAGGGCCTCCTTCCAAGCTTTGACATCCTCCTCACTTGGCTGGTTACTTTGAGTATCTTTCAGATATTGGACATAGGCGTCCCTTTCTTTTGATGCCGAATCGAGCTTCTTTTGCAGGCCTTCGACTAGTAACTCGGTACAGTCCACACATACGGGGTGATCGATATCGGATCTGGCGGATAAAATCTCAAATAGTCGATTAATCTTGTCTAGATCATCTCTCTTATTTGACTGAGGCTCGTCTTCGGGGGCTCCGTTTGTACTGGATCGGGGGACTACAGCTCGTTCTTTTTGCTGTTGCTGAGGAGGCAGCGGATGCCCAACTTGTGACTCGGTAAGATATATGAATGACATTGTAGAATCTCGAGGTTGGCTGCCTCGGTATCTCTTGAAGGTGGGAGGCCCGGCGTTCTGCGATACCTGGTCGTAGAGTGACCTTCGTGACTGCTCTTGGGCCTGGAGAATCGACGGTCGTGGGGCCGAGGCTTTCGTAGCTGGCGACGACGATGCGGCTGCTGTGTCACAGATCGGTAAGTAACGGCGTGCATCTTCTTATATCTTCTGCGACGGCAAATCAAAGACTTACAAAGCAGAAGGTCATAAGCGGCCGGGTTGAGGTCATCAAGAGAGCTGTCCAGCCTCAGCGGCTGGCGGCACTTCTGGCAGTACATCTCGGCGCGTTTGACAGTACGCCGGCTGAAGAACTTTGGTGTATTGATAGCAGGAGTGTCTTGTCATACCCTAGGAGAGACTGGTTGCAAAATGGGATGAAGGAGGGAGTATGGAAGTCGAATTTTAAGTGTCGAGGTTTAAGTCTGCGCTTGCGTACACATGTACCAAGAACCTCGAGTTAAGCACATGAGAGAAGTCCTGTGACGGCATAGAGGCGCTGCAACCCCGCTATAGCTGAAGTTTGATCTGCCCTGTGCCTGGGGACTGTTAGGGGACTCAGCGCACTATTTTAGGCCAACTGGCAGCGGAGATGGAGCTCACAGCCGCTAACAGTTAGCAGGCGCAACCACTTAACGCGCGCTTGCGAATGCTCCGTGCAGCAGCGAAATCGCGACGCGGAGTCTAAGACCCATGCTCGGCCCATCTCGTTGCTCCCCCAACCATCTTTATCCAACCTTGCAGGCCTCGCATTTTCAATGTCCACCTAGGCCACCGGGAGATTGGTCGTTGGCAGCACCCAATGGCGACTCGATCTCAGCATTATTTCTATATCAATTGGAAACACTGATCTTTTACTGTAGACTCTAGCGACAATAGCGTTTAAGCTTTGTTCTTGCTGGCCATGGAACCACCGGCAAAAAGGCGCCGCATGAGCCAGCTGCTGCTGGACAAGGAATATGTCGACGAAGACGACGACGAGCTCGCCTCGCAGCCATTTGAGGTTGAAGCCAAACGAGACCCGGGTTACAAGCTATCTATCGAACGAGCCTACGCAGACCAGCGGTTCCAGGCCACCATGGCACACATCTTCGACAAATATGGCCGCGACTTCGAAGGCATTGGAGACGAGATCGATCTTGTAACGGGCGAGATTGTCGTGAATAATGGGCATGTTCACAATATGCGAGACGAAGGCGATGTTGGAGACGACCTGGGAGAATATCTTGGTGAAGAAGAGGATGATGAAGATGAAGGAATTCTCCTAGAGGATCTATTTGATGACGAGGAAGAATTCGGAGACGAGCATACAACAGAGCAAGAAGGCGATGCAACAGTCTTTGGAAAGCAAATTCAAAACAACAATGGCTTGGATGAGGATGAAGAAGATGAAGATCGCATAATACAGGGCCGTGAAGCGCCTCGCGCCTCGCATTCAACAGCCTTGGTCTTGGGATCATCGTCAGGAAATGCATTGCGCGCTTCTAGAACTCCTTTGCGCGCCTTGTCACACAAGACCCCACAAGGCAATATCTTGGATTTAGAACCCACCGGGCAGTTGCCATTTGGCTCCTCGCCACTCTCTTTCGATCGTTCGCCGTTTGCCATGGAGCAGTGGAACATTTCTGGTCAATATTCTGATCCTTTGTGGAACCAGCCCGATCTGTTTCCTCTCCACCAACCGAAACCCCAGCAGTTGCCGATTAAAGCAAGCCGGTATAATTTCCCTGCGCAGAGCGGCCAAAGCTCGATCTGGGCGCCTCGGTCCAAGTTTCGAGATGAAGAGGATAAGCCGCTTCAATCCGTGTTTGCGGCTACATTTGGGAAACATCTACTCGCTAAGAGGAAGAAAGTCCTTCGTCATCCACTGTTGCTACCGCCCGCCAAGGACGTGGAAGATGATGACAAGAGAGAAGAAGAGGACGAGGAGGAAGATGAGGATGTGATTCTGACAGGGAAAAAGTCCAAGGAGATTGAAGGCTTTGGCGAAGTCGAAGTGAATCTTGCCAAGAGAGGCAAGCGTTTGAACGTCAGTCACCTGTCTTCCGAGACAAGTAAAGAAGTCGAAGAGAAAGGAGTGGAAGGGGGTTCGAGTGATAGCGGCTATAAGTCTACACAAAGTACTCGAAGAGCCAGGAAGAGGAAGCAAAGGCCTGATGAAGACTTGATGAGAAATGACACTCTGGTCCGAGTTGTTGAAACTCCAAGGGAAGCTCCTCATCTGGATGATGTAATACCGTCACAAAGGTCCAAACAGACCCACCAACATTTGTCCACCGCTAAACAGCTCGATGAGGCTGATGGGCGAAGGCGCTCTGGACGCATGAGGAAGCAAGTAGAATTCCTCAACAAAATTTCTTGGGCCGATGTCTTGGCGGAGCAGAGAGCTGAAAAAGAAGTGGCACATTCCCGGAATAGAGATGACGGTCAACTTATTGAAGATGAGAGCGCCTTTGAGAAGCGGCCTGTCTTGGCTGCGCCGGAGGAAGATTATATCCCAGATTCTGCTGCTGAAGATGAAGAAGGGCTTGAAGAAGAGGAAGAAGAAGAAGAAGAAGAAGAAGAGAGGGAAGGGATAGAAGAAAAAGGAGAAGCAAGAGGCCAGACAAACTTCCGTGGTGATTTGCCGACACTACGTGCAATGGAAACCCGCCAGCCAGATGCTCATGACGAATCTCGTGCGTCAATACCAGGAGTATTTCCTCGCAAGAATGCAGATTCCGCGTGCCTTCTTTCGGACGACGAAGCTCCCACGTTGCTGTCAAAATCAAGGAAAACGACTTCGAAGAATACGCTCAAAGATAAGCTCCCACTACGCGAAATCCACAATATCAAGACCCAAACAACTACAAGAGCCGACTTGCTGGCAAGTCGCAAAACTAAAAAATCGGATGATTCTCACAGAGAGAACACGAATACAAGAGACGGCGTTGAAGATACGTCCCCGATAGTTAATAAGAGTGGTATGAGTTCGAGCAGACACCTTGATATTCCATCTGAAGACTCAAGTGGCGTGGCGCCATTGTCTTCTTCCCCTACTCGTTTTCTCTCTCGAATTACTCTTGAAGTGTCTCTCGATGACAAGCCTCAAACTTCACACACCTCGGCACAGAAGTCTAGGTATCGGCGATCTGCAGAGATTCGCTCTTCAAGCCCATGTGCTCGTATGAATGAAGATACACTGAAAGCTACGACCTCCACGCAGAAGAGACGCCCATTGACGAAGCTTGCAACAACTCCCATCGTTATTGAGGACAGTTCCTACGAGACGTCGGATGAGATTTACCCGGTTGAATCTTCTCCAATCACTAGAGCCTCTATACCTATTGAACCAGCCCTTCTCTCTCCTAGACGTGCCACGCCCCCCCCTGAAGTGGTGACACGAGCTTTCATACAATCTCCTTCGAAACCTTCTTCGATGTTGCCTCCTAGTTCTCCAACCAAGAGCCCGTCGAAGCGTACCTCGTCTACGCACTCAGGGCCCTCCTCTGCTAGCAAAGCCAAGACATCTGGCCCCGTCACATCTTTACCATCCTTGAGCAACCCTCCCCAAACACCTCGTCACTCGAATCGCCATTCTTTGAAGGTTCCATCTTCTCGACACTCCATCTTGTCTTTGCTATCTGATGACGAAGATGAGGAGGTTGATGAGCTGGGCCGCAACCTGGCTGCCATGCCCAAGCTGCTTAGCTCTGCAGCGCAGCCAACAGCGCGGAAAGTATGGAAATCTAGCTCTCGCACCAGAGAGGTGTATCATACCCCAGTCAAGAAGCGACCAACTGAGCCTATTAGCCCTGGTAGCATTATCAAGACGCCTGGTGGCTCATTGAGGGCATGTGGAGTGGATGGATATAGATGTGGCCGAGATTTTTGTTTTACGTGTTTATAGGACCGTGGCTAGCCTTTATCGTTTTTATGAGAATAGGCGTTTTCAGAGAGAAAGAGAGAGAGAAAAGGAGAATTGACTGGTGGCGTTTAACGGCATAGCTAGTGGACTGGGCAAATGGAGTAACATATCTGGAGATCTTTTTTTACTTCTTTGGGAGAAAAGGGAGGACAAAAGGGTAGTGTGGAATGACGATGTATTACACGCTACCTACATATTAGCTAACCGCAAATCAAATTAGTTGTTCCAAAACATCGAAAAGGGGAAGCGAGAAACTATGGGTGAAAAGTCCTTCCCTCCCTCCATCCCTTTCCTGCCTTCGCACCCGAGCTTTGCAAATGCCCAAATTTCCTGAAACGCCGTAGACCGACTTTGCTGCTCCGAGATAGCTGAACTTGTGACCGATTGAGTGCAAAGTTCGCTACCTCTAGGGTTTTTTTCTTCTCTTCACAAACTGGTGAAAAGGATGATGGAGAGAGGGAAAGGGGGAAAGGAAAGGAGAGAGTTAGGGAATAGAGAAATTCTGTTCGCTGTAGTGTTTTCCTAACCGCTTGCTTTCTTTCTCATATCCAGCCACCGAAAAATATTGTTGTTTCCTATCATAATTCCTGCACCGCTTTGAACAGCCGCAGAAGTTTTACCGTTCATCATAAAAAAAGAAGTGTTATGCCCCTAATTTTTTTTCTTTTAATTTCCCATGACTCATCCCCTTGAATATTTATTAGGCAGCCCAGCCTAGCCGAAAGAGTTGGAGTATCATCTTTTGAAGAGATGAATGATTCAAGCGCTGGTGACGGGGATAAAAAAAAGAAGAGGCTAGAGAGATTGCGATACTTGAAAAGATCGTCGAGAGAATAAAGCACCGTAGCCATTTCAGGACTTGTACGGTCCTCCATTAGCGCCGATCAAGTTCTGCTTGAAAACCTCAGGGTCTCGAACAGGGTTGAAATAGGCGTGGGCTTGAGCTTCCTTTGCAGTCAGACGCTCCTATATTGATTTCATCTGGCGTTAGAACTGTGGGATAAAAAGAAAAAGGCAAGGGATGAGGAACGAACCTGGTGGTCGTAACGCAGTAGTTTATCGAGGAAATCAATGGCTTCGTTAGAGACAAAACGCTGATTTTCCGATGTGACGAAGCTGTGCCACGGTTTCTTCTGGAATCGTCCCAGAATATCATCATACTGAGCGTCCAACTCAATCTCGTACTTGTCAAGATAGTCAAATAGGTCGTCTGTGCCAAGGACCTTGGCGATCTTAACAAGCTGGTCGGAGTTGCTGTTTCCATGGAAAAAAGGCTCCTTGCGGAAGATCATGGATGCAAACATGGCGCCGAGACTCCACATATCGAGACTATAGTCGTACTCCTGGAAATCAACCAGCAGTTCGGGGCCCTTGAAATAACGAGAGGCCACACGAACGTTGTATTCCGTTCCAGGATGGTAGAACTCAGCCAGACCCCAGTCGATAAGACGCAGCTGTACCCCGCAAATTAGTACACCAGAGCAAGCACGACATGCCTTGGTTTTTCAGTTTGGGATGTACCTTTCTGTTCTCATGATCGATCATAACGTTATGAGGCTTCACGTCTCTGTGCATAATTCCCTTGCTGTGGCAAAAGTCGAGAGCCTTTAACAGCTCGAGAATGTAGAATCGCACGTCAAGGTCGTTGAACTTGGGATAGAGGCTTCGGAAGTCGGTATTGTTGACATACTCGAAAATCAAAGACGGAGTCTTACTCTGTGATTTCGCCAGGGGAGTTTCCCCCCTGCTGTTAGCTTGCCGCAACTTCCACAGCCTTGCCAACTATGCCCATCATCTGCTCACCTGTGAGTCTCGCACGACATCAAGCAGTGCAACAACGTTGGGCCCGCCCGCCAGGTTCTGCAGGATCTTGATCTCTCGCTTGATCTTCTTCTTCTTCACCGGCTTGAGAACCTTGACGACGCACTTCTGGTAGTTGACGACGTTGATGCCTTCGAACACCTCGGAGTACTTTCCTCGCCCTGTGCATCTTCCGATTAGCTACGCGTACAGCACGGCCACGCGACGCGCCCGAGCGGACGGATTCAGGGGAGACACATACCGATCTTGCGGACGACTTCGTAGTTCTCGAGAACACCCCAGCCTGCTCAGCATGTTAGCGCCGGTCTCTTGCAACCCAGCTCGCGTGGCCATGGGGACGGGATCTCCGCACTGATATTGACGCTGTCGTAGTCCCAGTAGCTGCGGGGCATGTTCTGGTTGACGTCGGCGTAGACGCGCGCCATCTTGGCTGAAGGAGTCGCAGGCACGCGACGCACTGAGGATAAAAAAAAGTATGTTGTTGCGCTGGACGATGGCCGCGCGGGAGGTGATTCAGGCGAGGATCGCTCTTCTGGCGTTGCAGATGAGAATCCAAAGGTGGGATGGGATGTGCCGCCAGAAGAGCCCCACATTGGCGCTAGTCAGGGCCTGCTATTGGCTGCAGCGCTTATCGCTTAGCTGATTTCGGTGCCAGCGGACAGAGATTTGAGCTGAGTCAGGATGCCCGGCGGCCTTGGGTAGCACGGATACATGTGAATCGGGCGTTGCAGGGCCTGGGCAAGTTGTAGATTGAGCTTCAGCTGCTGTTGGGTGTATGCATGCGCTGTTTCAGTCGCTGAGGCTGAAGCTGGAGCTGTCTGGTGGCTTTGGCTATAGCTGTTGATGGACCCATGCTTGGCAGTTATACTGAAAGACTAACTGCGTGATAATTACAGCACCGAGAGTTACTACGACATCAGAAAGCACATGTAATTGATCAAGCCAAGTCATCTCTTGCGCAATTGTCAGGCCATTTTATTGATAATCTGCTTTGGCTGAGACAAGACATATGATGAATATTAGTATTACATTGCGTTCTGTTCCCACCGGCCAGCCACCTCGTCATATCTTGTCAGCCGCATTCCCTAAGTATAGACTTGACTCGCCATGTTAGCCGGAATTCTCAAGTCAAAATCAACAATACAAACAACTAGCTGGTAACAAATGTGTAGCCTCAGAGAGAAGATTATATGATGTCTCGTCACGCCGCTTTTGCCAGCCCTCCCCAGTTTTGGTCGTTGGTTCGTCAGGCTTGCATGCGCGATCTGACTAAGGATGACGATACAAAGGTTTTCATCATAATGCATTACAAAGTTTCTGGAATAATAAAAGATAAAGATAAAAAGATTAGATGATGCTTACCGCCGATTTTCCATCATCATGTGCTGGCAGCCGAAATTTTGCAAATTTGCCCGAAAATGTCAAGATGGCACATACGCCCATCTGCTCGCTATCATATATCATGAGTTCTGTTTTAATCGTAGTCGAGGGAATCGAGCCCAGCTTCAACAACGTCCCAGGTTCGCTTCCGTAAATCTGGTTTAGGCTCTTGCTTTACCGCCTTGGACTTCTTTTTCTTTTTCTTCTTGCTTCGAGAACTCGTGGAGGTACCCGGGTCATGGGGAGATGCGGTATGTGTTTCATTTGCAGAGGCATCTCGTGGCGTGCCTGATTTGGCCTGAGCCTGTTTTTCTCGCTGTCGTTTGAGCTCCCTCAGCTCCGAGTGCCTGAAGATTTCGATCTGCGCATCTGTGAGAGTTCGTTTTACACCATCTTCATAGTAGCCGAGACCGTCATCCTCTTCATCCTCCTCCCCCCATTCCCCGTAGAGCTGATCGTGGGAGACTTGTTGTGGTGGAAGACTTGTGAAGCTTTGTCCAAAATCAGCGGCAGCTTCGTTTGAAAAGTGACTTTGGTGGAATTCCAATAATTCGTCACTAGTTATCTGTGGAACTTTGAATGAGAGCTCGTTGGTTTGCATCCTGGCAAGCATCCGTACCTAGGCTGAGGAAAGATTAGGCCAACGCTGCTGAGAATGGCGGGACTGAGCGCGACCATGGACGACATCCATGGTCACGTGCCCCAGTTTGCTGCCTGACGCGATAACAAAGAGGCAGCGAATATTGATGCGTTCAAATGATATTTGCGCCGTGCATGCATACCAAAACCGAAGGGGGGGAACGAGGAACAGGTTAGAGCATGAGAGGCTATTTTCTTATCAGGCTGATGTGAGGCAAGGGGCGTTCCAGCCAGCTCAGTCTATGTAGACCGAAGCAGCGCCAACGCACTCTCAAACGCACGCACGACTTCCTCGTCTGGCCATATCGTTAGTTCTAGAATCACACGACAAGTTAATAACTGTGCGTGGGTGCTTACAATGCTGCTGCTTTTGAGCCATCTTTTCTTCAGAAATATTCACAAAGCGTTGTCGCGTCTGCAAACGCTTCACTGCTCGCTCGTCGTCATGAGCTGAGGCAGCCGAAGACCATACCTGGAAATACTGCACAAAGAGTTGGCTTGTTTTAGTATGACAGGAGATAGATGACAAAGGCAAGAGGTAGCGTGTCTCACCTTGGCAAGGCTTTCAGCTTCTTTGAGGATTTCTCGCTCTTGTTCATCCGCGTCCATCAAAGCCTTTTCGTACCGCGCCTCAAAGTCGTCCCAATCAAACGGACCCAGAACGGCGGGGGGGTTTGGCGTCAGCCTGCCGTTCTGCGAGTCGGCTGATAGATCGGGTGTCTTTGCGTGTGAAAAGCGTGGCCGCTCGAAATCCAACACGGCCGTCTCATCCTTGGCGTTGAGGTCCTCTTTCGTCCCGTAGACGGGGAGGCGGCCCGCGCCATTGGGCGATTTCGGTGAAGCCATGATGGAACTGATGATGCTTGGGCTGCAGTGGAGCTGAGATGATGACCCTTGGCGTGGACAAGAAGGGGCCAGAAAAAGGGATCAGATTGCGCCTCGGTATTGGCTGCTGGGTTTGTTGGAAGGGAGAATGAATCGCTGCGGAGCGTCGACTAGGACTAGCACGGCTCTGTGCAGCGTGTTCTTGAGGCTGTCGTAGTGCAATGGAAAGCGCGCGTGTGGCTGTACAAGTGAAATTCTATCAAAGCCGCCAGTAAAGACGAGGAACCAAAGGATGGACAGGACCGGAACAAGCTTCCAGTGAATGGGCCGCGCTAGCTGCCGTGATGGACGTCAGCGTCACTGTCGCTGTGATTTGAGAGGAGAGAATGCGGCACCGTAAGGGAGATCGACGACAACCTCGCCGGATTTCCAGACGCAGCGCCTCTGCTGCCGCTGGCCACAGTGGAGCCCTACAGGCCGCTGCCTAGCGCTTGCGGCCAACTAGAGCCGCGCAGCACAGCAGCCTCCGCCCTGGGCTTGGGGGGTGGCCAGGCCCGGCAGTGGCGTCTGGACAGCTCAGCTGCCGGCCATGTCGTTATCGCACCCCGTGATCTCATTCATGCCCTTTAATCCTCAACCTCTGCTCTATTCAAAGGCTCAAGCATCAAGTCGCTTGCTTCAAAGAGCCTCCACTCGCGTCCAAAGGCCCGAGATTCACACGTCTTTGTCCAAAGTATATGCAGACTGGGCCAAAGTATAAATCTCTCGACTCGGCCCTTTCTGCGCTCTTCTTCCGTCATCGGTCATTACCTCCAGATAGTCCACAGTTGCCTGCACCATCCCGCCATATATAATCCCAACCATCACTCATCTTGCCATCTCATCCTCGGCAGCTGCAGCCACCAGGTACTACGATATGGAGTGCGACATCTGCCACCACCCGCATGACGCCCAGCGCCGGCCGTTCCTCTGCGCCGTGGATGCCCGTAACAGGATCTACGAGGGCCGCATGAAGCATCTGCAGCTGGTGCTCGAGAATGAGTCGCTCAAGGCCCAGATCGACGAGCTCCTGGACGATGCAGCCAAACCAAACAAGCATACCTTGGACGAAATCATTGCGCACCGAGATGCGGCTGAGCAAAAGACGGACCAGATTCTCGCCGCCGCGGATAGGCTTCGCGACGACATCAAAGCGGCCAGGGATGAGATTCAGGCTAGAAAGGCGGCCATCGCTCGACGGAGATCCGACCTGGCCTCCGTCTCTGCCGGCATAGTGGAGCGCAGAGCCAAGCAGCTCAGGGAGGTAGAGAAGTCGATTAACATGCTCAAATTCCGATGGTCGCAAAGTGCTGAGGATATGGCCTCTACTCGTGGCTTTTTGTGCAACGAAGCTGTTCGGCTCTACGGTCTCAAGAGAGTCACGAAGAAAGGCGGCACGGGGCGCTACGAATATCATCTCGGCAAGATTCCCATTGTAGATCTAACCAGCATGGACTGTGAGTAACCCAAAATTTCCCTCCTTTCCTTCTTTTCCCAATATTCCCCCGGTCCTTCATGTCATCCATCTTTCTTCTCTGTTCTTGTCCACTACAGTATATATGGAATATATCTCTTTGGTCCCCCTTCATCCCTAACGAGGGAGACGAGGGAAAGAGGTATGAAAAAGATAAAAGATGTGTGGTTTATATCTCTTTGATCCCTCTCCATCTCTAAAGAGAGAGTCGAGGGAAAGAGGTATGAAAAAGACAAATATATGGTATATATCTCTTTGATCCCTCTCCATCTCTCAAGAGAGAGTCGAGGGAAAGAGATATGAAAAGACAAAAGGGAGACATGTACAATAAGAAGAGAAGAGAAAATTGGAAGAAGAAGAGAAAAAAAGACAACAGAAGATAGACATGAATTGGAAAAGAGTTGCAGGACGCAACACAGGACAGAGAGAGAATAAAAGAGAGAACCAACATGAAGCAACAGAGGAAGAGAAAAACAGGAGAGAAATGAGGAAGAGAGAGAAAAAAGACAGGAGAAAAGAAACGGCGGCGAGAACAGAAGAAGAAAGAAATGACAGGAACCGAAATCCTCCGCTCGAGATATATGCTGACTTTTTCTAGCTCTTTCGCCCGAGGCTATCTCAACCTCTCTCGCTCACATAGCCCATGTCGTCATGCTGGTTTCCCACTACCTTTCCATCCGCCTTCCTGCCGAGATCGTCCTCCCTCACCGCGATTACCCGCGACCAACCATGTTCACCGTTCCAAATTCCTACCGCCATGGCGACGTTTCATTCCCCGGCGCTCTCCTTGCTCCGACTCCGTTGTCTGAGCCCCCATTTGCCAATTCCCACGTCCCTCGACCTCGCCCTCTGTTCGTGGATAAACCTCTCCCACAGCTCTCCAAAGAGGACCCTGCTGCCTACTCGTTGTTCCTCGAAGGCACCACGTTGCTTGCCTATGATGTTGCTTGGCTCTGCTGTTCGCAGGGTGTATCCGTGGGAGACAAGACTTCGTTTGAGGACATTTGCAACATGGGCCGGAACTTGTATAATCTATTGATGAATAATCAGATCCAGAGCGGTGCCATCAATTTTTTGATGGGCGCCCCGGCAGTAGATGCCAACATTGGAGGCCAGAATGCCGATTCGAAGCAGAGCTGGATCGGCCGCTATGCTCACGGCACGACTTATTACAGCCTTTCCGGCGACGAAGGAACCGAACTGACAAAGTCCTTCCGGCTGCCTAGCCCACTGAAGCTTGCTGATAAGCTGAAGAAGAAGCTTCTTGGAGACGCGCCCGCCCCTGACTGGGAGGTCCTTGGCGATGATGAATGGAAGGACGCGAATATGCCGGGCAACGGAGTTTTTGATCCAAAGGCTGTAGGCAGCAAGAATGGCGGTACTCCCGACGCGAGAGACTCGCCCCGGACCAGTAGTTCGAATGGATGGATGAAGGTCAAGAGCAGATACTAGTAGACGATAGATTGCCTATAGACCAACATATGAATGAGTTTTCCATCCCAAAGTCCCTTGTTCTGGGCGTCATTTTATGACGTCTTTGCCGCACCTTTTTTGTGCGGCGTTTTTTTTTTTTTTTTGTTGTTGTTTGCTTGTTGTGATTGTGATTTCTTTGTGATATTTGTGGTTTGCGGTTTGTGGTTTGTGGTTTATCTTCTCGGGTGCATGTGAGTGGTAGAAAGTGGTTTCATGCACCCAAGTCCGATCGAGGACCATGTTTGTGTCTTCAGTGTTCGGAGCTGAGAAGAGGATGTGGTTGATATGGGCCGTATTTTTGTTTCTGGCTTCGTATCTCTTCCTCTTCTCAGATGAGCAAGCTTGTTATAGTTTGATTCAAAGCTCGTCATGTTTTGTTTGTTTGTCCATGGGTTCGTCATGGCCTGCTCCCAATTCGAGAGATTCTTTTACCTCCCGTTTGGGGCCAGTCCAAAGTGAATATGTTCCAACCCACAGTGGAGGGCAGCCAGACTCTTTTTGTTGATTTCTCCCATGCTTCCTCTTGGATGATTAGACTCGATTATGAATAGGGGCCGCCAACGAACCTGCTCCCAATTCGTGAGATTCTTTGTCCTCACGTTTGGGGCCAGTCCTTTCGGAGGGCGGGCCGTGGCATTTTGTTGGCCCCATGTTGTGTTTGTGGTTTTTGGTTTTCTTTCCGTTCCGTAGAGATGGTTTGAAGTAATTGGTTTTTTTGTCGAGAAATCATCCAAGAAGGCAGCCTTGGCTTGTTACCAATTCGAGAGATTTGTTTTTTTTTTTATTCTCCCGTTTGGTGCCGGTCCTTGCGGAGGGCAGCCAAGGCTGAGTTTTGTCCAAGTCGTAAAGGCGTGAATACTGTTTTTGATCAGCCTAGACATTGGGTTCCAGCGTTGTGAGTTTGTTTTTGGCTGGAGGTGGTGGTGGACATCGAACCGTCATCATGAGCTTTGAGTGGTAAGTTCGAATGCTGTTCAACTCCATGGGAGACGACATGGACTTTGTGGATTGAAGTTGGATCATGTTTGAAGCCGTCTCCCAGGAGGATCAGTTGTTGGATGAGATTGATGTCCACCACCGTGTGGTCTTGAAAGGCGATGAGTAGTTTGAGTGTGTATCGCTTTCGTGAGAACCGATGAGAGTTCATGGTTTGGAGTCATGAAGCTCAGAGATTTCTGCTGGGCAAAATGGTTCGAGAATGAAATGGTAAGATGGTTTTTGTGCGCAGCGATGCGAAGTTTTCTTTGATCGTATCGCTGCGCAGTGCCCGTGATAGCAGGAAATCTCCGATGAGTGCCGAGAGAATAGAAGACGATGTTTGTTTGTAATGAGTAGACATTTTTGCGTCTTGTTCTCTGGCGTTTCCGATTTTTGATGTGTTTGTGCCAAGAAATGAGGAGAAAGTAGTGATGTATTTAGCATCTCTCATTTCTGGCAAGTCCCCGTTGATTGTGTGTCGTCGTGAGTAGATGATTTGATCGACACACAATTGAGAACTATCGCGTAGCCATGATGACTTGTGGTTTGATGTCAGGTTCCCAGAGTAGAAGCTTGTGCTGACAAGCGATGGCGCGATAGTTCTCGATGATTAAGGAGACCAGGCGAAAGTTGATTGGTGATATCTCGTTTGGCTTTCTGATCTCCCCAAAAGTTCCCCGTTGATGTTTTTGTGTTTGAAGGAGGATCCAATATGAAGCTGTTTGTGATCCTCCCAAAGTTCCCCAGTGGTTTGTATATCAAGGAATAGAATGTCTTTCGATCATGTTGAATCCCAAGATAAAAGTGTGTAGAGTGTGTTCCCAATATTGAATGTCGATGAAAGCGGTATTCGACAAAAAAAATATGTGAACTTTTCCCAATTTGATGTGTTAAAGTCGAGTTGGTGAGTGGTGTTTCAACAATTGTGTTGACTTTTGACAAAAAGACGGGAATCTTGCGACGAAAAAAACTTCGATGAATGCAGAAGTCTGAAAGCGGCCAATTTGTTTCTGAAAAGAAAAAAATTGTGTTCCCTGCCGGTATCAGATGCAAGATTCCCGTCTTGCGAGAGCAAAAAATAACCATATCGCAGCTGTGTAGATTGTGGATGGTTGTTCGCTGGAATATGGCCTGGTCTGTCCTGGTCTGTCCTGGTCCGTCCTGGTCTGGTCTGGTCTGGTCTGGTCTGGTTGTTTGGCTTGAGGCAGTGGTTGGTTTGGAGTGGTAGTTTGCTCGGGCCACTGGGTTTGTAAAAAGTGGTTGTGAATTTGTACCAGTGGCGCGAATATAGATTTGCCTGAACCAAAAGCCTTGTTTGAGGTGGTTAGCATGCTCGGGCCAGTGGGTTTGAATGAAGTGGTAGTGGATTTGTACCACTGGCGCGAATATAAATATGCTTGAACCAAAGTTTTGTTTGAAGTAGTGGTTTTCTCGGGCCAGTGGGTTTGTATGAAAGTGGTAGTTGAGTTGTACCACTGGCGCGAATAAAGATTTGTTTGAACCAGAATCGTGTTTGAAGTGACAAGGCTGAGGTTGTTGTGACCAAACCAAAATAGACCAGGATAGACCGAAATAGACCGAAATTTTGCTCTCAGTGTGCCGCTGCCGTGTTGTTTGAATAGAGCAGTGTAAAGCTGAAGTGGCAGCGACACAGTTGCGAACAGGAAAGCAAAGAGCGAGTATGAAGTTGTAATGCTCGAGTAGTGGAAGAAATAGCCGGTGCTGTAGCTGTGGCTGTAGCTGATGCTAGTTGCTGCTTTGCTTTCCCGATCGCGGTGCTGACTGAATGTGATTGTGTCAAACGCCCGTCGTGAGAAGTCTCTTGGTAGGCGACGGCGTTCGACATCATTGCGAGCGGAACAGTAGGCGAATGAAGTAGTTCAAAAACTTGCGCTGCCGTTCCGATGCGTCGCAATGATTTTCCCCAAAGTTTCGTGTCTTTGATGTCGAGTTGTGTAGATGAATTCGACATTTTCAGACACTGGAAAAGTGACAACCACGGATGATGATGCTTGTTGAAGTAGAATGAAGGTTCATCTGTTCATCTGTGCGTTTTGTCTCCTTCCCATGTGAGCCTCTCTTTCTGTATGGTCGACTGAGCAAAGCAAAGAAGAAGAAGATGCTGATGCTGAAAGTTGCTCGTCGATAAAACGTAGAAATAAAGTCCAAACAGAAGCGAGTGAGAATAAATCTCAAGAGGCTCTGGTTACCATCAATGTGCCAGTGTTGACACGGGGAGCAAGGCCGATTCAGCGACATAGACAAGCAAAAGAGAGTGCTGTACAATGATGTGTGTGTGTGTGTTCGGCTGAATGGCATGTCCCAAAAAAAAAAAAATTGCAATAAAGCTCTCTTCGGTGGTTGTGTCAAAGCATATCCTCACAATATGCATATGACAAGGGCATAAGGAAGCAAATCGGTCGGCGTAAACTGAATGAATGACGTTCGCGCGTTCCAAGTCTCTGACAGAAGACAAAATTTGCTGGGTGCCCAAAAAACAAAACCATCGAAATAAAATCCCAAAGGAGAGCCAAGCTCAGCTGCTTTTCCAGTCGGTATCCAAAATGTAGGTATGTGGTTGATCGTCTCGGCGGGTATCAAAAAAAGAAGAAGTTTGACACGAATGCGCTCAGCTCCAAGATAGAAGAAATGAAGTGATTCGACATGCGCAAGCCCAAGATATCTCAAAACCGTAACTCCGAGAAAAAGAAGAAAACCCAAGAGTCCAAATGGAAAAACCGAAAAAAAAAAAAAAAGTCGAAAAGCAGTCGGGGAGCTCGAATATTGCTGACCATCATGTCCATTATGGAACATTAAAAATTAAACATTAAAAATTAAACATTAAAAAATTAATGATTAAGAAACAAGTAAAGAAGAAGAAGAAAAGAATGAGCAATTTGTGCATCATCTTTCGTCTGCATTGCCCTCATGCAGAACATCTCTCTGAGCCTCACTCGCTCGAATCGCCTTCATAACGGCGGGCGAAGCGAGAATCACCTGTGCCGCTCCTTCGTCTTCGGCATCCACTCCACCATCAGCGTCGCTTCCAGCGCGAGACAAGGCATGGAAGGACTGCGGAGATCGAAGCTGGGCTTCTCTCTCTGCGGCCTCTGGTGAGCGGATGAGGGCCGAAGACTTCTGCGGTAGCTTGGGGTGAAAAATGGAAGCAGGTCGGCGCCTCCTCATGACGTTGCGCAGGTCCCGAGCTAAGCTCTCGTCCTTCTGCTTCTGCAGCTCTTCCGCGTCGGGGGTCTTGACTTGCTGCGGCAACGGGATCATGGGGGCGGGAGTCGCGGGCAGAACTAGATTTCCGCCAGGGAGAAGGAGTCCTCCCATCCGGATGGGCGCGACCTCGACCTCTTTCATTCGGTTCGGCTCAGGAGTGATAATGATCGTCGGGATTGTGACTGGAGTCGGGGGCTCGGTCTCAGGTTGTTGCTCTTCACCAACAACTGCTTCAGAGGCCAGGGTGGCGTCCTCGTTGGGGGACTCGGAACTGCCCGCCTGGGTGTGGTCCTCTGAAGGTGGCTCTTGCGCCTCTGTGACTGAGTCCGGTCCAGTTGTACAATCGGTCGAGGCTGGATTCTCGTTCGAAACGTCGTCAGCGGCGGTTTCGGTCGGAGGGTTGGCCTCGATTGTCTGACGATTGTTGAACAGGTCGTTCAACGATAGATTGGTGGCGGCACCAGCCGAATTGTCCACCATGTCCGAGGGGAATGCCCAGAGGGCAAAGTCCTCGTCTGGTGACGGCGATCGAGAAAACGATCGTGGTGGTGTCGCCGCGAGCATGGCGGCCTCAAGCTCATCAGCGAGGGAAGACCCAGGCGAGAGCACGAGCGAAGTAGGGGAGAGCTCCAACGGGGGGGAATCCTCGCCGGAAAACTCAGCCGCCTCATCACTCGTCGATCTGGCGCGTGTCGGAGTCTGCGGAGGCGTACGCTCCAGCATGAAATCGAACATCTCCTCCAGATCGATTGAGCCCTCCTGCTCAGCCCAATCTTCATCATCTTCACCCATGTAAGGTGTTCGCGGGGGCGAAACGCTCGGGTCGGGTGAGTTTGGAGCGGCATCCGGAACGATGTCGTCGACGGGGGAAATTGGCTCTTCAGGTTCTGCCATCTCGACGACGTGGGAAATTGACCCCTCGAACCCTGTCGCATAGACGACAGTTGGGAATGGCTCTTCGGGTTCCGTCATCTCGATAACAGGGGGGATTGGCCTGTTGAGCTCCGTCGCGTTGTCAGTGGGCTCCTCGGGCTCTGTCATGTTGTTAAAAACGATGACAGGGAAGAGTAGCCTTTGGAGCTCCACCATGTCGACATCTTCCTGGGATCGTTGCTGCTCGTCGATGATGATGATGTCCTCGACCGGAGTAAGAGTATACTGGGCAATAGCCGCAGTGACGTACTCTACGCCGGCGTCGGGCACTTCGCTGCCAACTAGGTCCAAGGAGGCCAATTCTTCGTCCATACCAGACGCCCAAAGGCCGGATGGAACGAAGAAGTCGGAAAAAGGCGACTCCTCGTCGGTGACCGAGTCGTCATCGTCTGAATCAAAATCAGGTGCGCCTCGGTATGATCCCCAACAAGGGACCAGTCCGGCGTCTAACATCTCTTCGTCTTCGTCGATGATGTTGGCGGCGGTGGTGGTGGTATCGGCGACCGCAGGAATGGTTGCTAGCCACGCCTCGTACTCATCGAACCAGGAGTCGGCGGCTGTGGGTTGCGTTCCGTTGGAATCGCCGGAAAGAAGAAGATCGTCCATTTGACGATCGAGTTGGTCGGGATCCATGGTGGCATAATCCACCTCCAGGTATGAGTGGCAGTCAGCAGCTGCCGAGAGCTCAGTCGTAAAGTCGACTCCATCCTACTGGGCCTCGACGACGATCTGAGCGCCCTGAAAAGCAGGCGACACGTCCAACCATCCGCGGGTTTCGTCACAGCTGACAGGCTCTTGACCAGCAAGAGGCCATGCCGCCGCGACTTCCAATGGCAGGATGGTTTCCTGGGAGTTGGAGTTGCTCCAACACAGATCATATGATGGCCTTAGTACCGCCATCCCCTCGAGGGGCTCGGCATCAGCCATCTCAACGTCGGACTCCACCCCATAGGAGGTCTCGTCCATGTTGCCACCGGTGACTGGGAACCCATCGTCAGACGACGGCTCCGGGACAGGCACCATGGTGGACCAACCTTCACCATCCACCTCCATTGAGGTATCAAGTTCCTCGGTCGGGGCTGTGTCGATGTTCAGCAGGCTTTCACCTTCCTCCTCATACGAGGACTCCAGTTCCTGGGCCGCTTCGGGTACCGTGGCTGTCGATGGAGCCTCACCTTCCACCTCAAATGAGATCTCGGGGTCGTTGGCTGGGTCGACCTTGTACAGCAGGCCTTCACCATCCTCTTCTGACGAAGACTCAGGTTCCTCGGCCGGGCCTTCACCCTCCTCCTCAAATGAGGACTTGGGTTCCTCGGCGGAGCTTTCACCTTCCTGCTCTTGCGAGCTTTCCAGTTCCTCAGCTCGGCTGTCTTCGTCACCCTCCGGCAAGCCATTGCCTTCCACCCCAGATGAGGTCTCGGGCTCTGGTGCCTTCGGGCCAGGTCCGACCAGACCTTCACCTCTGGACTGTGTCCTGTCCGCGGGTTCCTCGGTCTCTGTTTGTCCGTTGGCAATCGTGACATCGTCGGTGACGTTCTCAGACTCGGGATCAGTGGGCCAAGCAGAAGACTGGGTCTCTCTTGGCTGAGGCACTGATGGAGCAGCCGGGGCGTGCTCTTCGATGTCGGATGTTGTCGGCTTCAGATCGATAATTGGTTGCTCAACGGTGGTTCCTCCATTCTTCCTTGCTGCCAAGACTTGTCTGGCGCGCTCCATAATACCCTTCTTGAACTCCTTTTGGGCTCGCAACTGGTCTTCTGTGAAGGACGGCCCCCAATCGGCGCGACGCGGACGCTTACCATAAATAAGATCCGGTCGAGGTCGGTCGGAGTCGAGGACGAACAGATACAAGTGCGAGGAGGTATGTTGCCAAACGAGTTCTTTTCCGGGCTTGGAGGCTGCCACTTGCAGGGCCATGAACTGATCGCCGATGGATCCAGGCGTCATGGGGCTGTAGCATTTGTCGAGGTAATCCGTGTCGAGTTCGAACTCCATGGCGTCATGGATTCGGCGGACTATTTCGTTGCCGGCAAGACAAAGAACTCCCTTCAGGCCGAACCAGATTGTCGTGACAATGATTGGAACGCCCATCCAGAACCACGCGAGAAATATGAGGTCAATCGCGAGATCGACTTCATGACGTAGGTCAGCCGTCGCGGCGGCCCAGGGCTTCCAGTACCGAAGTAGGGAGAGCCAAGACACCACGGCGACGACAAAGTTCTTGTTCGGGGCGAATGCTGCGACAAAGAAGAGGTAGGAGGAAACAAATGGCCAGAGGGCGATGGCCATTTTGGTGCAGAAAAGCACAAAAGAGAGGAGAACCCAGAGGAATCGCCAAAGAAAGGCGAGTTCGCTAAGGATCCCCGTGGGAAGGGGAAAGAAGAGGGGAATGGAGTTGTACTCCATATCGGAAATGGTATTGAAGACCATTTTGTCTGTCAGTGGTGAGGTTGTTCTTTCGTTTGTGTGCTTGTTTCTTGTGATGGTGATGGTAACTGGAGAAGGAAAGGGGAGAAAAAGAGGAAAAAAGCGCGGGGGCCTGGGGGATATTTGTTTATTTTTTTTGCAGCATTCGCAGGCCCATGGCTTTGAGCAAGTTTTGGCCAATCGAGAGCGTTGTTTTTCACTTTATCGTCAGTTATTGTGGGCGTGACTGTTCGCCAGCTGCCAGGTCGTGACAGATGAAGCAGCTATGGCTCTCACTTTTTCCTCACTACGATGCTCATTGGCAGATCGAAACACTGGTATCCAGTTGGCAACATCGGATGAAAATTAATCGACGGCCAGGCAACGGCAATTAGTATGCGGGGGTCGATGGTGATGAATATCTGAATGGTGATGGCAAATCTCGGCCACTTACACGCTTGGTGTTTTCACGTTCTGCAGCAGTTGTCAGCGCAACAAGTCCACCACAACTAGCAAAAGAAAGTTACAAATGAGCTAAAAGACAATTACTCACCTACGGCATCTCTAAATCTATGATAATTTATGCAAATATTGCTCCATAGGGGGCAAATATCTATTCAGTGTGCGTAGTTCCCCTGCTGCGCCATCAACATCTTTGCCATGTCGTTGAATCAAGCTTGCCTCTGTGCCGCTGTGTCCCCCCACCCTCCTAATCAGCTGCTGTCGCTCAAGTACAAGAGCCCGCTATTGGTCACGCACTAACTGACCTGGACGTGGGGTGCTGGAGAGGGGGCGGTTCTTTCCGCTGCTAGATTCTCCGCCATTTGGCTGAGCTCCTCCTGACAGCGCAAGCCACGATCAAAAGTAAACAGCTGAAGACGGCTGTCTGAGATCCCATCGTCCTCCTTATAAACTCGGCCCAAGGCTCGCCCTCCAGTCACCTGCAGCTCGTCGTCCATTCACCACCGCCACCTACTATGGAGGAATCAGGCGCTGACGCGGCTGCCCGTCCGCTGCGCATCCTCGCTGTCGCGTCTTTCGTCCCGTCCTTCGCGCTGTGCATTGCCCACGGCGTCCTGTCGCATAAACCTGTTCCCGCCGTTGGACTGATCCCGCAGGCCTTTTCCGTTGCTACGTCGATCGCGCTGCTACGTGCTGCTGGCAGCCACCGCCAGGATGCCGACGCCGAGTCTATTGGATCTGCGCAGCACGGCGGCTTCTCCATCCGCGCCTTCTTGACGCATCCCATCGTGGTGTTTGTCCACGACATGATTCTTGCTGCGGCGTTGATGATCGTCCTCGTCTTCACATGGACCCACCACGGCCGCTCAGCTTCGCTTAGTATGCTAGCTGCCTATGCGACTCTGCCTATCCTGACAAGCTTGTGAGTCTCCCCCATGCTGTCGATGAGGAGTTGGTACTGACGTGCGTCGTGCAGCTTCTGCCACCTCCTTGCTGCGACTCTGGCCGTCTACCAGGGGCTCGCTATTCACGGCTACTTACAGTGGGTTGCCTGGCAAATTCTTCCTGCAGACTGTCCAAACTGCGAACACCACCTACGGCCTTCTTCGCTGCCCGAGATTCCCTGGCTGCAGAGCGTCAAAAGTTTGAATTTGGGTCTAAAATATCCGTGGCACCGCAGTGATGCTCCCTTGCTAGCTCCCTCTGGCTTCCTGGACGACGATGATCCTGAGCGCTACCGCGATGATCCTGAAGACGATGGATCTACCCCACAGCCCGTGGCCGTTGAGGTGCGATCGAAGCGGAACCGTAAGAACAACACCGCTCCTTTACCATCCTCGGAAGCCGACTTGCTTGGCGACTCGTCCACGAGAGATGACTAACTGGACAAAGGTCAACTGTTTTAATGCTAAGAAAAAGTCGGGTTTATCATAAATCCTACAACTGGAGATCCTGGGGCCGACCCTTTATTATGCTTCTACTTGCGTGTTTCTTCACAGGTTTTATTTCGTTTGAATGGGGTTCTTTTTGAAGTGTGATTGTTGTTATTAAAGCTAGATTAGCCACTGTCATTATATTATAGACCATGGTCGTTCTGAATACTATATGATATCCACCCCTCTCTTGGAGGGCGGCGTTAAACCTCAGTCTCAATTCCGGCATCTTTGCTGCGGTGATCAAGCAGATTCGTGACGCTGCTTTCTGCCTTGTCCAGCTTGTGTTTCACCCATTTAGCTGTCCGAGGTGCCTGCAGTCGCGGTTAGCTTAATGTCGTACAACTCTCCTCTTGTAGCCTGGGCATTCTTACCTTCCATTGCATAAGCCCACGATGCTGTCTGTGTAAGGCTTTATTTCTCCGTTTATAATCTCGTATCTGGTCTAGCGGGCCTTGTTTATGTTCTGCGCTGCCATCTGGTATGTACTCGTGCTCGTCAGAGCTGTCGCTGTCACTCGAAATTTCTTCGTCCACAATTCCTGCTTCTCTTTCTAGCTCGTCATCCCTCAGGTTATCTCTTGCGGCGTCGATTACTTCAACAACATCCCGCATATGGTCATTATTATTAGCCCATTCTGAATGTGCAGAGCCCTATAGTAAGAGAGAAGAAAAATTAGCCTTTTTTTTTTCGTAGTGCTGTAGGGTACGCCAAAAGGGCCAAACTTACCATCCCTGGCCAATATGTGACTTTTAGCTTGAGAGTGCCGATTCGCTCCCCACATTGTTCCAAGCAATTCGCTGTAGCTCTCTTCATGTCGCCTTTCCAGATTGGCAGCTCGAGCGTCATCTCTTCCTCGTCCGGGATATCTTTCAGCCAGCATACGCTGAACGCGGTAACCTTATCTCCAAGGACCTTTTTCTTATCTTTGAAGGCAATAGAAAAGCAGCTGCTATATCTTTTTTGGACGGCAAGGTTGAGAGGTCGCTCTTTGCTTGCAGCCCACATGGCCACGTCAGATCCACGAGAATACATTTTCCCGCCGCCAATGTCCGTTCTCAGCTTGAGTTTTGCATGTTTCAAGTCTGGAGGGCAGTCCGAACTCGTTGCTACTGGCTGAATGTTGACTGTACCATATTGCCATCCGATTAGGCTGCGCGGAGCTTGAAGCTGGACGCTGCGCCACACCATGGACAGTCTGATCTTTCCGTATCCAATGCCTCCAGATAGGGGCCAGAACCCGTTCCTTTGCGAGCGTTTTTCAAATACCTCGCGTAAAGGCAGGCGGACGATTCCTAATAACGGGTGGTCCTCGTGCAGCCTTGCGTCTCGAACAGAGACGTATACTTCGCAAGAGCGCCAGTCTCGAATAAAGCGCTCGCAGCTGGCGTTGAAGAATGGTTTCGAGTTTTGGGGCTTGGTGCGCGTTTTGTAAGTTTTGTTGTGGTTGATGATGACTGTGCAGTACGCGCTTGGCAGACCGTCGCCAGTCTCCTCGTCACTCGCACTGCCGTCTTTATCCTTTAGATTCTTGCTAAGCTTCTGTACTTCGAGGCCGGTAATGTTGTGAATCTGCAGGCTAAGGATGCCGCTTGGGTAGTCATCCGGCGGTGGTGCCGAAATGATCATGGCGTCTTGCTCTGCCTTGAGCTCCTGCAGTTTTTGCTGCTGCAGTTCGCTCTCCTCACGACTAGAAGCGCCTTTGAACATGGCCTCTCGAAGCTTCCGCTCGCATCTTTGGCTGACTTTATCTTTCAGTTGCTCCATTGTTCTGACTTCCGGATCGTGAGTCTGCTGGTCGAATTGGCATTCCTGGATCCTTGCTTTGGAGAAGTATCCAATACTCCATTCGAGCTTCCCGGGCATGTCATCGCCAGATTTCAGCGCTCTGAAGCCATCCGTACGATCCCACATGCGTCCATTCGACTCATCCCTCTGCATAAGCTCCTTGAGATCGACTTCAATCCGCCCGAGATCGTCGTCTGCGGTGAAGCGATCAGAATCCCAAAGTTGTACTCGCAGTCTTTCATCAATGTTTAGCTCTTCGGGGGTAACTAGTACAAAGCAAGTTTCATGCCAGCATGGCTCCATTTCAGATAGCAGAACGCGCGTGCTCCAGAGTACTTTGCCAAATTTTGCCCACCCGACAGATACGTAGGGGTCTGAGCTGGAGTCCTTGAGAAGCGGTATGCCCGAATCTCCCATCTTAAAATCGTAGCCGCGCTTGATATGGATCATGAGAACACCCTTTGCATATGTATCTTTCTTGAAGTCGTCTCCCGCGAGCATGTCCTTGAGGCTCAGCGTGAGACTCTTGGGCGCTACATACTGCGCCATTGCGGCATCGACAGCAGATTGCACAAAGTTGCTAATGAATGGTACGTCCATGATGTTGAGGCCATGCTTGCTCAGAGGCACGCAACTCAGGTTTACTTTCGGTTGGCCGAGCAGTGTCAGAGTGCAAAGGTCAAAGAATGGAGGATCCGGTGTGAGCTGCAGCCGCAGTCTCATGGTGCCAACAGCTCCGTGCAGATCGACCCAAACGGGAATCTTCAAATTTCCAGGAAGATAGAAAGCCAAGTAAAGATGCATATCCTTGGTCCTCTCTTTGAAAGACTTACTAGTGGATCGCGTCCTGTATGCGAAAGCAACTTCCAAGTTGATGAAGTCGCCTTCCTCGGCTTCCATGCCTCTAAAGACTGAATTATCACTTTTGCTGTCGTTATCGTTGTCGTTTTCTTCAGTTTCCTCTAGGCCTGTATTGCTGCGACTGTTTTTGTCTTTATCCGAGATGACTTTGCCGTCCTCTGTTACAGCTTGAGCAGCTGCTCCGGTTGGCAGCCATCGGATGCCGAGAATGCGCAGCGATTCGCTGCCTTGGCCAATGTCATCAACACTGACCATTCGTATCAGCTTTGGCAGTGAAGCTTGCATTACATCTTCCAACGTATCTGCTAGGCTGGTGAACAGGTCGGGATTGATAAGCGGCCAGACGGAGCTGAGCAAAGAATTAAGCCATAGAGTCGTTTCTCGCTCGTACTTCTTCGTCTCATGCTCCATGTGCCGGCGCTGCGACCGCCATATCTCGTCTTGAATTGCGTTGTCTACTTTTTTTGCGGTCCAATCTCTCACGCCAAAGATGAGAGCGCCAAATGCTCCCGCACCAGCACCAACCAGAGTGGTCCATAGCAGTATGCTCTGAGCTGTGGCTCCCCATCCCGCAGCCTGACGTATATCCACATGTATCGTTTCGCGAAGTACGCAAACGACAGCCAAGATACTGCATGCGCCGGCGAGCGAGGCTAAGAACCCACGGTTGCTTGCACTGGTAATTTCTTGGCGGAGAAAGTCGAGGTCGGGCGGTGGAAACTGGTTCATCAAGGCATGATGCTTCTTTTGCGAACTTTGTTGCTCCTTTCGCAATTCGGAGTCGGGCTTGTTCTTTTCATCTACTCCAGAAGCTGTCTTCTTTGTCTGTGCAAATGGGTCCTCGTTTTCGTCGAGTTCTTTTAGAGCACTATCTGTGAAGTCGTGTATCTTTACCGGCAGGTGGGTAACCGGATCAGTGACTTCACGTTCAGCCCTTTCTTTCTTGGAGTCTTTCTTCAGCTTTCGCGGATCGAGTCTGGCACGATCAACCTGCGACGTGTCTTTGATCGTCTCCTCTGCCTCTGGTTCTTCCAATGCCGCTTCTACTTCGGATTCGGATTGAGAATCGGCTTTTTCGTCATCTTGGCTCCAATCGTCTCCGGCCTGGGGAGAGCGGCCTTCGAAAGCACCGTTGTCGCCCTTGAGTGCATTTTGCTGTCTGGCTTCTTTTTCTTCGCGATACCTGGAGATGGTCGGGATCGGGTGTCTTGCGTTGTACGGAGCTTCGTAGCGACGAGCGTGCTCTACATCATCTTTGCCATTGCCGGCCATTCTGGAGCTCTCTACATGCACCGCAGTCACGTAGGCATGGACTGGACGGATAATGGGTTTGGCAGCATAGAAGCATGCGTACACATTGAATTCGGTTGAATAAATGAATAAATCTCTGCCAAACGAAGGAGCCCTTTTTTAACCTGTCAAGCTGCCAATTTTCATGCGTCGTGCTGTCATCTAGCTTTTGATCGGCATCGAGCACAACAGTATCACTGCTACGTCATGTTCTCGGCAGTGAGGCCACTCCCCACAAAGCGGACTTGGCAATGCTACCGCCATTACGTTGGGCTTAACGCTCAGTGGCCAGCGCCCAGACGCAAAAATAGATGCAATTGGAGTTTACTCTACACAAGATTCTGGGGGGAACGTCATGAAATTCATGCAATGCATGGAAGCCAAGCTTCTGCTGCACCAAGAAGCGGCAGATGCCAAAAAGGTTTCAGACGAAGCCTGTCGCTTTCTACAAGTGGCTGCGCGTGTTGGCATGTCTGCAATATCAGAAATCACTTCAACAGCCATCTCTACTATGTAATACCTACTACAGCGCCCGCAAGTCAGTCGCAGGCGCTGCGCGACAAAATCAATACGTATTTAGTGGCTCTGATCCTTAGAATTGCTCCTAGCAGGTATAGCGGGCCATTTGCCGGAATAGTGGAAAGCAGAGATCGCCAATCGCGATGAGGTGTAAATGACGGTGGGAGTCTCAAAAGGCAGAAAGCAGACGGTGTCACAGAAATGCGTCGAATCCTTCGCATCCAGAGAGAGAGAGAGAGAGACCATCGGGTTTCGGGGCCTCTGCTACTTGCAGTTTTCCAAACGCACGCTGAGCGATCATCCTGTGGCCAACTCCTTTCGCGGTCCTTTTTTCTCTTCCTTGGCCCAGCCGAGTGGCTAATCGTTTCCAATGCAGCTAATGAACGGCGAGCATCCCCTGGACCGTGTTTTGCTTTCTGCCGCACGAGCTCGGAATACTGGCGTAGCGACTCCTGTCCTGTCCTTCTCTAACACGCTACTACAAGTATCGTCGGCACGTCGTACTTCGTATTCGGCTTGGGATTTGGGTGCGAGGCCGTGGGATCGAGAGTATTCGCAGGATGTGAATGGGAAGAGTTGGCAAGTTGCAAAACAGATGAAAAGAACGATTTTGAGCATGCGAGAGGCGCCGTTTTATAGCAAAACCTACTGGATCCCGCTACGTGGGAGCGTTGAAGGGCCTTTTCAAAAAATCGTACGATTCTTTCATCATCGCATGAAATGTTTCCTGTCAAAGTATTCGATGTGACCTGTACCTCTGCCAATGCGCTTGGCCGCTTTGCCAATGCCGGCACCATTGGCGAGGAATCATCCCAAGAGTTTCAAGGTCTCGGGTGGGAGGGGCCGCAGGAGGTGCGCTAAAATCTAAGGAGAGGCCCCAATTCTAGGCGTGGGACTGGCTCCCCGTCTAAGCAGCATCAAAATTGGTCATCTCCAGAATGGGCCAGTAGTGCAGGGCGTCCATCTATCAAGGGCACTACTGTTTGAGGTTGCTACTCGTTTCAGTTGGACATCCATAGGCCATCTCTTCTGCGAATCTCCGTCATTGCTCCGTCGAAAAGGAGGAAACGGAAGAACATTCGAACATCTAGGAGGGAGTACTAGCCAGAATCTGTCAAAGCTTATCAAGTGCAGATGTTAGATAATCTTGCACGTTACCTCATGGAGGATGCCGCGCCAATCATTGGACCGACGGCATGGGGAAACGAGAGATGGGCGCCAGGAGCAGCAAACTTGGGGCGCAACCAGATAGCCGGTAGCGGCACTTTGATCAAGCCTAGATCCAGTTGAAATGAATGCTCAGCAGGTGCTAAAAGAGGTAGTGTAGATACGTGGAGTCTAGCGAAAAAGAATGGAAAAGAAATCACCAATTTCATGGAGTGCTATCGAATAAGCTAAGCGCTCCATGCCTCCAGGTGATTCCGTTACAAGTGCACCTCTGTCACAGCAGTGACAGCATCGTTCGATTCCAAGAGCCAAATCGTCCGTTTGCCAAGCTGACATCACGAGATGCTTGGTTTTGAATCACCGCAGCGAGCAAATCCCGGCATCACTGTGATAACTCTCGGCATCGTGGCAGACTCTCTCAATAGCGGCAGACCCCGCAGCCCATCACCATGCAGCTAATTCAGGGGATGCAACTCTAGACTCTTGTTGGTCAGCCACTGGAGTTTTAAGCGCCGAGCCCAGGGGACCGTTGCCGCATCAGGACTGGCATCGCCAAGCTCTCCCTGACTAAACTCGAGCAGGCCACTCACAGCGCGCGCAGAGCCTCGAAGAGGAGGGAGGACAGAGATGGGCCGGCGGCTTCGATGTGACTGACTGTTGGGCACTATTTTTGGATGCAAAAAAAAGCGATGCGGTAAGGCGACCTGCAGGCGACTTATACGCCGCACGTCTGTCCAAACCTCTGCGTGCATTTGCAAATCGATCTTCTTCAACATTCATCTCTGGATTCTGCCGTCAAGGGTGCTGCCGAATTATCATTAAACGCTTGGAGCACGTCCGCCAAAAGTGCAGAAATCGAGAGCTTCAGCGCACTCTCAAACGCACACGCCCCGAGAGACCCCCCCAAAGGCCCCCTGAGCCAGCGCCCGAAACGCCGCTACCAGCGTCCCCTCGGCCAGCTCTCACGTTCGCCGTCGCACAACCCGCTCCACGAGAGTCTCAGCTCTGCGCCGTGATCTTTCAACTCCCTCCAACTTCTTCATTGTTTCTTCTGGCTGCAAGCTGTGCGGGCCACACAGGGACTAGCCAGCCCACCGATCCGGCCACGAGGCTCAAGCCAACAGCCCGCAAGGCCTCATCGTGCCATTTGGCGGCGGTTCGCTTCGCAGCTGCAGGGGTCTGCTGTTTCATGCTACAGGGAACGTCCAGATCCGAAGTCAAAGGAATTTCGGGCCCTGCCAGCCTATCCCCGCCGGCCATCTCCAGCCTGTCCGCGTTTCAAGCTCAGCGCCCAGGAGACTCTCTTTATCTTACCGCGACGCCCGTCTTCTTGGCTTCTTCTCTTCCTTCTTGCTTCCTCCAGCTGTCGTTAGGCGGGCCAAAAAAGCAGCCATTGTTTTTATTTTTATTTTTTATTGTATTTTTCTTTCGCTTCGGACGTCCTCTTGGACTTTCCCTTCTGTCAACTGCTGGCTCAGGTCACTCTTTTCAAGTTTTAATCACCTCCGATTCGGATTTCTTTCTCTTATTCCAATCGCATTAACGAAGTTTGAGACCTGGGTTTGGATACACGAAACACGAGTAATATCAGAGTTGGGAAACTGCTTGCATTGGGTCAAATCCCGAGGCGTCCTATCATTATTTTTCAGTACTGTCGCGGGTCGACTATTTAATCGCAAACCACTTCAATCGTTAGGAGGAGGAAATTTAGAACCAAACATCCAAGATGGCTGGCCAACTCACATATGGCGAACTAGCTCGCAAGCAGTTCACTGCTCAGAAGCTATTCTATCATTTTCTGTTTTGGACTTTCCACTGGGGACTTTTTGCTTATGGATGGTAAGCCCTTCCTCTTTGATGACACTTTATATTCCTTCTACCGGCGCAAACAACATGTTGTTCATGCTAACGAATGCACCAGGTGGAAACAAGCCGAGGATCCCAGATTAGCAGGTCTGAATACGCTCAAATTCTCCGTGTGGATTTCTCGAGGTGCCGGTCTGGTTCTCAGCGTCGACTGCATGCTGATCTTGCTTCCCGTCTGCCGAACCATTATGCGCTGGGTCCGACCCAAGATTCGCTTCCTTCCGCTTGATGAGAACTTGTGGATGCACCGCCAAATTGCGTACGCGCTCCTGTTTTTCAGCATCCTCCACACCTCGGCTCACTATGTCAACTTCTACAACGTCGAGAAGAGACAGATCCGTCCGGTCACTGCTCTGCAGATCCACTACGCCCAGCCTGGTGGCATTACTGGCCATGTCATGCTGTTCTGCATGATGCTCATGTATACCACTGCTCATTCCCGTATCCGTCAACAATCTTTCGAGACCTTCTGGTATACCCACCACCTGTTCATTCCCTTCTTCCTGGCTCTCTACACCCACACCGTCGGCTGCTTCGTCCGCGACTCTGTCGACGGATTTTCACCTTTTGAGGGAGAACAGTACTGGTCACACTGCATCGGTTATCTCGGATGGCGATGGGAGCTCTTCACTGGAGGTTTCTACCTGATTGAGCGTCTGTACCGTGAGGTTCGCGCTCGTCGCGAGACCAAGATTACTCGTGTTATCCGACACCCGTATGACGTTGTCGAGATCCAGTTCAACAAGCCTTCTTTCAAGTACAAGGCTGGCCAGTGGCTCTTCCTCCAGGTGCCTTCCATTTCCAAGTACCAGTGGCATCCCTTTACCATCACCTCATGCCCATTTGACCCCTATGTCTCAGTCCATGTTCGACAAGTCGGTGACTTCACTGGTCAGCTGGGAGATGCCCTTGGTGCTGGTGCTGCTCAGGCCAAGTTTTACGACGGCGTCGACCCTATGGGTATGTACGAGGTTGCCCTGCAAAATGGTCAGCAGATGCCTGCTCTTCGCATTGACGGACCCTACGGAGCTCCTGCCGAAGACGTCTTTGAGAATGAAATCGCTGTTCTTATCGGTACTGGTATCGGTGTCACCCCCTGGGCTTCTATCTTGAAGAACATTTGGCATCTCCGAAACTCTCCCAACCCCCCCACTCGTCTTCGCCGTGTGGAGTTCATCTGGGTTTGCAAGGATACCGGTTCCTTTGAGTGGTTCCAGACCCTGCTCTCCTCTCTCGAAGAGCAATCCAATGAAGCAGCTCGTATTCCTGGAAGCTCCGGTGTTGAGTTCCTCAAGATTCACACCTACCTCACCCAGCGTCTGGACATGGACACCGCCCAGAACATTGTTCTGAACAGTGTGGGTGCTGAAATGGATCCCCTTACTGAGCTCAAGTCTCGAACACAATTCGGCCGACCCAACTTTGCTCGTCTCTTCAGAACTATGCGTGACGGTATCCTTGATAGAACGTATCTTGGCGGTCTGGAAGGAAGCATGAAGACGACCGTTGGTGTTTACTTCTGTGGTCCCTCTGTTGCAGGTAAGACTTTTTCTTATTCAACTCCATCTCTTAAAAAACGTGCAACTTTGCTGACATTTAATTTTTACAGCTCGTGATATCAAGACTGCCTGCAAAGCTGCCACAGCGCGCGAGGTCGAGTTCCGCTTCTGGAAAGAGCATTTCTAATCTACAAAAGCTGTTAAAAATTTACCCATTTTTTTCTCTTGTATACCAGGCAATACCATTTTTCTTTTTTTGTCCTCCGTTTCATAAATTACAATGATTGAGATCAGTTATGACGGTATGTGTGGGTCTCGTAGGAGTTGAGGCTATGAAAGCGTAGGCGGCTATTTTCAGTCTAGCAGCATTAGTGGCAGCGTACATAAATTGTTCAAGGCCAGTTGATGGTTCTTAAAAATAAAAGGCGCATGTTCTCACCATAAAGAGCTGAAATAAACTCAAAGGAGCTCTGTCTTTGTCCATCTTTACGTTCACTTTCTTTGCTGTATCCTGGATTATTGTCTTTCATCGCTACACAAGCGTTTCATTCACGAAGTTGCCAGAGGTTGAACACCCCTCTTGATGATGGGTGAATGAAGCAACAATTGTTTGTACGTAGAACAACTGCATATTCTTCCATCAAATGAAGGAGTCTTTTTAGTGAAAGACGTTACTATTTGTAGGAGACTCCGAATAAGCCCTGGATATAAGCGTACATATGTAGGATAAGATGCAGGACCTGACCGCTAGTCTGACAGATATGAGACCAAACATTTCTCTCTTGTGCTGATCGCAAGAGCTCTTCAACCATTAAAAGTCGAAATTCCCAGCGTGGACTGAGGTTTAAAGACTTTCATAACACCGACTAGCTGTAGCTTTGGAGACTGCAGATTACATCGTTAGCCAAGATGCCTCGCCAGCGCAAAACAACTCGTCCAAGCCAGCGTGAACTCCCATTCTCCGAGCTCAAGGGAGAAATACCAGACGCAGGCTTCGACGAAGGATTCTCACTGCTATATTCCGAAATCAACAACTTCATCAAAAATGGCATCGGCAAAAAAGCAGTCAGCACCAGGAAATCCCTCTGGACGAAGAGACATTCCAAGGAATTTTTGAGCTTTGCGGGCATGGTTGCTCGGCCGGGTGCTGATGGAGGGTGGGAGAAGCTGTTGAGATCGCGGCCGTATCGATGCGCGCTTTTGTCGGGCGTGGTGATGAAGGTGCTTGATAAACACGTGTTTTCCGATTTATTGTTTGGGGCTGGGCCTGAGCATGCGGAAGTGCTGCGGATAGAGGACAGTTCCATGGTTAACGTTGAAGGTATGAGTGCTCGATGGTGCTGTTTGATGAGTTTTATAGACAGATTGACTAACGACTTTACAGGCTTCAAAAGGACGGATCTTCGGGCAAAGACCAACAGAGTCTATCTTGAAGCAACAGGCGGCATCCCGCCATTGTTCTGGAAACGAGTGGACAAAATCACCGCACAGATTGTGGCTATGCTCTTGCCTCTTTATTCAGCTATTGGGGAAGAGGCACCATCTCAATCTTCATACCAGGCGCTACACAATATTGTTGCACTCGCAGGGTGGCTTAATGTGGCGATCCGTCTGTCTCCCAAGATTACGGTTTTCGAATGGGTTCAGCCCGGCGAGGCATACCAGTTCAGTTTTCTATGTATTGGAGAGGAGAAGAAGATGGCCTCGGATGGCCACAGCGAGGCCCCAAATGATCAAACTCGGAAAAGGACTCGCGTGATGATTTCGGCCGTGCCGAAAATCACTCGATATGCGCATGGAAGCAATGGCTTCTCCGCTGGTACAGAGACATACGATGTCATGCAGCCACATGTGGTCACATACCGCGGAATCTATGCAGACTGGGAAGATAATCGTGTAGTGCCGCTGCAGAGCCACGCCCGCAATGGCTTTGTTGTTTTTCTGGGCCGCATCATGTCTTTGTTGATGTCTGTTATGCGGCTGGCGATGGTGCTGTTCGTCGCAGGGATTTTTGGGCTCATGGTTTTTGGCGCGTGGATTAGCATTACTGGAGGAAACGGCGATGGAAGTTCTTTGCCGTGGATTGTTCAAATGGTGTTGTGGCCGATTCAATTGACCTTTCAGAGCTTGATGCTGTCGGTTAGGATGGTTCTTCGGAGCAGCCATGTGCGTACGGATTACAGCCTCGCGACCACGAATAGCTGGTTATTGAATCGATAGGGACTTGATGATACGATACGGAGATTTGGTTTGGAGTAAATTATGTAGACCTTGGTAGCGATATATGTTCTTGATCATTATTTTTTATTACAAATTTCTGGATGAAACGAAACTGCAGCAAAGCGGCGTGATCTAACTCTTACAACCAGCGAGCCCACAATCCTTCCTTCTTCACAGTCATTCATAACTGGGTGTATCATCATTCATTTCAAACCTCTATTATACTACTTCTATTTTATACGATTTCTAGAGTAACAATTCTTCCCGCGCCAGTTGCTGTGCCGGATTGACCTGCCCCTATTCTAAAACATGAACCATGGTTCTCGGAATCGGGATCCAAAGATTCAATATAGTCAACTATATTGTCGCCCACGGTAGCAGAGTCTCCGTCCATTGCCCCATTGATAAAGCAATCGCCAACTAATTGGTATGCTTGTGGCTGTGCTCGCGAATATGTTTGTGAAGAGATGGGCCGCAAAACAAGCGGGGAGCGACTACCTGGTAAAATATATATCTCATCGCCCTCCTTCATCAACAAAGGGCCCAAGCCCAAATGTCCATACTTGGGAGGGGTGCAAAAGTATGCTTCGATAATGAATCTCTCAAGCATGTCTCGTTGACTGATGAAGTCTTTATATGCGTCTAGGTATTCCTCACATGGCTTTTGACACTCGTTACTTAAGCTGAAATTGTGTTGTTGAACTTTTTGAAAGATGGCCTTGCGTTTACTGACAAGGTCTGCGTATTTGTCGAAATACTTTTCATTGAATGTACTGCGGTGCATCGCTGTGATGGATTGGACAAGTTTGAAGAGCTGGTCGTCTTTCAATAACTCTACACCCTCAGTGAACAAATCCTCTGCCAAGAAAGAGGCCCCATTGAGCAGCGTTTTCTGTTGTGCTTCAAGCGAGATAAAACAATCCGTGACGAGCGCATCAACTGCAGGTCCATTGTAATTGAGGAAAAACATGGTTCGTTTGGTCGCAGATAGTCGCAAGGCCTCAGTGAATATGTCATATTTAGTGTCAAGAGGCTCGACGAACTCTTGTCGATCTTTGCCTAGTGATCTTTGTTCAATATTTTCGCAATACCAAGCGTCCAAGGCGGGCATATCACTAGGTATGAGTCGTTCTAGGGATCCATCTGGGGCTTTCTTTGCACCGGACATGATGGTGACCAGGAAATCTCCATTCACGTAATTGGTGGTATACTTATCCTTGTGCACTTGTGCCCATCCATGAATCACCTTTGCAGCTGAGTTCATATCGGAACACGAATATAATGGCTCCGTGATGCCAGTTACGGTTCCAATCTTGATGCATTTAGCTACCAGGGAACGGCCGGAATTTCGGATCAAGCTGTATCGTGGCAAATCTTGGCGGCTCTGCCCATTGCAGTATTTCATCAGAGATGCACAGATGCTCTGAATCTCTGGCTCTCTGAATGACATTTTATATGCTTTTTGCAACTCCAAAGCAGCCTCTTTGCGCAGGTACTGTTTGGGATCACTTGCATCCTTAAAATGACGTAAAAACGTGCGAAACTCGGGACTATCGATAATTGGTATGACGCCTTGACAGGCATCATAAAAATTGAAAATCTTTGCACGTTGGCGATCGCTTTCAACAAGTATTGTGCCCCAGTCTGGAACCCAAGACGGCAAATCTTGGCTTGCTTTGCGACTGTAATCTCCACACATGATAGAAAGAGACCTAGTACTTCTTATAATCGCAAGGACTGCGGCAGTGTATACCTCTGCCTCATTTAATAGGTAATTGGGTCTTATGGCCACAACATCACTGCACAGTCCCAAGAGTGCATAGACTCTATCTCGATTATCGGTAGCTTTTCGGTGGCCAAAAGATCGGAGAAGCGTCAAGAGATCCGTGCGTTGCATCGATTTCCAATCTTTGCGATGATGATCCAGATCAGAAATGCGTGAGAAAAGGTTAAAAACTTTTAAACAATCCGCCGAAATGGAGTTTGGATATCTCGTAAAGGCAAAGTCCCAGCGAGAGAGGCTTCTTGTAACTTCAACCAGGAATTCCCACGACGCTGCAACGCCACTGTATCGGACAGTTATAGTCTGAGCGACGACGGCCTCTTGAACCACCCATATTCGATCCCACCAGGCAACAAGCAGTGTGCGCCTCAGCGCCTCGAAAAGTGCAGTTACATGTCCTTTTGGAAAAGTTTTGAAGGATTCAAGGAGGCTTGAAGAATCTCGAAATTGGGTTAGGATGGCCAAAAAAGAGAATATTTCCAGGGCTTGAACGGGGCCTTTTAAAGCTGACATCTTCCAATTGTCGAGAGTTTGGCGTGCTAGCGGAATGTTCATATCGTCGATTCCAAACATCCGACAGGGGCCTGGAGGAGGTTTAGAGCGCAGAGGGGAGTTGTAATCTGCATGTGATCCATCGCCGAGGAATATGATGACTTCGCTGGCTGTGCCGTAGATTTCGCGCATTTGAGCAACCTGCGATGATCTCTCTGTCGCGTTGCTTTGATCAATACACTAAGCGCCAGTTAGTACAGCGTACACTTGGGTACATGTAGTTTCATGTTGGAGAGCCGAGTGAGTAATCACCAATGCATCAACCCAGAGAGTAATGTCATCCTCTTCTTCTCGCAAATGTCTCAAGGCAATCTCAAGATTATTCGTCACTTTCATTGCGTAGCCATTCACCAAGATCTTTGGGGGATCGCGTCTCGAGCGTCCCCAGACGTAGGATAGGGCTCTGTATGAGGGGTAATGAGCTTCGTCTCGGTAGTAAACATCAAGCTCGCAGCAAATCTCATTGTTCCATTGCCCTCGCAATAATTTTATTAGACGAAATGCGTCATGTTTGCGAGACAAATCATCTTCGTAAGGGTATCGCTCCCGCTTTGGTGATTTCATGGGTCCCGTAAAGTCGATAGGTTCCATAATCGATGGAAGTTGTGTGACCTGATCTCTTGAAAAAAAGAGGGGGAAAAAAGAAGATGAGATGCGTTCTGGATTATTGAAGTTCATCAACGATCAAACTCCAGTCCCAATTCGTGCTTGCAGTGGTATTCTATCCAAGGCGGAGGCATCGACATTACATCAGTGCTTTAGGCGCGCCCGCGCTGGGCGATCACCAGTCAGAACAATTGCTAATCCAATCCTCACCGGCTTATACGAAAGAGCAGCACCAATCACGGCTTTCACAATTCAGCACAGCCATGGCCGGTGATGCATCTCAGATCAGCAGATGCGGCTCCCATTGGCAAGTTGTATATTTTAGTGCTGTCCCCTGTATTGTGGCGCGGCACAGGGCGTTATGTAAGGCTTAGATGAAGATGCAAATCTGCCTCTCAGTGTGTCCAAGTGTAAGAAATACGTGTACATGTGCATTCATACCTGCACACATGTACTTGGATGGATAAGGGCATCCAACACCATTCAAGGAAGCGCATAGTGCAACAGGGCACTTGGACACTGAGGCGCAAACTGTGAGGCCTCACTTGGCTCAGCAAAGGCTGTGCAGAGATTGGGTCGGGCTGCGCTTCATTCGCTCTAGCTAAGGCCTCCAAGACGGAGTGCAATTGTCCTTTTCTGGGATGGTATAGTTTGCCCGTTTTGGCGTTGGCTTGCAGCCTCATAACCTCATATGCGACTACTATTTTTTATATGCATCGTATCAATCATGGAGTACTAATACGAGTGAATTACAGACAGTAAGGGACTGCAAATTAATATATAAATTGACTTATATTATAGACAAGATAAGATGAACGAGAATGCGCTGGCTATACACAAGCATGCAGATTACCTGGCGTGTTCCTCTTCTTCCTGCTTGAACGGATCCATCTCTACCGAGTCTTCTTCATCATCTACCCTCCTTGACCTGCTTGAATCTTGACCACCTTCTTCATGCGTGTGCAGCTTCATATTCACAAACATCACCCACAGCCCCAGATCATAGGCCACGCGCAGCACACCGGCAGTCACAAATGCCACCCAGAATTTGTCCGTGTCTGCAAGAGCTCCTGTTATGCTCGGCCCGATGGTCGAGGCTAATGTCCGTAATGTGCTGGTAATTCCCATAACCGCCGTCCGCTCCTCGGGCTTTACGACCGCGGCAATGAGGGCTGCTCGCGGGGCTTGATCCATGTTGTTTAGGCCACCCCGTATGAGCAACAGTATTACCGTGAGTACAATCCCTTGTGGTGCCGGAAAGAGCAGCACGGCCACTGAAGACGGCAAGTGAGTAAAGACCATTGTATTGATGAGCCCCAAGTGTCGTGCTAGGGGGCCGGCAAAGACGCTGGATATACCGCCGAGAATGTAGTTTGCGGACATGTAGTCGCCGAGTTGCGACTTGGGCAGATGAAACTTGCGGTCGAGATAGTAGTTTGTCAGCGCGTATGAAGCCATGCCATCTGCCAAAGAGTCGACGGTGAGAAGGAACCATAGTTTATACATGACGAACATCGATGCCATGGATATCCCTGAAAACAGGCTCTTCTTCTGTGGCGCTGGAGGCTCGTTGCTCACTGGTGCCATCTCGCCGTCCATTTCTTCGTCAGATTCGCTGAGAAGCCCTTGTGCAGCTTGGGTGCCGTCATCTACCGACAGTTCCGGCTTGGTGATTTCGCAGTTGTCAGTCATGAGCAAGGCAAATCCCATGTTAACAACTCCCATGATGACATAGATCCCAAAGATGGCATGGTATATACGTCTCTCACTCCAGCCGTCACGACTCTTTAACGCTTCAACAACCCGACCAGCTACTTCTATACCAGCAGCGGACCCAAGATTTGACGTCACGATATACCATGACAGCACATCCGGGCGTGTCTCCGGGGTAGTCAGATGAGATAAAACCGACTCTTCGATGGCTCGGAATGGCCCAAAATCGCTGCCAGTGGCAGATATTACTCCGACGACGGCTGCAAGCAGCAGAATCCAAAAGTTCTCAAAATAGGCAAATGCCAGACCGGAGACTGCCATGAGCAAGCCAGAGCCGATAAAGACACGGCGTCTGCCAATGTTATCCGCTATGAAAGTGAGCGCAAAAGACAGCACGCAGTCTCCGGCCAGCGTCATTGTCATAAAGAGCCCGAGCTGGCGGTCGCTAAAGCCCAGCGTAGCAAAAAAGAGAGCCATGATGAGAGAGGCTCCTCCAAAGGCAAACATGCGGCATGTGCGCGCCAAGATGACGAACCATGCATCACGGCCGGTGAGGTGGACGGACCGCACTCCGGACTCATGATACAGCCAGAGAGCAGATTTGCGTAAGCCAGAGCCGCTGGCATGACGGCGATCCATGATAGAAAAATAACAACCGATTTATTGACAAGTTAAAAGCAGAAGAATATTCTGCAAAAGGCTCTGGCCTGTGGTAAGTTTTCAGAGATTTATGGAGCTGTGGGTTAGCCACTAACGATGCCGGATTGCCACCTATCTTCCGGATGTTTGATACAAGTAAGCTGGAAACAGAGAAGAAATGCACATCAAATCTACATGTAATTAACGATAAAATGCCTCTTGCTCAGTTGTACAGGCTAAGCGGCCGGCCACCGGAGGACGTCGCCTTCCATCAGCTTACTGGCGCCATAGATCTGGTTCCCAGCAAAGGCCGTGTAAATCCCGAAGCAGTGCAGATCTTCAGCTTCCAGCTACATTTTGGCCGACGCGGAGCATGAAATCCACATGGACCTGGGGCAGAGTTCATGTAGCTGCGATGAGCCGCCTGAGAGCATGCATCTCTAGGGCATGTCTCGTATGTATCGTATGCATATATCTCCGCAATTTTACCAGTTTGGGCATTGTAAGCGTATTTGAAAGACTGGTGATTGGCACTATCAATTCTTGGTCAATCACCAACCCCGCTATCAAAAGTTCACGACCCGGAATACGTCGTATCTGCGCTCGGAAGCAAGCCCGATTAAGCGGCATTTCGAAATATCGAGACTGATACAGTGTGCTGCTTATGCAATAGTTCATTCAATCGCTTATTAGCCAAAGAGTTGGTTGAAAGAATAATGCTAGAGGCCTTGCTGATAAGAATTACACGTAGGTTCTTTTATTACTACGGTTGGAAATTGGTCGCGTGACAGGAGTCCAACAATAGTGAATACGATATATGTATCACCATTTTATAGTGGATGTCATCTGATAGGATTGATGCTTCGCTACTTCAATGTAAACCATTCCAGTTCATCTATAGCTTGTGCGTCCTCAGTAGCAAACTCTCCATCCATCATTCCGCGCACGTAGCAAGGCCCTCCGAGCTTGGATACGCCATCTTCAGTTCGCACGATAAAAGGCAGCTTAGAGCCCTGGAAAATGACAATCTTGTCCTCGGCTTTGGTCACTATGGGCACCATAGCCAGGTACCCCTTGTCGGTTATGCTCATATTGCGCCCCCAAGTGACCGAGGTAGCTCTATGAGCATACTTGAACGACTCTCCGCCATTAAAAATATGCTTGGCGGCTGTACCTGTGTCATCTGCCCCGATCAATATTTTTAACCAAGCGTCAAAGCTCTCTTTGTTGTCCCCAGGTTGTAGTCGGGTATAATCCAAGCTGCTCCCCCAGCAAAGTGTATCTTCAAATACGTCGACAACAGACTCTCCAGTTGGATAGGAATCTAATGCAGAAGCAAACTTCCACCAGTAGCGCCATAGCTCGATGCATGCCTCATTGCTATATCCTATTGACTCTGGTATTCGACCTGAGCGTTTCACGGAGTCAACGACCCTACCTTTTATTCGCATGAGCAGCTTATCGTCGGAGTCTTCATAGACGACGTTAGAAGAGCCTGCCGCGTTGAAGATTTTCCCATCAAAATACTGCATAGGAGTATCGTTCCACGATGCTGCCCACGAGGGTAGATTAGGAACCGTTGACTTAAAGAAGCCATAGCATGAGCTCAAGACCTCCAACTTCTTGGTGTTGACGATTATGGCTCGCGAGACATCAGCATAGAGCTCTGCAGCAGGCTTTTTATAATCCGGATCTGGGAAGATATTCTCCGGATCCGTTGCTGGAGGGCCAAAGAAGCCAAGGATGCCGTATATCTTGTCTCGGGGATCTGTAGCTTGCGCATTGCGGGTGGCGTTTAGCATATCGAGTGCCTTTACCCCAGGAGGTGATATCGTGCTCATTCTACCAGTCTCAATCATGTGTCGTACATGGAACTGATGAAACGTGTGTGCGATAAAGAGGGTGTTGTACTCCAGGACTTCGACCGGCTGCGCGGATCTGATCAGGGCCTCGATGACAACTTTGAGATTATGGAATGGCTCTGCTTTTAAGCCGCATAGCAAGGCTGGCTCTTTGGCCAAAGCAACTTCTTGAATAACCCATAATCTTTTCCACCAATTCCGATGAAAGACATCCCAAAGGCCGCGTACTCGAGGTGTGAAGACTTTGCTTTCCGAATATTGGAATGCTTGCCGGTCTTTTATAAACTCTTGATAAAGTGGTCCTTGATTTATATCTTGGCCTGAATTTGTTCTTTCTGCAATCTCAACTGCAAAGTCATGGATATAGTCCATCCCCAGATCTGAAAGAGGCAAGCCAGACTCCTCGTCGATGTCTGTAGATGCGTCGCCAACCCACAAAGCGACCCAAGACGCCTGTGTATATATTTGGCGCATCAAGAGAACTTGGAGACTTCTTTCTTCAAGATCGGCTTGGTTGATACACACCGCATCAACCCAAAGTATTTGGTCTTGTTTCGGCCGTCGTAGTCTCTTTAGTGCGGCCTCACAATTTTTTGTTATTCTGATAACAGCCCCATCGCAGAGCAATTCTCGAAACGATGGGACAGGCTCATCATCAATTGACCATGCATAAGACAGTGCGCTGAAGTTTGGACAGGCATCGATAGGAAATTCGCAGAGGGAGACTTCGATAGGTAGCTGGTGATACGAACTAGATGTGTGTAGGTACAGAAGTCGGATCGATTTGCGATCTTTTAGTGCCTTGTACTGGTAGTCAATAACAGGCTCTTTGCTTTCATTTTCCATATCGGAAAACGTATGAGATGACGTTTCTCAAACTTGCCAGTTGGTGATGAATTGCTATCAGATTGTTGTTATGCTTCCTTCAACATTAACCCCTCAAAATCAGGCAGACAGCGCTTAATCCACAAAGACAGGGATTGAGAGCCTACTACGAGTAGGTAGCCCATAGCTGCATGGACTTACTACTAGCAACCAATGAACACATTAAACTAAGATAATCAGGCTTGGAAAAATAGCCACCTCAAAATTCTATTCACCTTGCATGAAATACATGTACAATTTATATGTTGTTTTATGGGGACGAAGAATCAAGGCTATATACATGTATATTGACTATAGCCTAATCGTGTGCCGACGTCAAATACTCAATCGCCTTTACACATGGAGCTAATTCGGCCCTGTCTGTGAAAATTGGCAGCGACTCTGCCAAGTATTGTAGAGACGCCTCCAGCCTTGATATGATGGCCATATTTCGTTCCTTGGCAGTTAAAGCCTTTTCAAGTAACACAAGGCGTGTTCTGGAAGCTCTCATGAGCTACTTCTTGTCGCTTCAGTTGATGAGCCAGTCTGCCTCGTCGATGCGTTGTTTAACGGCCCTTCAATCTCCTGCTGGCGGTTGCCCGAAGCAGCCCCTGGCAAGCTGAGAATCCCCGAAGGAGACACTGCCTTGAATTTGTGTCCGACAGGCATAGAGAGTATTTCGTGGCAAGGCGAGATGCAGGCATGATAGGTCATAAAGAGCGTGGAGTCTTTGAAAGCAGGCTTTGTTGGTGCAATCAATGCAGCATGGTTTAAGATGTGCGCAGATATGAGCCGCTTGATTGGCGAGAGGATGATGCATATTTACATGCGCCGGTCTATATCTAAAGTAGGTACGCCATTGCTTGTTAACTTTGCACTAGGCACGGTCCGCGCTTAGGCAAGCCGATTCTATTCTTGACAAAGTCCAATGGTTTGTTGTGAGCATATAAGAGTTGCTCATTGCGATTGCGGCTTCATCGAAGCAAATTGCTTGGATCAAGCTTGTATGTAACACCGCGGAATAAACCAGATCTCATCGTATTGAGGAAGGTTCGTATGGTTGCTTTAACTATATTCAGCGGGGGAAGGGGTGAGTTGTTAGTTATATTAGGATATGTCCATGTTACGTAGTAGCTTCCCATCCATTTACTGAGGTGAGCAATAGGAATGGATCCACTCGGTAACCTTCTAGGTAATACCACATGCAGAAGATTGTATAAAGACCATCCGAGTATCTGCGACTCTCAAGCATGATTCCAAACTTGGCAAAAATATCTGCATCCAACGACAGTCTAATCAACAATCCGGCTATAAGATATTGAACAAAGCTCTCGGCGGCTAGTTATACAGCATGTCATGGCTATACATGGTGCTAAAAAAAGAAGGGCGACCCTCTAATCCCTTCATGAAATACTCCGCAGTTCGACCTTCCTGACATAGTTTTTGTTCATGCTACAGCTTCAACCAAACCCCCGCAAGTATTCTAGAAGACGGCCAGGATCGGAGCGCTAAGATCGTTTCTCACATGACATCGATCTTGGGCTTATCAGTGGAGCCTTACTCCGCGTTATTGATCTTGTACTTGAAGAATCAGGAGGGCTAAGGTAAAGGACGAAAACAGTCGTTTTCGGGCTTATTATAGGAATGCGTTACAAGTGACTCCGGGTTAAGACATCATACATGAGCCAAGGGAGGTTGCCATTTAGCGACAAATAATTCATTTGTGGAAAAAACAAGAGATAGAAACCACCGTGTTGGTGGACGTAGTTTTGCCGACGGTGAACAGCACAAAGCCGACGGTAGAAGTTCCAGCAGCCGAAGCCAGAATAGTTTAGACAGTTGAAGATGTCCTACTCTGATGAACTTGGCCACATTCTAGCAGCGAATCCTGGTAAGATGATGAACATATTACACAAACTCGAAGAGAGGGAGTAATACTCAAGGAAGAATGTGCGGAGTAGAGCAGAGGCAGCCAATTGTAATACTATAGATACGGGGGCGACCCGCAATAGAAAACAAGCATAGAATCACACCTGAGATGCAATGAGACGATTTAGTAATCTAATTCCTATATTTAGAGCTCATGAAGCTTAATTTGTGGTGCTCTATGCGGTAAGCATGTATGTATTGCTCTTTACTAAAACATTGCTAATCGAGTCCTTTGATCATGACCCCTCATCTCATGTTCACTGGACTACGGATACTCGGATGGTTTAGAAAAGGATAGTTTCCAAGTTGATCAAGAACCCTTTTTTAATTGAAGCTATATATGCGTTATGCAAATGTTTATCCTCTGTTCCTAAGAACTAACCTTATTGTTACGCTACAGCATGGCAGTTTAAGCTAACCGGAGTTGACAAGTCTCTGTTCAACAAGAACACATACGTTCTTAATGATACTTGAGTCATGCTACTTAATGCCCGTGTAGCCAAATAGCAGGCTCATACATGGCCGTGAGGTTTAGATCCAATCCGAAGGAAGTATCGGAGCCTCGAGTGTTATGACTACATCAATTCTAAAGCAGACACAAAAAGACAATCCCTCCGATGCCAGCGGTGCAAAGCATCGTATCATGCACGATCCCAGTCACTGAATTTGACTGACACCATTTACCGTAACAGCCGGTCAGCTAGCGGCATGCGACTAGTGCCCGATACGAGGCGACATTGGGGTAAACCGCCTGTGATTCCGAAACTCCCCAGTCTAAGGCTCGCAATGTCTTACTATATTGGCCCATTGATACGCTGCCATTGTTTTCAGATACGCAGAAACCCCCGATTCTGCCAAGCTTCTCGCGATTTCTTATCTTTTCCTTTGCGTGATCCCATGTGGAACTTGCTAGTTGCTGTAAAAGTGAAGATGAATCCGGCATTAATCACGCCCACTTTTCCTGCAAGTTTCCTCCCTTACCTCGCCCATCGCAATCAAAAGTGGATTTGCACCCGTTGAAATGGCGACTGCAAAAGGAGAGACTCGTATACGTGATGCTACCTCGTATTTCGATCGGCGTCGTGTCACAAAACGCTGCCAGAACGTCCGCTGTTTGTATCACCACACGCGTCCACCTTCTCAACTGTCCTTTTCTATATAAGTGAGAGCGAGCGAGGGTTGATGTCGTCCGGTCGCTCATTTGTTAAGCCACAAGACATTAAGTTGTCTTGTTTGTAACTCAGTCTCCCTTGATTGGATGCCCCTGAGCCTCCAATTGGCCCGGAACAATGAAGGTCAAGGCCGCCTTTAGCCTGCTGGCCGTAACTGGCAGCGCAGCATCGCTCTCGACTGTGCAACCGGCACAGAAGCCTAACATCACCGTGGTTCCCAATGCATACATTATCGAGTTTCAGCCAGATTTCCATCCCTCTTTGCAACCTCTGCAACGCTTTGCCCAGACTCCTGTAGGCGTCAAAGCAGGCTACCAACTTCGCCATGAATTCAACTCGTCTGATATCTTCTCTGGAGTTTCGGTCACCTTTCACTCAGACGTCGACCTTGAGTCTGTCAGGAAGGCCAATGGAGTCAAGAACGCCTGGCATGTGACGATTGTCCCTCGGCCTGAGCCGTATTTCAGAAACGGTAGCCCGAAAGTCCTGTCTACCAGGAGCAGTACCCAATCGACCGCTGGCAGTAGCAATACGACTTTGCCCAATCTACGAGGTGTTAGCGGCGTGAACCAGCCCCTGCTTTCTGCCAACATTCAGAAGCTTCACGACGAAGGTATTCGAGGCAAGGGGGTCCAGATCGGCATCATTGACTCCGGTGTCGATTATCGACACCCCGCGCTTGGCGGAGGCTTTGGACCCGGCTTCAAAATTGCTTTCGGTTGGGATTTCGTGGGCGATAACTACACCGGCTCCAATACTCCTATGCCTAGTCCTGATCCGCTGGCAACATGCCCTAGCGGTGGACATGGAACTCACACCCTTGGTAAGTACATGTACTGGCGACAAACAATGCATTTCAGAACTGTATCGATATTATAACTAACAACACGGCAGGAATATTGGCCATGGAAGATCCCGACGATGAAGGCTTCGGTCTCATTGGAGGGGCTCCCGATGCCACAATAGGAGCTTACAGAATCTTGAGCTGTCTGGGCTCTGGCACACCCAACGACATTATTATCAGCGCCATGCTTCGAGCCGCTCAAGACGGCGCAGACGTGATATCCATGTCTATTGGAATCATCGGCGACCTATGGGAAGCTCTCAACCCTTTTGAACCAGTGGTCACTCAGCTCGCACAGAAGGGAGTCGCGGTTGTGGCAGCCGTTGGCAACTTTGGCCCTGCAATCTATAGTGCATCGATTCCTGGTATTTGCAAAGACGCGCTCAGTGTAGGGGCCGTGGAGAATGCAGTATATCCGACTCATTACCAGGCCCATGATGAGAAACACAGATTGCTGGATTATATATCGGTACTCCCTTTTCCGGCAAAGAGCGAGCAGGACGTCTTCGTGCTTGGAACTGGGCTTGGAATACCGATCAATGATACTGTCGCCAGTGGCTGCTACCAACCAGCTTGGGATGCAGCGGCTAATGCAACTGTTGATTGGAGCACAACTATATTGTTGGTATCCTTCACGGATGATTGCGGGAATAGTTGGTTTCAAGCTCAGGATTTGGGCGTCTCAACTATCATGGCTTACCTCACAAGCGAAGATCAACTCATCGAGCTAGATGAGCCTGAAAACGACAACCCCCCCGGAACCTTGTGGTTGACCTACAATAGCTCAAAAGCAATTGTGGAAAATATTAAAGGCCTATCACCCAACGAGACGTATAGCCTGCAATTTGTTTCAACAGCTTCGCAATCTCAGCAGCTCATTGCTGACCCACTAGGAAAGTTTGTGGATTCATTCTCGAGCCTTGGTCCCACCATCGAGATGACAATGCATCCCAAAATCGCTTCGCCCGGAGGCACAATTCTATCAACATGGCCGCTTGAGGCGGGTGGTTACGCCATTGTATCGGGAACGTCCATGG